CGAGTCGCACTATCCATCTATCCAATCCATCCATCCATCCAATCCATCCATCCATCCATCAAAGATGATCGTGCATGCCATTCCATTCGGTGTTGTACTCTAGAGTACTCGAGCTATGTAACAATGGTACCTGTAGACGTATGTAAAATCTTGAAAACCTGATCCCGCAGTGGCAGGCAAGCAGGCAAGCAGGCAAGCAGGCAAGCAGGCAAGCAGGCAAGCAGGCAAGCAGGCAAGCAGGCAAGCAGGCAAGCAGGCAAGCAGGCAAGCAGGCAAGCAGGCAAGCAGCCAGACACGGCAGAAAAAAAAGTAGAAAAAGAAAAAATCCTTCTTCAGCTTGTTGACCCGACCCTGCGTTGCATTGCATGTTTTGGGTTTTGAACGAGAAGAACAAGAAGAAGAAAGAAGAAAGAAGAAAAGAAGAAGAAAGAAGAAAGAAGAAAGAAGAAAGAAGAAAGAAGAAAGAAGATCCCACCCCACGAGCATGAGCAAAATACTTTGGCCACAACCGGTAGATGATCGTCAGGAACGTGCCGCGATGTGCCAAGTTGGTGGAAGGGGAGCTTGTGGGGCCGGGTCAAGTTTCGACCATGATGCGCAACTATGTGCTCTGTATAGATGCATATGGTGGCTCTTCAGTGCTGCTGCTGCTGCTGCTGCTGTTCATGTTATGTTGGAGTTGGAGTTTCTACACACTTGCGACAGGAAACATCCTTTTCTTTTTTCTTTCTTTCTCTCTTTCTTTTCTTTTTCCATTCGCAAGCCCGGCCGATTGATTCTTTTCTGCCAGGACCCAGGGTACTCTACTCTACTCAACTTAACCACTTCACGATACCTGCCCAGCTTCCGTTTTTCTGGGCATCGATAAAGGCCTGCCTACCCATCCAGTTATCCAGCGAATCGCAACGGGACAGACAGCTTTGGTCAGCTTTAGACAGCTTTGGATAGCTTTTTTGGACGGCTTTTTGGATTTTTGGTAAATTAGCTGTCTCAGACGCCCAGTGCTCACTACTCAGTTGCTCAGTTGCTCACTGCTTCCAGTTCGTGCGTCTATCTTTTGCCATAGCATAGGTACGATCGATGATTGGACTGAGCGTGTGTACCATACACACGACGCGTCAAGAAAATATCGTCGGTTCTGTTCTACCGTGTTCTGATTTATCCTCACCGATATCCGGATGCTGATTTTATCGGTCAATAATAGTGTTGCAACTCCAATTGGGAGGATTTTCTCACGCGAGCTCCTCCCACGCAGGAAAACCCTCGCAGGCGCGCGGCCCTCTTGCGTGTGCGTGTATCCTGTGTGCCCGTCCGGATAAGCTCGACCCGCAGTGCAGTTGCAGTGTAGTAAAAAAAACCTGCTTGGTTGCTTGGGTGGACTGGACGGCTCGTTGGAAAAAAAAAGTGCAGACACGGAACGAAAGCCTCAGTTGTTATTTTTTCTTTTTCTCGACTTTTCTTCACGATCGGGGGAGATCGATGGCCCAAGCGCCAGGCGGGCGGCGAAAAGGACACATACGGTACTCTACATACGGTACATACGGTAAAGAGGTACTCCACATACGGTACATACGGTAGGTATGGGGGGTACATAACAGAAACAGCAGGACAGCAAGAGCAGGATAACAGCGCGAGGGCAGCAGGACGAAAGGCGGCCGGCCGGACAAGGCGTCGTCGGTGGGGGAGGTGGCTCTTAGCTCTACATAGCTAGTGAGTTACATAGCTGATGGGACCGAGTACTCTACGTAAGAGGTTAAGCCGAGAGTCCCGAATCCGAGGAACTCTCCTTCACATCTCCGGGACATTTTTTTCCCTTGGTGTTGGGTGCAATTCGCTATCTCTGGGGATTGAGGAAGGGAAGGGAAGAAACGTTTCCACAGGTCTGGTGCCTACATACACGACTACTCCGGAGTAGGCATAGATGCTCTGGCACGCAGTCCACTCTGCTGTTTCGTTCGAAGGCCGCTGCTACGCCCGATTTAGGCATCGCTTACTCTCCGGTTCCTGCGCAAGCTCGGTCTTGGGAGAACTTAGCGCCTTGACCTCGTCTGGCAATCCAACCCAACCCATCAGAAGAAGAAGTCTTTTCTTCGCATCTTTCTTTTGTTTTTCCTGTTTTTCCTTTCGCTTTGGTCGTGCAGCCACATGATGGAGGGGTGGGTGGGTGGAAAAGGGCCAGAGCCAGAGCCAGACAGAGCCGGAGCCCGCAGCTCTGACCTCTTTTCGTGCTCTCTGCTCAGAGATGCGCTGTCAACCAACCAACCAGCGGCTTTTGGCTGGCGTCTCTGCAGGCTGAATGGGGCATCCGCGTTGCCGCTTCCGTCCCACGGCTCCGGCAAATCGTTCGGTCACCGCTGATGCCACCAGAAAGCTAGGACAGCTGGGGATGCAAGTCGCACAACCCCACGAAAGTGGTCTTCATCTGCTGCCATATTGAGCTTGGCCTGCTAACTGACTAACGGAGCATGGGTGGGACCCCTGCTCCCCAATAAGTCCTCGATGTTGCCTGTTCGGGTCTAAGCCGAAAGCCGACATGGACCAGCCGAAGAAGACGAAGCGGAGGTGTGCGGTGATGGTGGTGGTGAGTGGTGGGTGGTGATGGTGATGGTGGTACCGGTAGTAGTGGCCATGGTGGTAACTACTCCAACATGGCCTGCTGCGGTGGGTTGGTTGCAACGATGGCCGTTGCGCTTTCCGGCGCCGACTGCCCCAAGGCCACAGCAATAACAACAACAGGAAAAGGCCAACCACCAAACAGAAGCCGTCTTTGGCCTCCGACTAAAAGTAGGCGGTGCGGTGCGGTGCACAACACTAACCGATCGCAAATGCATGGGCGGCAAAGCCAGGTCCACGGCGATAGTGATCGAGCGACAGAGAGAGAGGCAGCGACGGAAAGTCCCTTCTACGGAGTGGCGAAGTTCAGGGTTCATGTCCGGTCAGCGTCATTGTTGTTGTTGCCCGGGAGCACCGGGTCATCTAGGGCAGTCAATCAGTCGGTCAGTCGGTCAAGCGGTCGGTCGAGCGTACCGAGAGCCACCAACATGATCATCGCACCTCAAAGTGTCGCGGGCGGGTTTTGGACCGCACTGGATAACGGAGAAAAGTGGTCTGGAATGATCTCACTCCACCACCACCACCACCACCACCACCACCACCACCACCACCACCATCAGAGGCGGTTTCCTTGATGCGGGACGGGCGAAGGCGGGTAGGAGCTGGAGGCATCATCTGTTTCGTCTAGCTCAGGTAACCCGCGGGGTGTCTACTCTATCGGTGCTCCCCAGCATGTTTACCGTGGTGCCCTTCTTCCCACTACTACTACCAGCACCACCCCCGGTCCCCCGGTCACTCCGCTCATGGGTCCGACTGGGGGGGAGGGGGCGGCGGTGCTATTGGGCAGTTGTCCTTAGCGGGAGACACGGAAGCTTTCATTCGGTAGCAACAAGTTTACTGGTGGAGATCTCCTTCCAACTGCTTGCTGGCGGTGGTGGTGGTGGTGGTGGCGGAGGGGAGAGCTCGAGGTGCTAGGCAGAGCTACCTACCCCCCCAGCACAGCAGTTGGCGATTCGGGTCGTAAATCACACATGCTGCGGGCGGCTGGCGGCGGGCAAAAGATGAGGCAACGTCCAGCAGCAGCAGCGTTTCGCGATCGTGTGGTGTCCTCGAGCGTGCATCAGCAGCAGCAGCGGCGGCGTCTCGCGATTCTGCGGTGTCCTCGAGTGTGCATGCTCGACCTGAACATGACGACGCTTGATGTCCTCATCAGCCGCAGGTCTCGATCGGCAAAGCCTCTTCTTGCGGCGGCAGAACATGGCGATTGGTTGGCGGGTTCCGACCGCCTCCGTCCGGCCCTTTGGCCCCGTACCATCTCCATGGCCCTCGGCGTTCTGGCTGCTCGCGAGTCTCTGCACGAAGCGGTCATTATTATTATTTTCTTCTCAGTTGGGGTGGGGAGGGCGATACCGACCGGCAATTGGCTGGTGAGGGAAAATGCACACATAGCTCACAGCACATAGCACGAGCATCCACACCCCATCCACACACACGCCCTCACGCTCACGCACACACACTCCCTCACACTCTCATACACTCACACACACACACCCTCTCGCACACTGCCCGTTCGGACCGCAGAAAGCTGTGCCCTGTCGTGTGCAGGCGTTCGGTTCCCACAACAACAATAATAATAATAATAATCTCCTAGCCAAGTCGGGGCCACACACCCACACACACCCCCCCAAGGGTCCACCCACCCTCCAACCCAACTCAACCCAACCCCAACCCACCCACCCCATCATGCCCCCTCCACCCCAGCCGGAAAATAGTATTAGATATTCGGGCGGTTTCCTGATGTGCCGCTCTGCTTCCTGGCTTCTCTTCTTTACCCTCGTCCTCGCCGCCGCCGTCAGCTCTTTGACCCCTTCGTCGTCGTCGTGGTTTTCTTGTCCGTCCTTCTCTAGCTAACTAACCCTCTTTACCTTCCTTTGGATCCCTCTTTCGTACATGCCGTGCTAGCAGTCTCCCGACTCCCCCATACCTTCTTTTGGTTTCTTGTTTGAATTCGGATTCATTGCGCTTCATTGCCCAAATACCACATACATACCCGCTGCTCACCTCGGACTCGGTCGTCGGAAATCCTTCCATCCCTTTGCCTTTTGGACATCACCCACTGGAACTCGTTCCTTGAATTCTCTCTTTACTCAAAACTTCAAGGGTCTCGCCTTTTGCCAACTTCAACCTGAGCCTGCGTCTGTCGAATCTCTACTTATCACAACACCATCGGAAGACTATCAACAACTGCATCGCAACGTACGCATACACTCGTTAATCAAGATCCTTCGGAATCTCGACCGCAAAGAGAAACATCAGTGCAACATTATAGCCACCTATTAGTACCCAAGAACGACAATTACCTTACTTTAATCGTGATCAATCGACCGTACATCTCTACCGTACCACCTTCACCTACCTCACAATACATCCTAATTCACACACTCGCAATGGAGTCATCACCCTTCCTCTACTACAACCCGGGCAACACGAGCCATCAGTCGAGACAGCACGGCCAGTTCGTGAGCCATCCTCCCTGTGGACTCTCGCCTCAACAGAAGTCCGCTTGCATCGACCGGTCACCTCCCACCTGCACGCTCACAATGCCCTACCCTTCCACCATGATGTACTCTTCTCCACGACTGTCCAACATCCACACTCCTCATGCCCTTACGGCCGAGGCTCTCCAGAAATCGTCAGGTCTTCTGACACCATCCTCGCCCACCCTCCTTGGTCTGGATGGCCCCAACGGCTCGGATGTATATTTCTTCCCTTCCACGCCGACACTCGAGAGCTCCGACAACTCTTCCGCCATGAGCTCCCACCTGACAACTCCCATCAACCAACCTTGGGCCCTTGAGGACGGTTGCAATGGAACCATCACCCCCGCCGAGCTTGAGATGCCTTCCACACCTCAGTTCTGGAAAGAACGATCTCCACTCACCCCAGGTATGCTCGGGAACCAAAAAGTGCACAATTGGCGTCGTTTACTGATTAGCGCTCTCTCTTGTAGATTGTGGCTTCCCCATGCACTACAACCTTTCCTCGCACCCCAGCCCGACACTAATGTTCGCCTCGTGCCCGTCTCTGTCACCAGCATGCTCAGACCACTCCGGATCTTCTGAGATTGACTTCTGCGATCCCAGACAGCTCACCTACCCTTCTCCGAACCAGTCCATCTCCGAGCATGAGTACTTCCCCCGGATCAAGATCGAGGACAGCGACATCAACACATTCGACCTTGGACTCCACGACGTATCTGAGATGATGGATGTTCCCATGGCGACCATCAACCCGGCCGCCCTGTTCGGTGGTATCAAGAGGCTCCGTGAGGACGAGGATGACGAGTCCCTCGAATTTGACGACTCCAGCGACGACGAGAGCATTCTCGGCGAGTCCAACGTACACGGCATGTTGATGCCTCCGAGTCCCCCGGCTTCCGACTTCTCGCGACGTAGTTCCGTAGAGCCCCGCCGCACATGGAAGAAGCTGAGGACTAACACCGACAACGATCTCGACGACATCATCGCCGAGGCCCGAAGGAGGGGTGTCGAGGAGGAGGCCTGCGACGATGGCTTCCTCCAGCCCTTCTCCTGCGGAAGGCCCCTTCTGACACCGACTCCCACCGAGGGCTCCTACAGTGAAGCTTCCGACAACGGTCACGAGCACGACCATGACGAGCACGACCTTGACGGTGATGAGCACGACCATGAGCACGACCACGACCACGACGACATCTCCCCTGCTCCCGTTGTCCGCCGCGGACGCAAGCAGTCCCTGACGGACGATCCTTCCAAGACTTTCGTCTGCCATCTGTGCACTCGCCGCTTCCGCCGCCAAGAACACCTCAAGAGGCACTTCCGGTCGCTCCACACCAAGGACAAGCCCTTCTCGTGCAACGAGTGCGGCAAGAAGTTCTCTCGTTCCGACAACCTCAGCCAGCACGCGCGCACCCACGGCAGCTCCATCCAGATGTCGTTGATTGACGGCTCGGAGATGATGGGACCGGACGGGATGGAGCACCTCCAGGATCACGGCCCGCTAGGGATCGTCCTGGTGGACGCGGCGCAAGTGTCGTCCGGACTCAAGGAGAAGCTCACCAACGCAGCTTCGGAAGCCAAGAAGAACCGACGACAGAAGAAGAAGCGGGATGAGTAATGACGGACGCGAGGACCTTTTGTTGTGGGATTGTTTCTTCTAGCTTCTAGGGATTGGCTTTTTCTGGTTTTTGTTATTTGTTTTTACCGGCGCTGTTAGTGTGTCATTTTTTTAGGTGTTCTGTTTTGGTCATGTGCAATTGGCCTTTTCTAGGCCGTGCTATCAAATGCTTGTGTCATGCTGGTGTGGTTCTTGCACGGTTTTAGATACCGGGTGTTGGGTGGGGGATGGGCTGGCGGCGGGGCGGGGAGGGTTTTTTATATAAAGTATCTTTGTTTTATTATCTGGTTGTGATGTCTTCCTTTCTATTTGTTGTTTTTTTTATCGGCGATTCATTGGGACGGACTTCTGGAACGACTTGTTGTGGCCCACGGGGTTTGGAGGTGGTGGAGGAGGAAAAACTTTCGCGCACAACAATTAATGCGGCGCAACTTTTGGGGATGAACTATTGGGCGATGTGGATGTGGATGTGGATTTGGGTGGAGGAGGAATGAATGCATTTACTTGGATATGGGCCTTTTTCTTTTCGGAATGGACGTGGGACGTGGGTTGGGATGGGAGTTGGGTGGGTGGGAAGGCAAAGACTGGATTGTTTGCAAAAAGAGAGGAGGGTGGTTTCTTTCTTTCTTTTCTTTTTTTTCTTCTTTTCGAATGCCGTATTTTTTTTTGTTACCCACCTTTTTGTTTCTTTCTTCTTTCTTCTTCGATGTTTTTACTTTTACTTTTACTTCTACTTCTACTTGGACGCGCTTACGAGGATATACCAATACGATACGAATATCATCATTCTACAAAAAACTGTCTTAATTGGAACTGTGCTTTTCTATACTCTGGAGTCGTGTTGATCGGGTGACATTGTTCGGATGGTTCGTTTAACTATTGAGATGGACAGATGGACAGATGGACTGAGATGTGGACGGACGGGCAGCAGTGAGCAGTGAGCAGAGAGTGCGCGCGCGGCCTCCGCATGTGTGTGTACAGTGTGTACTCTACAGTGTGTCGTGTGCATGGCAACTTCATCTACTTCATCTACTTCATCTACTTCATCTACTTCATCTACTTCATCTACTTCATCTACTTCATCTACTTCATCTACTTCATCTACTTCATCTACATACATGGAGTACTATATCCTTCACAGTTGATACACACGACCCTCAGGGCTTGCTTTTGCGGTCCTTTTCATTTTCATTTTCATTTTCATTTTTGTTCTTTTTGCCAGTTGCTAGTTGCCAGGAATAGGGCTGGATTAAGACAGGACAGGACAGGACAGGATAGGCCGTGGGGCGGGGGGTTTGTTTTGGATATTTCTTTTCGATATTTAGCTTTTGGCGGGAGTTCTGGCCCCGCTTGAAGCCGCACTCCGCACTCCGCACTCCGCCCTTCGATCTCCGCTCGAGTCCGCCCTTCACCCTTGGTTCTCCGCCTAGTTGCGGGTTGCTTGTTGCGGGTTAACTACTGGTTGCGGGTCACTGGTTGCGGGTCACTGGTTGCGGGATACGGGATGCGGGGATTCTCTTTTCTGCGTTTATATATTTCCTTTGCTTTTATTCGCTCCGATGCGGTTGGATCTGTCAAGTCTGTGTTTCGATGATTCCTTTCCGTCCACAAGAAAAAGACAATTGTTTAACCTTTGTCCGAAAGGAAAAAAGAAAAAAAGGAAAGAAATAGAAGAAAAAACCTGCTTCGAGTCCCACTCGCCCGTGATGTTCCTCCGTCCGGGCTCTGCTCTGCTCTGCTCTGCTCTGCTCTGCTCTGCTCTGTGGTGGAGCGTCGTGCGTGTGTGGTGGCGTGGTGTCGTGGTGTCGTGGTGCCTCAGCTTTCCGCTCTTCCTTCCCTCCTTCTTCGTTCCTTCCTTCCTTCCTTGACGTTTCGCGTGGAGATGCATTAAGTTTTTTCCTGCCAGACAGCGAGCTGCATCAAGAAAACTTCTCTGCTGCCATGCTGCTTCCGTGGGTGGTGGTGGTGGTGGTGGGTGGTGACGGCCAAGTTCCTGCATCATCGGCGGTCGAGTTCCTGCAGCAAGGTGGGTGGGCAGGCTATATGCTACATATGCGTACATACACTATGTATCCACGTCTCCGCCGCAGTGTTGCAAAGTCACTCACTCACTCACTGGCTGGCTGGCACCGGCAAAGTCACGCACTTCACGCACTGCCGCGAACCTGCTGCGAACCGAGGAGGGAAGGTGCGTACGATACGATACTACGATACGATAGTTACTGCGATACCTATCCTATCCACTGAGATACACATCGCATCGTATCGTGTAGCGTCTTTGCAATTGGCGGGTTCTTCCCCACCACCACCCACCACCGCTACCAGGCTCACCTCACCTCATCTAGGTAGAGTAGATACACCGTTTCGCAATGTATGTAGAGTACCTAGAGCACATATACGCAGGAACGCAGGCACGCAGGCACGCAGGCACGCAGGCACGCAGGCACGCAACTACCGCGCTGGATGGGGTGGGATGGGATGGGGCGGGATAAGATGGGATGGAGTGGGACGTGATGGGATGGTACGGAATGGTAGAGTATATACGGGATGGGATGGTACGGAATGGTAGAGTGTATACGGGATGGGGGCCAACCTCTGTTCGCATCTCTCCACGTCCGTCCCCAAGCAGAGCCCTGGTACCGTATCGCCACGGGCTCGACGATAACTATGATGCTAGATGATCGGTGCCAGCTCAGCTGTCAAATCGACTACTACTACTACTACTACTACTACTACTACTACTACTACTACTACTACTACTAGGTAGCCAGCAAGCTTCCCACTTTAGACGCAACGTCGGCGACGCCTTCGAGATACCTGTGTACCTACTCTACATGCCCACTCTAGAGTGCTTACCGTGCCTCTCTTCCTCTAGAGTATCTACTCTAGCATAGTACAGATATTAAACCTGGGGGCGGCCCCGGAGAGAGAGAGAGAGAGAGAGAGAGAGAGAGAGAGAGAGAGAGAGAGAGAGCTGGCAGTCCCTTCCTTCCCTTGCCTTCCTTCCCTTCCTTCCTTCCGTCCTTCCATCCACCCTCCCCCCACCCATCCCACCCATCCACCCACCCCACCCCACCGCAAAGCTTGCATCTGGGACCTTAATATCGGAGAGTGGATTCCATAACAACCAGGAAATCAAATATAATCGTTAAATACCCATGTGCATTGCATGCATCGAGCCCTGTCCTCTCACTGCTCACCCATGGCGGCAGTGAGCGTTTCGCATCCGTCCAACGAGGGAAATAAAAACCCTACAAGAAAGAAAGAAAGAAAACAGGACTGGAAGGGAAAAAAGAGAGGGAAAAAAAGATTCCCCATAGATATGCCAGTGACAGTGCCAATGCCAATGCGATGATGTGATAAGTCAGTCCGGAAGGGACGGACGGACTGGGACTCGGCCACTGCGCATCTACGGTACATATCGACTCAACTCTGGTTATCGATGATGTCTCGGAGCTTCTCTTTCCCTCGCTACTAGCTAGCACCTACACATCAGAGCTGTGCATAACCACTTTCTGGAGCTCGAGAGCAAACATCCCCCACCCTTCCCATCGTGAGCCAGCTCTCTAGAGTCTACAAGCACTAGGACTCTATGTACGGTAGATACGACGCCCGCCCGGCGCCCGATGACCTGGGTTGGGTTCAAGTTCGGAGCTGGGGGTGGGAGTGGGAGCTGGGGGTGGGTGGGAGACCTCAAGGCTCAGACGCCATTTTAGCCCCGCCACTCTACTACTAGTATACTCTAGGCTGGATACGTATGGTCTGACCCGAGCATGCGACTCTCGGGCCCTTCGCCTTCGTCTTCGCCTTTGCCTTCCCCCCCACCCACCCAGCACAGCAGGTCGAGATCGATCAAATTCAGCAAGCCAGCAAGCCAGCTCGTCTACCTAGCTAGCTAGCTAGCTAAGCCCAGTAGGTAAGTGCTCTAGAGTAATCAAGATTCAAGCCCTCGACTCTCGACTCTCGACTCTCGAGCTCGAGCTCGAGCTCGGGCCCGCCCGCGGGGATAACTATCATAACTATCATTTTGTATGTGCCCAGGAATAATACGCCGGTCCAAGCCGTGGCGGTGGCGGTGAGGAAAGTAGGTACCAAGGTAAGTACTCTAGGTAGGCATCATCGCCGGCGTGCGCAGAGTAATCCCGTCATGTTTAGGGATGTTTGGGGCGCCCCGCCGCCGCCGCAATTTGCCTCCCGGATCGGATGGATATGTAGAGTAGAGTACTCTACCGCCGCGTAGGTGGGTGGGTGGGCCGGGTACTCTACTCTACTGATGGTGATAGTGATGGTGATGGTGATTATCTGGATTGGTTGGCTGGATGGATGGATGGATGGATGGATGTCGGGGTAAGCTGGCTGGTTCGCTGGCTGGCTGGCTTGCTGGTGCGAGCTGCTAACTAGATACTATCATACCCGTAGGTACCATGTGACCACTCGAGTCAAGTGACTTCCCGCACTTACATACATATATACGGTACTTATCACCAACAGGCTGGATGGACGGACGTCCACGATTGGATCATCGTCAAGCAAGCGAGCGGCGGGCGAGCGACCGCGGTCCGCGGACGGATGGCCTGCCTTGCTTGCCAGCTGTATCCACCTTCCAGTTGGCAGCGGGCACCGGGGGGACGGCGACGGGGATGGGGACGGGGACGGGCTAGCTTCAAGCACGCCTCGTGGACTACCCTACTCTACTATACCGTACGTCGGCTGTTCCGTCATGGTTCCATGTAGCCGAAGCGAGGAACCAGACATCCATCCAGCGCGGCCTCGCCGGCGGAGGGATGAGTGGAAACGTCCGTTACGGTGGAGTACATGAGGAAAATGCAAGATCGGAAAAAGCGAAAACCAAAACAGGGTCATGGAGGATTACTCGTGTACTACTTATGTACTCTACGATATCTACTAGCTCTACTAGTAGGCATGTATGACAGGGCGGATATCTATCTACTGGTGGACTCAAATCCACTCTACCTCGGCAATGAGCGGTTCTCCAGCATCCGCGTCAGCCGCTACCCCTTCGGCCCAAAAGTCCTTGTCCCTATCCAGCAGGAGGTCACGATACCATTTGCCCAAGAGCCTCGCGTCTCTGTTGTGGTGACTGTAATTATCCTCCTCCTCTTCCTCCCCGTCGTCATCATCATCGCTCCACGAGCTGTACTCAAAAAATTCAGGAGACGGCCTGCTGGTCTTGTGTGTCTTGCTTGTCTTGCCGGGGTTACGTGCGTCGCTGCCGGTTACCGGTGGCCGGTTGTACTCCGTGTCTGCCCACTTCGGCCGGCCTGTATATTGGTCAGCCATGCATAGCTCATCACTCGCTGACAATGAAGGGGGGATGAACAGTTCAAGCAAAGTCCCCTGCTATCATTCAATCTCGGCTGTTCTAAGCAGACATAGCACCTTCTATCGTGAGCACCCCGAAATTCCTGTTCCCGCGGGGTCGAAATCGACCTCGTAGCTAACCCCTCATTAGCATCATCACACTCGCACTCGCACTCGCAGGGGGGGGGGGGGAGAAGGGAAGGGAATCAAACGCGATAACAAATGCCGACAAGTCCTACACAGCCCAGACTTCAGCTTCCTACCGAGTCCCGGACCCTTCTCGCAGAGGCGGCACACGGCGTCGCCCTGAGCATCGCGCACGATCTTGAGAAGTTTCGGCCTGCCTTTGGGGGGGGAGGGGGGCGTGCCGCGTCAGCACTTGCTCTCTCTTCGAGGAGGGGTGGGAAACCAACAGCCCTGACAATAATACCGCCCATCGCGCTTCCGCACATCCTTCGTGGTGCCATGGCAGGCGGAACACGTCTTCCCTACGACCATACCTCCACCTCCACCTTCACCTTCACCTCCACCTTCGCCGTCGCCCTCACCATCACCTCCACGCCGCGGCCCCGCGCGCCCCGTGATCTCAATGCGCCGCTGGAACCCGAGCGCGTCCCGGCAGCCAAAGGATTCGTCAGAGGTGTTCCTGCGCAGCGGGAGCTTTTCCGTCGGGTGCGAGAGGCAGCGGCGTTTTTTCGGGCTACTACCGCCGCCGCTGCCGCCACCGCTGACGCTACCGCAGCTGACGTTGGAGAATAGGCTGCGGATTCGCGCGGGGATGTGCAGATGGTGGTGGTGGTGCTTTTGCTTGCTATTGCTGGGGTGTGCGGGTAACGATACTGTGGGCATTTTGGAGAGGGGGAGGGGGGAGGTGCACAGGGAAACTGGGGCGCTGGGGCAAGGTCACTTGTAGAGCGGGTGCGTTCAGGTTGGTGGGGTTCAAGAAGACTGGTCTTCACTCTGGTGGGTTCTGGGCCGGTGGTGGGGGGCTGAGGGTTCGACTTGAAGCTTCAAGCTCTGCTAGCGTACGATGGCCGGGGTATAAAGAGCTTAGAGGGCCCGTAATACCGACCGAGTAGCTGGCTTCTGCTTGGTTGGAACTACGGCTGATGGTCCGGAGGACTGTGGCCTTCGAGATTCGAGATTCGGGGGGTGCATGGCGAGCACCCGGCTGTTCGTGCGGCCAAACGGTCCGCCAACGGAAACAGAATCAGTATCGAAGAACCACGACTTCCTCTCCCGCAGAGTGACAAGCAGTAAAAGCCAACCTGGTATCCCAACGCCGGCGCTGCTATTCCAGCCATATTAGGTAGTCCGGACATCTTGCCAATATCAGGCCCGCCATCACCTATCCGTGTGATGTGTGTGATGCCGGTACGCGCAGAAAAACACAGTACTCTAGTGACCGCTGTCGTCCCTAGATGGATGATGGATCTTTACGGAACTTCTTTGGAGTTTACGCCTGGATGATGGATCTTAGAAAAGATGGTCTGAAGTTTCGGACTCGTGAGTGATCATCCTCTGGTTTAAAGAATATGGGACCGATTCGAGTCTTAAGGTGCTCGGAAGCTGGGATTGATACCACGCGAACGCCGTGATGCGTAGCAAAACTAGCTTTGAGGAAGTACGAACTTCTAGGCAGCTGTGTGGAAACGGCATCCACCCAGCGTTTGGGGGAGTACGCATTTGTCGTGACGCCCTCTCAGTCTAGCTTTGATCCGGGATTCAGGAGCAACTTTTCTTCAAAAGACTGCACAGCTGCCAAGAATCTATTTCGCATCAAATTCGGATACTGCATCACACGAGGCAGATGCAGTGGAGTATCATCACCAGATCACCAAAAATACGTCTTTCAAGGAACACCCCACGAACACCATATGAACCCAGAGTTCTTTATAACGCTTTCTAATTGTGTATCGGTATTGTGATGCAAATTCAATATTTGCTTTCTACAAATGTAATTCATTTGACCTCTTTATTAATTCGGGCTTTCGTCAAATGCCGTATTTCAACAGATTGTTGGGTTAATCCAGTGTAGCTCCGGGATCGATTTTACCCCGTTTTTTTGCCACTGCTGCTCACTCACAACGAGTGACTCGGCTCCTACGCAAGCCACCAATTTGGACAAGTCATAACTGCGCTTTCGACACAGTCACTTGCACTCACTGAATCCATCGACGACGACATCGCTTGGTGGGCCTGGTTGGATCGAGTTTCGGAAGTCCACGAACGGAGATTTCGCGATATCCTACGAACGAACGAACAACATGACATTTTCTTTGCACTATGCTGTTGTGCGGATGAAGTAGTTCGCTGGTAGTTCTCTAGTATTGCGGACAGTGCGTAATATTAAGAACTGCAGTAGTTCTTCCGGCTTTTGTAGTAAGCTTATCTTTACAACACTGCGTATAATGTTTTCCTTACTGCAGAAATGAGAATATAGAAAAACAAATACCAGAATAAATCTGTATTTTCCGAGACTGCTGGATTCAATACCGAGCGGTAGTACTACTGGAGACCTTCGGCATCAATCGCACCCCACTTTTTGCTACTGTATTCTACCGTACACTGCTTTGACACCCCCCCCCCCCCCCCCCCCCCCCCCTCCCACAAACCCAAGCGCCATGGCGGCGGCTTGATATGTCTGTCGTATCCCAACCAGATCACCGAAGCGGTGTTTAGATCTGTTTCCTTCGAAGCATTATATATTCAAAATAGGAGGGTAAGATGTTCTGGTATGCTTGTTGATCCCGCTTGCCACCAAACCCATGTTTTCGCCGGTTTCAAAACGGCCCTGCACCATGGCAGTGGGAATACCTGCTCGCTTTGATGGCGATACCACCCCCCGCACTATCCCCATCTTCTTCGGTTTGAGCCTCCTGGTCCGGAGTCACTTCCTAGCATCAGCTTGCCACCTCCCATCACTCGACAATAGTTGCTGCTACCTATCCCAACACGAATGGAGACCGGATCGGATTTGAAAGAGACGGGATTATGTACAATGCTGTCCCGATCGGAAGCGGCCGGATCCAGAACGATGAAACAAAAACACCTCCCGAGATCCCCCCATCTAAAACTTGGCCTTCCCGCTCGGCCAGTCCTTCCAGCCCCTTCCATGACCCCTCCGTTTCCACTCCTCGATGAGCGCAGGCATCTTCTCCATAGCCTGTTTCCGTATTTCGAGCCTGGGGGGTCGCAGCAATTAGCAATCCATTCCGCTCCGCACCAGCCATTGCGAGTATGGCATCATCATACCTGGACTTGAGCGTCCTCTCCTCCTTATGACCCCTCACGCGCATTGGCTTCTCAGCCCTCTTCAGCCGGGCCGCCTCGCGCGCGGCCGAACTCTTCTTCGTGGGCGGCAGCAGCTCTTCGACTCCATATCGGCGCGCGAGCTTGCACAGGTCCGCCTGGCGCCGCAGCGAGAACACCGGGTTGTGCCACTTGCCCGTCACCGGGAACACGGTCGGCTTGAAGGGGTTGCTGCGCACGTCATTGGCGGTGCCCGGTGGGTACCGCGCGAAGAACCGGGTTAGCCGTGGCGGAAGCAGGCGCGCGAGCGAGACGAATGTCGACGCGGCGGCGGTGGCGGTGGTGGGCGTGGCCATTGTTGTTGTACGGTGACCAAGTTGTGGTGAGGTCGTGGTGGGCCGGAGGTGCAGGTAGTTCGTGGTATGGTGGGGGAAATTTTGTGGGTGGCCGGGTAAAGGTGCGTCATGGCCGAGCATTCAGAACGATCTCCAGCAAACAATCTACAAAACCCATTCTCCAGCAATCCCTCATCCCGGAGAAATCTGGATTCGCTTTCTCTCCAGACTATATATTACTACCGGTACATGTACATCAATTCTTCCACTTCCCACCGCCACCCCCAGTGCCCCCCATGATCGAATCCTGATCCCGATCCCGATCCCCGCCACCACCGCCTCTATCACCGCCCGCCTTCCTCGTTCTCGTAGGCTTACTCTGCGCCGCCTCGTGTTTCCTATTTCCCACACATTAGCCATTATCCCACACTGGAAAGGAGAAACAGCTACGAACCTCAATTCCTCCGGCACTCTCGAAATCGCACTCTTCATCAGCATCTGCTTTAGATCATACATGACATCTGTATCTTCCGGACCGAGGAACGTGATAGAGACACCACTCTTTCCCGCACGACCAGTACGTCCGATACGATGCGTGTACTGCTCAATACTCGTTGCCATATTGAAGTTGATAACCAAACTGACATCAGGTACATCGATACCTCTACCCGCAAGATCGGTAGCGACGAGGATATCCGCCTGGCCGGAGCGGAGCTGGTGGAGTGCCTGTTCACGCTGGTCCTGCGATTTCGATCCGTGGAGCGTGACAGCATGCCAGCCAGAGTGCTTGAGATCCTTTGCGACGGCATCGCAGTTTCGCTTGATGTTGACGAAGACGATGACTGGGGGTGAGTATTCGCGCGAAGCGAGGAGTTCCAGCATGCGTTTCTTGCGCTTATCTTCGCCCGGAACGAACTCGACGCGCTGTTCGACAGTGTCTACAGCTTCGCCGGCGTTACCGATGGTGACGATTGCCGGGCGTCGGAGGTATTTACGAGCTATACGTTCGATTGCCGGAGGCATGGTGGCTGTGTACATCATTGTCTGACGGAAGCGGTCTTTACCGCCAAGGTGTTTGGACATCAGCACCGGGTTCTCAGCGTCTTCGGTGTCCGGCTTGATATTGTGAACTGGTAGGGCGTCGAGGATCTTGTTTACACTCTCTTCGAAACCCATGTCGATCATGCGGTCGGCTTCGTCCATGATCACGTAGCAGCATTGCGAAAGGACCAAGAGACGACGCTCGAGACAGTCGACGAGACGACCGGGCGTGGCGATAATGATCTCGGCACCGTCTCGGAGGTTGTAAGCTTGCTCTTCGATGGTGTGACCTCCAACTATCGAGACACAGGTGAATCCAAGCGGCGTGGCAAACTTTTTTGCTTCCGTTTCGATCTGCTGGGCCAATTCACGCGTCGGTGCGAGGATGATGGCGTATGGACCGTCGTTCTTCGTGAATTCCGTCAATCCAGGAAGCTCGGAGATGTAGACCAGCAATGGCAGGATGAACGACGCCGTCTTTCCGGAACCAGTAACAGCGACACCAATCAGATCTCTGTTCTGCAGAGCAATCGGAATCGCAGCTCGTTGAATCGCCGACGGGTCCTTGTATCCAACCTCATCCACCACCTGCAGCAACCTAGTCGGCAACTGACTCTCCTCCCAACTCCTCATCGGCAGCGGAATGCCTCCTCCCCTCGTAGCAATATTAAAGTCCTCCTTGAAAATTCTCCAATCGCGTTCCTTCATCATCTCGAGCGGTTTCTCGGACCAATGCTTATCGACCCAATTCGTCGCCTCGCGTTTCTTCCTCTCCATCTCCATAATCTCCTTTGCTCTCCTGGTCTCATCTTCACCGCGACTCTGCAGCGCTTGCAAATACGCATCCACCGGTTTCTCGGAATCCGCGAAACCCCCCAACTTCCCCCTTCCAAAGAATCCTATCTGTTGTCTCTCCTCGTCGAGGGAAGTATCCTCCTCCGCCCCCCACTCAAACGTAAACTTCCTCTCATGCGTTTTCCGCCGCTTCTTCTTGCTCGCAAGAACAGAAGTGTCAGGGTCGACACCCATATATCTTCTCTTCATCTCGGCCGCCGCCAGCTCCTCCGCAGCCGATAAGCTCCGCTGGTATTTCTTCTTCTCTTTCGGTTCGTGGTGCTGGTGCTGCGGCGGGGGCGGCGGCGGGGGCATATCCCTCCCATCCCTCTGATTCCCCGACTTCCTCATAGCGGCCGGGCCCGTCGGGGGCTCTCTACCGACCCTCGCATTGCCACCCCCTCCCCCACCTACCATCCCACCATTCGCTCCCCCATTCCCGCCCCCGTTTCCGATAACCCCATCCTTCCTCTCGCGCTCATCCCTCAATCTCTCGAGCGCGCGCTTCTCGCGCTCCGCCTTGGACAAGAACTTGGGCCGCTTCGCCGCCTCGTCCGCCTCCTTCTTCTTCTGCAGGATCTGCTCGATGCTGAGTGGCCCGCGGCCGGCGGGCGGCTTCGGTTTCGCCTTGGGCGGCGGCGGGGGCGGAACCTCGTCTGCTGGGGGCGGCGGCGGAGGCGGCGGTGGTGGCGGAGGCGGCGGCGGCGGGAGCGTGTCTGATGGCGGTGGCGGTGGCGGTGGCGGCGGTTGTGCTATTGAGGACATTTTTGGGGTATCGCGTGTCGCGTGGTGAGCTGCGGGTGGGACCGAGACGTGTGTGGTGGAGGCGTCGAGGTTGAGGTGCGGGTGAGTGAGGTGGGTAGGGTAAGTGGTGCACATATTATCACTTAGGAGTTTGTTGTCATGTGACATCTCAACCCTGGTGTCTACCTATGTGAAGAGGGTTGCCAAAGTTGGGAAAGGCCGCATGCGAGGGAGTTGGAGAGTGTTTTGAATTTACGATTTCACTGGTGGTGGTCAATCGCAACAACTAATAGCATGATTCATTACTAAGGTGCCTAAGTAACTATCCCGTCAAACAAATGATATACCTATGCCAATAAGAGAAGTAAGTATCGCAAAAACAACCACAGACCAACCACAGAACAATCAGAAAACAACCAGAAAACAATGCAATTAGAAAACAATCACTCTAGAGGCCACAAATCGACACTCTAAAGGCTAACAAATCGTCATTGCCTATTCCACCGCAGTGACATCAGGAGCATCCTCAACAAACGTCAGGTCCGCCTCTCGTCCAACGATGGTGACGCCGAAGTCGATTTTGCAAGCCAATGTGACCTTCGTGCATCCCCAGATAGTGATATGGGTGATGCCCCTCTCTTGCATCGCCTCGACAACCTCGTCGTCCACCGACCTAATGAACCCTACATCAATCGTCCGTAACTTCTTGAAATCCGGCAATGCCTGCAAGAGGCCGTGCTTGGTGATGTCTCCGCATGAGGTGAGGTCCAGCATCTCGAGCGTCTGTCCGCTGTGGGTCGCAAGCGCCAGCAACGCAGCGTCTCCGAAGCTCTCGGGACGAGCAATGTGAAATTCCCGTAGTCCGCGGTTCTTATCCCAATTGGTGAACAGGTTGGTGATGTTCAGGTCCGTGAGAAGCTCGCAATCATTGAGGTTGAGGACGCGCAGATGGGCACAGCATGCGTGGATTGCGTCCAGGGTCTCCTGCGTAAGAAGCATGTTGCCTGAGAGGTTGAGCTCCTCAAGGCCCGAACCAATGACGTCTAGAAGCGAGATCACAGAGGCGTCGGTGATGCCGCCACCAGCAAAAGAGATATCAAGGCTCTTGAGCTTCGGACAATTTTCGAGCGCCAACACACCGTCGTCGTCAAGTCGAGCGAGGTGGGAAAGACACAAAGATTTAAGGTTGGGGCAGTTCACGGCGATAGCCTCGAAGACGTCACTATTGGTGCGAGCCGTCGAGGTGAGACTGAGCGATTTCAAACGAGGTCCCACGGTCTCGAAGAATTTGGCGTACACTCCGGCGCTGACAAGGAAGGCGCCACGGATATGAAGAGACTCGAGGCATTTGAGCTTCTCAGCATAATACGGAAGGACTTCATCAGTCATCTTTCCGCAGTGATGCAAAGAGAGTTCGCGGAGATGTGGAAGAAACGCTCCAATGGTGCGCAAATTGTCGCTATCAATTTCTACCGATCAAGTGTTAGCAGCAAGCATGTATGAGTGGGTACAGAGGAAACATACTGGCACAGTCGTACAACGTCAACTTTTCCGATTCCTTATCATTCTCGAGGAACAATCGCATGGTGTGGTTCGTCAAAGATCTGTTGCGCGAGATGATCTGGCAGATCCGGTCCATAAACCTCTCGGGGAGACCCCCGAAATCGTCGACCTGGTCAATACCCCTCGCCACGTACTGCCGTGATATTAGTCTTCTACACCGTGAGAGGGGATATGATGACAGCTAGCACAAACCTCGATGCAATAGTCCTTGAGACTCTTAGCCATGCAGGCCTGGTTGTTGTCGAGAGCATTACGCAGGTTGTCACGCTTGGCTTTCTTCGTGGTAGTACGTTTCTTCTTGACCGTCTTTTTGGCCTTTCCATACTTGCTGCCACATTTGGAACACAGCATGCCATCTCCCTCCTGGGCGGCACAGGTATAAGCGGTGACAGTGAATCGAGACTCGCATTCGGCACAGAAGGTGATCTGGCCTGGATTTGGAGTATTGCTCTGTTCGACAAAGTCGGGGTTGAAGTCCACATCGTCGGCATCTGATTCATCATCAAAGTCTCGCTTCCGCTTCTTTTTCGCTGGCTTCTTTTCCGCTTTTGCCTTTCCTTTAGGCGCTGGGTTGGAGGGCCCTGCTGTTGTTTCCGCCGCTACCGCTGACCCTGCCGCCGCCGCCGCCGCCGCAGCTTGTTCTTCCAATTGTTCCAAATTCCGCCTGTGGGCGCGCTGCCTGATCTGCGCAGCACTGATACCTTTCTCCTGCAAAGATCATGAGCCCATATACCACAAAAAATTCAAGCAAACATACCCGCAAGAACTCCGTTAGAGCAGAATTCGGCCCGCGAACATCTCCAGGACGTCTCCCCGACCTGCCGAGACATGTAAGTGACACGAAGCGTGAATTTTATTGAGAAATCATACATGACTGTTGTTGCTGATGCTACTGTAGGTGTTTATTTGAGAGCCTGGGGGTTGTTTGGATCGTTGGTGCGTTGGGTCAAATGGTCCAAGCAAAGAGAGAGCAGGAGGAGGAAGAGGAGGAAGAGGACCGGAGAGGACCGGAGAGGAAGCGAAGAGTAGACGGATGTGTGGGGGATAGGGTTGTGGTGAGGCCGGTGGTAGGGGTGGAGGTGGCGGTAAGTAGAGGGAGAGGTAGGTAGAGGTGGGTAAAGGTGGGTAGAGGTAAGTAGATGTAGAGGTAGAGGTCCTCTAGAGTAGAATAGATGGAGGAGAGCTCTTTAGTGTTGCTGCTGCAAGGCGACTCGGCCGTTCTTTGGATCTTTGGACCCCGGTCAGATATTTCGTGTGGGTTGAATTTTGGAGGGGTAGGCAATTTTACGGTACAAAGTACTGTTCTACAGTAGCTCTCAAAGCTCGGGTCGACGCGTCTCGCTCAGGATGCTGCGACGCGGTAAGTGGAAAGCGGCATCACGAGCATCAAGAGCTAGTGGCGGTGATTGATAACAGGTAGCAGAATTAACTCTCAATGACAATTCTGTAGATGGAGAGGATGACAATTCAGACCGAGAAAATGATCTAGGTGTCTCTGTTGCGTTGTGATTTATTGGCTGACAGAAGTACTGGACGCGAAAGGAAAAAGTGAAATTGCCCCTCTTGGAATTTGCCACAAACACGTCTTCCCGTGGATCTAAGGTGCACGCAAGAGAAAACTTACACGGGTTCGAGACGCGACTTCAATTCGAAGCTCGCCCCTCCCTCCATCCCCCGTTAAACAGCACACTCTATCTTCCTCTCCTCTCCGTCTTTCTCTCACCTTCCTCCTCTCCACCTTTGCCATCATACAAAGATCTCTGTCCATCTCTGCCAGTCATCCAATTACCAGGTAAGCAGTTCTTCTGGATCTCCTTCGCTTACTCGCTCCGCCCCACCCCCATCATCTCTCTTTTGCTAGCTTGCGATTGCCACTCCCACCTCGAGTAACACTCGTATCGCAGTACGGCAATCGACAGAGAACTCAAGACATTCTCTCACTCCTACCCTTTCATCCCGTCCCGTTGTTCCCTGATCCCCCTTTGTCAGAATCAAACATCCCCACCCCCTTCCCCCTACCAATCAAAACCCTTCCGTCTCGCAGCCCCCCTTTCGCATACATCCACCGCAATTACTAGCCCTCTCGGTTTCTTGCTGCTCACAACCGCTGCGTTCTAGCTACTCGACTCAGCTTCATCTGACAGCTCCATACAGCATCCTCACAGAGATGGTTCGGAGAAGTTGTAAGCTTGATCCCTCTGTTGCCAGTTGGCAGGAGAAGCTCACTGACATTATCTGCTGTAGCTGCTCGCTTGTCTGCGAAGGCTGCATCGACGACGAAGACTCCATCACAGTCCCTCACAAAGCAGAAGACGGCTGCTAAACCCGCCAAGTCGAGATCGTCCACCGCCACTGTTGCTGCTGCTGCTGCTGCCGCTTTCGACAGCAGCAGCGACAACGACAACGGCAGCGATGCTCCCTCCACCAAGCGCCGTCGTAGAAACAACGGCACGGCATCGACTATCAAGAAGAACAATGTCGCTGTCATCGAGAATGCTGCTTCTACTAAGACTTCCAAGGCCGTCTCTCCCACATCGTTCGAGTTCAGTCGTGCGGGCACTACCGACACTGCCATGACCAGCGGGAGCGATTCCGCCACTCTACGGCGGCGCAAACGACAGTTGAAGAACCAAAACGACGACGAGGACGAAGGAGATGATCTTGATGAAGAAGGTGACTCCGGAGATTTCACGGAGAGGCCAGAGTTCGAAGATTCCGAGGAATTGGAGCCACTGTTCAGCGATTTCGCGGAGGGGTCAGAGTTCGAAGATTACGAGGAGGGGCCAGAGTTCAGAGATTCCGGGGATGACGAGGACGGAGATTACGAAGAGGACAAATCCAAGAACCTATCGAAGGTAGGCAGGAAGTGGAAGGGCAGATCTGTGCCAGTCGATATCCTGGAGGAAAAACACACGGCCCAACATAAAGCTGCGAAGCCTGGGCTCTTGCATGGTCGTATGTGTCAAGATCGATATATTCCCTACTGGATGCCGTCGGAAGATCTAGAGGAAACCCAGAAGAGTCGATTTGAGAAGCTGCAAAAAGAGTACGGAGGATTGCACAAGGAAGAATACGACTCGGATGTCCTCGACGAGGAGGATCCTGATTTTCCTAGAACAGCATTCGTTCCGGATGACCCTCACAATACCCGCAGGGTGAGTTCGGTACCTTGGTTATCCGAGATTTGGACATACGACTGATACTGCTGGATACAGAGCACTAATGACCGTGCATTATTGTATTATTATCATGGGGAGCTCAGGAATGTCTGGCTCGAACTGGGTCTTCGTCGCAACATCACGGTCAAGGAAGACCCCCAGCCGCCTGGACTAGCACTTAAGCTTCTGCCCTTCCAGAAAGAAGGACTGCATTGGATGCGTGTTCAGGAGAAGAGTGCTTACAAGGGAGGTATTCTTGCCGACGAAATGGGCATGGGCAAGACCGTACGTGTATCCTTGGAGCATCCGACAGGCGGTGTTTGGCTAATTGGTATTTCAGATTCAAACCCTTGCTCTCATAATGACTGATCCCAATGCTGGTCCCAACCTCGTTGTCGCTCCCACCGTTGCGCTCATGCAGTGGAAATCTGAGATCGAGAAATACACCGGCGATGCTTTGAAGGTGTATCTCTTTCACGGAGCATCGAGATCCACGGATCACAAAGAGTTGTCAAAATACAATGTCATCTTGACCAGCTACAACCTTGTCGAGTCTGTGTATCGGAAGCAACAAACTGGCTACAGGCGCAAGAACGGAATCGTCAAGGAAGACAGTGGTCTGCACAAAGTCATGTATCATCGAGTGATTTTGGACGAAGCCCACAATATCAAGGTATGCATTGGAACTGCCTTCCCATAGACTTACTACGTCTAACCCTTCATGCAGGACCGCACAAGCAACACCGCGAAAGCAGTGTTTGCTCTCAAGACCAAGTACAAGCTGTGCTTGTCCGGAACACCCCTCCAGAATCGCATTGGAGAGCTTTTCTCCTTACTCCGCTTCTTGGAGATCGATCCTTTCGCATACTATTACTGCCGAAAGTGCCCATGCAAGCAACTCCAGTGGAAGTTTTCCAACAATCGCAGCTGTGATAGTTGTGGCTGCTCTCCCATGAGCCATATCAGCTTTTTCAACTACGAGTGTTTGAAGCCGATCCAGAGAGATGGAAACACCGGTGCGGGAAAGATTGCGTACAACAATATCCGTCATCTTTTGAAACACATCATGTTGAGGCGCACCAAGAACGAACGCGAGGACGACCTTGGACTTCCGAACAAGGTGGTGCGCATCCGCAAGGACAAATTCTCGGAGGAAGAGCTTGACCTTTACGACTCCATCTTCTCGGATGGCAAGAGGAAGTTCGAGACCTATGTCTCACAAGGAGTTGTCCTAAACAATTACGCGAACATCTTCACCCTCATCACTCGTATGCGGCAGATGGCCGACCATCCGGATCTGGTGCTTCGGAAGCATATCGAAGATGGACAGGTCACGCTGGTCTGCGGAATCTGCGATGAGGAAGCTGAGGAGGCGATCAAGTCCAAGTGTCACCACACATACTGTCGCGACTGCGTCCAGCGCTACGTATCCGGGTTTTGTGGCAACTCGGCCCCCGAATGCCCCAAGTGCCATATCCCGCTTGTGATCGATCTTGCTGCTCCTGCCATTGAGCCTGATTCCTATCAGCCTAAGCGTACCAGCATCGTCAACCGGATCGACATGACCAACTGGCGCTCCTCGACCAAGATTGAGGCGCTCTGCCACGAGCTCTACCGCCTCCGTCGCCCGTACCAGACCACCAAGTCCATCGTGTTTTCGCAGTTCACGTCCATGCTCCAATTGATTGAATGGCGTCTCAACCACGCCGGCTTCAAAACCGTCATGCTACAGGGCTCCATGTCACCGGCGCAACGCGATGCTACGATCAAATACTTTATGACCCACGTCGAGGTCGAAGTATTCCTCGTCTCCCTCAAGGCCGGTGGTGTCGCACTCAATCTCATCGAGGCAAACCATGTGTTCCTCATGGAGCCGTGGTGGAATCCCAGTGTCGAATGGCAGGCGGCCGACCGCATCCACCGTATCGGCCAGACTCGCGTCTGCACGGTCACCAGGATGGTGGTGGACGACAGCATCGAGAGCAGGATCATCGAGCTGCAGGAGAAGAAGACGAGGATGATCGAGGCCACCGTCAATGCGGATCAAAAGGCTATGGAACGCTTGACTGCTGACGACATGAGGTTCTTGTTCCAGAACTGAGCTATTCCGTTTCCTTTTCTGGGGCGCATCCTGGGGCGTATCGTCGTTTGGAGTTTGCTTTGCTTTATTTTTTTTTTACTGGCAAGATTGGCGAATGGATTCCTCATTCCTTTGATACTTTGATGGTTTTACTTGTATTTTTGTTTTCATTTCTGCACATACCATTTACAACTAGAGATTTGGGGGTGATGATGGAGCAGCTTAGCGTTGTGAACGGGGCGAAATGGCATGCTTTACTTTTACTCTTACTTTTCTTTACTTTTCTTTACCTTTGTTTCTTTTTTCATGATGCTTTACTTTTACTAGTACTTCTGCTTTTTTCACGTTTCTCATGATGCTTTACCTTTACTAGTACTTCTACTTTTTTCTGCTTTTCTCATGATGCTTGCTTGCTTGGGACGCTCGTTCTTTGGGGGCGATGATCAGATTATGTAGCAGCTTAGCATAGTGAACGGGGCGAAATGGGCATGCTTTACTTGTACTTTTACTTGTCTCTCCTTTTCTCATGATGCTTGGAATTCCCCTTCGTTCTTGATAGGATGGTACCGGTACCGGTACAAAAGTACATACGATTAGAGTGCAACGGGTGACCATGTAACGAGTGATATGCGATAATCCGAACGGCCATCATTACTATGGAGTACCACAACCCAGGCGCGAGATCTCAGGTCCCAGGGCAAAGCATCGCGTGGTCCAGCGGATGATTTTACCTCTAGTATCCGAGTCGAGACTCGAGAGTAGTTCACGACCTATGAGCCTTGGACCGATCACCTTGGGGCCGGCCACCTCTCCCCCCAACTACTCCCGCTTCAGGGTGTGTGCCGGATACATAGTTGCCTCCCTCCCTCTGTACATACCTACATATCCATGGCCCATGGAATCGATGTGACGCCGGACGGCACTGACGGGCGACAGGAACGTAAACGTGTGTATGTACCTAGCCGCTGAGCGTGGATGATAGATCCACGTGGTTGCGGTGTGGTTGCAGTGCGGCGTGACACTACTACCGCAACTACCATCACCGCGTACGGTCTTTATCACTCGCGGCTTGAGATCGTGAGGATGGTGGTGGTTATACTGGCTGGTCGGGGTGCTCTGCTGAGGGCTTACTCGTAAGTGTCTGTTGTAGTTCCTGTTGTATGTAGGTACATAGTTCCATAGTTTCTCACCGAACGGGCCAGTTTTATATTTCTTCACCGTCACCGCAGCACATCACAGCTACAACCCGAGTTCTCACTGTAGCTCTCACTGGCCCACCAACGAAAACCGGGGTATCACAATATCCATTCCATCTTCCATTCCATCTTCCATTCCACCGACAATGTAGTTAACTCAAAGAAGAAGAAGCACAATAAAATACGAGTATCTACACGCCCCTCGTCCCCACCGCTACCCAAGAAAGAAAGAATAATACCAGCAGCAGATTACAAATTATAGACTCCCGTCCCCGTCCCCGTCCCCCGTCCCCCTCCGCCCTCCCCTTCCCTTCCCGCCCCCCCCCCCCCCCACCGACCCACCAACCCACCCACCCAGACGAAATATGCAACACTACCTCCCGCCAAACGCCAGACTCGCAAACGCGTCCGGACTATGCCTCCCGCTCTGCCAGGCGCCGAAGTCAACACTCTCCTGGCTGCGGTGACTCTGGTTCTGGACGGCAACGGGGAGGAACGGGTTATTGCTTGCAGCCTGGGGCATTTGCATTTGCTGGGGTTGCGGGGGTTGTGGTGGGGGCTGGCTACCGGTGACTTCGATCTGCAGCTCGCTCCTGGGCGGCGCGAGTTGCGGTGCGTTGAACAGCGCCAGGATTTGCGATTTGTCGATGCTTTGCGGTTGCGGCTGGTGTTGCTGCGGTGAGAAGAACTGCTGCTGTTGTTGTTGTTGCTGCTGCTGCTGCTGCTGGAATTGTGGTTGTGGCTGCTGGAATTGCTGGTACGGGTTTGTTTGCAGTTGTTGTGGTTGGAGTTGTTGTGGTTGGAGTTGCTGTGGCTGGAGTTGTTGTGGCTGCTGGAATTGTTGCTGGTAGGGGTTTGCCGGTGAGGGGAGCGCCGACATGTACGGATTGTAGGAGGATCCGGTGGAGGCGGGGTATTGCATCGGTGCTGTCGGGGTTGGTGCGACGCCGAAGGGGTTATTGTTGTTTTGAGGGATTGCGAACTGCTGCTGTGGCTGCTGCTGCTGGTACCCGAGGAGCTGTGAGTGCCATGCTTGCTGCACGGGGTACTGTTGCTGCTGCTGTTGATGTTGCTGTTGCTGCTGGAAGAACATTGGCTGGACGGACGGCATGCTTCCTCCCGTGCGTGCCTGTGAGAGTGGGAGTGGCGGGAGCGGAGGCTGCTCTTTATCCAGTTCTTCGAAGGGATTCGACGACGACGACGACGCGGGGGTGGTCGTCAAATTGACACTGTGACGGAGCACCGCCGCGGGCCCGCTCTTGTGTGACTGGACGGTCAACCCGTTCTTTGGGGGGGGTTCTGGTCGTCGATCCTCTGCCTTGTTGAGCCGTATCAAGATCTCGACGGCATCCATCATCTTCCCATCCGTCTGCTTGAGGACCTCAATGCACTGGTTGACATCCGTAAACCCCATCTCGGAGAGATTCTTAATCTGCTCACCATAGAGCTCGAACAGCGTCGGCGCCGCCATACCGTGTGGGAACACCACGGGCCCCGGCGGCGGACGACTATCCGTGTACGGCGCGTTGTTGGTACCCAGAATCTGATTCACCTTCCCCTGGCCACCAGGCGACGACGAACGGAACAATCCCAATCCCAACTTTCGTCTCCCCGACGAGGACGAAGACTTCGCCGTGCTCGACCCCCCACCACTAACCGCAGCAGCCGCGCTCGAACTCGGCGCTGCACCGTTCCCTTCACGCCGGAAGGTCTGGTACTCGTATTTCGCGCGGATATGCCGCTCCATGTGGCTGTCGGCATCCTCCTGCGATAGCGGTGGTGGGTGCTTATGCGGGTCGGGGTTGAAGTATGTGTTCGATCTCGCATTACCATTTTTCCGCATGCTCTGTCCAGTGCCAATTCCGTCACGTCAGCATTCCTCCGCTGTCTCTCCGGCGCACGTGCGCGTCACACACACACAACGTACCTCCACCTGCTCATTCGTCCAAGCATCCATCGAGATGCTCTTAACTTTCGACACATGCGTGCCCAGTTTCCGGTGTAGCGATGCGCAGCGAATGCACAAGAATATGCCCAACTATTTCCGCGATCAGCACACAACCCCTTTCTCCCCCGTTCCCGCGTCCCCCGGATCACACCGCTTACACTCCAACTAGCCCAACCTATTCTTCGCCGTCAGCGTCTTTTTCTTCTTCTTCCCCCCTCCCCACGAGGATGTAGGTGGTTAGGTACCTGGATTGCGGGTCCCGCAGTCGGCGCATCGGTCGTTGCCGGGAACACTCTTGATCAGGTCTTGCAAGATCTTCTCGTTGCGCGCTTGCTGGCGTTTGTTGAGCATCGAGGACATCGCGGCGAGCGTGCGGGCGGGCGGGCGAGTACTCTAAGGGGGCGGGCGGCGGTGGTCGGGTCGTGCGGCGGTGGTCGGGTCGTGCGGCGGCTGGGGGAGACGATGCGACTGATTCCTCGGCTTATGTACTGCTCGGTGAGGGGATAGGGAGGAGGAGGAGGATGACGGGGACTCGTGGGGGACTCGTGGAGTGGAGTTGGGCGCGAGTGTCGTCGTCGGTCGGTTGGTTGGCGAGGCGAGCTTGATTAATTGGACAGGCCAGCGAGTTGTTCGTGTGGTGGTGCTTGCGCTTTTCGTCGCGTTCGCTCGCTCGCTCGCTCTGCTGCTGCTGCTGCTGCTGCTGCGCGGCTAAGTCAGGTTGTGTCTGGGGGTGTCTCGGTCGGCATTATTGGTCAGGCAGGTCTGGTCAGGCCACACCCCTGCTTGGCGAGGAGGAGGACGTGCGTGCGCCGTGCGGACTGCGGAGGACGGGCGGAGATCACCAACAACGTGAGCATATAGAGACGGTGGGAAAATAGCAACACACACGAGAGCTGATGTACGTAAGCGCTGAGAGGAGAGGAGGAGGATTCACGCGCCGCAGTCATGGGCTCTGCTAGTACCAGTTGCCCGCCCCACATTATACGTAGGTAGATCACTGTAGGACTTCGAGCGAGGACGTAGGTAGTGTAGGCAGAGTAGGGGCACTCTCGTGAAGACTTTCGGCGGCGGCCATGGAGAAGAAACAGAACAGACGTCGAACGCGCCTGTTTGACTTGGTACTACCACCACCAACCCATCTCCGTACGGGCATACACAGGCACATAATACTCCGCGCAGCACAGACAGTCAAATCGGACAGTGACAGTGAGACGCATCGTACCGCCCCGGGGAGTCCTCACGCATCGAGCATGAGCATGAACGCGGAAAGGCAGCAAATCTCGGCGATCCCGTCGTTTTCCCACTCGGACGTGTCAATGGTTATGCCCGTACCCATGGGCACACACGCATGCTCGAGGCATGAACAAAACAAACATTCTTGACCGGGACGGGCGCCGGGGGGACACCTGTGATGGGTGTCGGTGTGTAAGGGTGTGGCGGCGGTCAAAATTCCTGTGAAATTGCTTGGCGCCCGAGCGGCTAACTTGTGGGGAGGGGTCGCACGCATAAAAGACCAACTTTTTTCTCCGTCTTCTCTCTTCACTTCTGCACTGCACTGCACTGCTTCACGCAACAACAACAACGACGCCGACGACGACGACACGCAACGATGTAGCAGCAACATCTCGCACACGCTCTCTTTCCTTCAATTCGGCTTCAATTCAGCTTCAGCATGTACATAATACCCCCTGCAATCAATAAAAACCATTCCTCTGTCTATCCCCGACCCAGCGAGCGCACGCTCTTCCCCTCCCCTTCCCCCTACCCCCCAGTACAACAAAACCCCACAGAATGCCTACCTCCCACGCCGCCTCCGTTGCTGAATATCTTCGGATGTTATCCTTCGGGGGCACTTTCCAGGTGCGGAGCGTAACAATTCATATTATATCTAGTGGGATAGCAATATTGGTATCTTAGCAGGACCGCATCTACTTCCACCCCGCTCTTGACAACTGATTGAGCGGGACTATAATCGGATGTACATCCCTTTGTTTTTTGGTTTTTTTTTGGCTTTTTATACATAGTGGTGGTGGTGAATGAGAATTTGATTGGATTGGATTGACGACAATATTTGGTTGCCATCACCGTGAATGAAACGATACCGTCTTGACTTGACTCGACTCCCGCGAACTCCTCGTGCCCGTCCATGAGATCCCCACGAGATCCAAAGAATGAATGGAAGCAAGCAGCGATGATTATAGCAGTATCTCGCAACCACCGCGATCCCCTCCCTCGACCAGATAAAGTTGAAACAAACCAAGATGACATGCGGAAAAAAACAAGAATCGAAACAAGAAACCCCGCTGTAGTATGCGTGCAAAAGTACTTGACTAGGTAGGCAGTAAAGCAAGGTGCAGAGTAAAGTAAAGGTAAAGCAAAGCAGCCCCTTCCATCACATCGCATCACATCACTTCGGAACGATCCCTCCCCCCTCCCATCCGCCTCCGCCATAGCTATCTCGCGATGTAGGTAGAACGAGCAAAGCAAAGCAAGAACCAGGAGGAGAAAGAAGAAGAAATAAAGTTAGAAGTGCACGCGCAAAATGATTACAGCCGCGTCGTCTTCCGTCATCTTCTACTCCTCCTGCTGCTTCAACTTGTTCATATCTACCTTCTCGCCCATGACCTCGCCGATAACACGTAACCTATCGATGCGGATCTTCTCTGCGCCGGGGCGCTCCGCCTCGACAAAGAACATGGTGAACGCCGAGCAGTTCTGGAACTTGACGAATTTGGTCGTGATCACTGCCGTGCCGTTCTTATTCCAGTCCTCGGCCTTGAGCTCGATGGTCTGTGTGGACTCGCGCTCCTCGGCGTCCTCGAATCCGAGGATCTGGTGCGTGTTGCAGAACAGCTTGATGGTGCGGGGACGGGAAGGGGCCTCGTCGTCGTCTTCGTCCGCGTCCGCCGACGCGAGGGAGGTAAGGTGGATCGAGTGGAGCTTGACCGCCGCCTGGAACGGAATGTAAAGCATCAGCTGTTCGTCGGTATCGCTCTCGACGCCGTCGGCTCCCTTTCCGGCCGGTTTTTTGAACTCGAACAGCGTGCGGGCTGTGCCGAGCGACGTGTTGGCATTGAGAATGTCGAGCCCCGCCAGCTCGACCGACTGCGTGATGTTGGAGTAATTCTTGACCGCGATCGGCGCTCCGAGCCACGACGAGTCATTGGTGGTGGTGTTGCTGCTGCCGCCACCGGCCGCGGCACCTCCGGCGGGTCCCTCGAGGCTGCCGAGGAGATCCGGGAGCGACGTGATCAGCTCGCCGACACCTGACATGCGACGGATAACAGCACCGGACTTGAACACGAGGAAGGTGGGATCACTATTGGCAATGTTCCATCAGCAAGCCGCGATCGAGAACGGGCCGGAGGCTCACTACGTACACAGTGATCTGGTACTGGCTCTCAGCCCACGGGTTCTTGGTGATGTCGCAGCGCGCCAGCCGGATCTTGTCGGTCAGACGACCGGCAACTGTGCCCATACCATCGAGCACCTGGTGGGCACTCTTATAAACTGCACAGCGGGGGAACCACGGGGGCAGGTGTCAGCTTTTCGCGGAAGTTCTCTCTCCCGTGGGCTGGTTGGTTGTAGAGTAGGTAGGTAGGGAGCTCACAGGCCACCATCGCGGGCTTGCTGCCGCCCAGCAGCGACTGCATCTGCGCTCCATTCGCAATTTCGGGGTATGAGGCTGACATTGTGTGTGTGAACGATTTGGTCTGCGCGTATGAAGGGAGTTCGGGGGTGAGAGAAGCTTCGGTTCGGAAGACGCGATTGTTTGTTGGTGGGGTGGAAGGTGCGGGGTGAAGCTGCGGCTGCCAAGGCGCTAGCTGGTTTGTGGAGCAGCAGTTTAGGCGTCATTGGGACTCACTCGAGCGTGACTTTGTCGATTCAAAAAAATACCGTATATTGCTATCTGCAGAGCACGTACCGGAGCATGGTGTACGATGGGAGTTAAGGCTTAAGAGTAACCTGTCCAGTTGCAATTGCTGCGGGGCTGGGAAAGGACATGCGGCCATACCCACTCACTCGCTGCGGTCGTTTTCGTGGTTCGAGCATGATCTATATATCTGCACGTCACGTGCGAATGCCTAAAGACAGGCGTAGTCTAACGATATGTGAGCTTCAAAGAGAACCAGTTTTATTCCCAAGCTTGCTACACGCCAGTGAAAGCCTCCCCAATCACCAGCAAAGAACCCAACTGTAAAAAAGCGTACAAAACCAGAGACAGACATCATGAACTACACCCCCATCGTTCCCAATGCGCAAATCATCACCCCTCATATCATCAGCAAACAATCAAACTTTTGAAAAAGAGAACAGAAACAAAAACAGAAATCATGAAATCCACCCCCTCATCCGCAATGCTCAAATCACACCCTGATATCCTCCTTGTTAACGCCATTATGTGAAAGTATCCACGGTGCAATGCCCGCGAAACAATCAGAAAAGAAAAAGAAAAAGATGCAAAACAATCAGAAAAGAAAAGAAAAGCAAACAAATGAAAAGAAAGCTCTGATATCATCCCGCATCCAACACCATTTTTGACGCCTTCCCTGATGCCTCCCCATCGCCATTTTTGAAAATATCCGCCCATAGTGTAATGCCCGCAAAAACAATCAGAAAATAAAAGTAAACAAATGCAAAACAATCAGAAAAGAAAAGCAAACAGATGAAAGAGAAAGCCATGATATCATCACCACGTCCAACACCTTTTTTGACGCCTTCCATGATGCCTCTCCATCGCCGTTTTTTTGAAAAGAAAAAAAAAGGAGAAAAAAGAAGAAAAAAGAAAGAAAGAAAAAAACCATCCATCTCTCACATGTTCATATCCATTGATCAATGGAACTCCACCTGGGGAACCACCTCGCTAACCGCCTCGGGAACCACCTCGGGAACCACCTCGGGAACCACCTGGGGCACGACCTGGGGCACGACCTGGGGAGCCTGTTCCATGAACACAGCCAGAGTCTTCTCCTTCACCCCCTCGGTGGGCTTGCGCTCCCACAAGCCACCCTGATCGTGCTCGCCCTTGACACTGTCGTAGGACTCAACGTTAATGAAACGGATACCGAGACACATCTCGGAGCAGACTTCATCCAGTCCCTTCAGCGCATTGATGCAGAGCGCGTGGTGCGCAGGAAGGAGCGAAGTGATGTAGTCAATGACCAACTGCTTCTCAGGCGAACAGGATGGAGGAGCATCGGGGTCGGTGGGAATAGCGGGCTCAGAAGGAGCCGTATCTCCAACAGGGGCGGCAGATCCATTGGAAGTAAATCCAACAGGCGGGGTAGATCCATTGGAAGCAGATCCATTGAAGGCAGATCCATTGAAGGCAGATCCATTGAAGGCAGATCCATTGAAGGCAGATCCATTGAAGGCAGATCCATTGAAAGCAGATCCATTGGAAGCATATCCATTGAAAGCAGATCCATTGGAAGGATATCCATTGAAAGCAGATCCATTGGAAGCATATCCATTGAAAGCAGATCCATTGGAAGCAGATCCATTGGAAGCAGATCCATTGGAAGCATATCCATTGAAAGCAGATCCATTGGAAGCAGATCCATTGAAAGCAGATCCATTGGAAGCATATCCATTGAAAGCAGATCCATTGGAAGCAAATCCATTGGAAGCAAATCCAACGGGGGCGGTAGACCCATTGGAAGCAGATCCATTGAAAGTAGATCCATTGGAAATAAGGGGCCCATGGACAGCAGCAAAGGCAGCGAAGTCGGCGTTCTCCTTCTTCTTCTGACCCGCCATTCCCTTCTCATCGTTCGTGATCGTAACCGCAGCCGTAGCCGTAACAAGCTCCACAACCTTTCCATTTCCATTTCCCTTGGCCTTGACCTTGGCCTTGCCTTTCTTCTTCTTCTTCTTATCAAGCTCGCTCTCAAGGGACGGGATGCCCTCCATGGCAGCCCTAAAGTTCGGCAGCCTGAAGAAAATGCGTTCGCGGCGGACCTGTCCAACGATGTTGATGATCTCCCAAGCGAGTTCCGTCAGGAAGAGTGCATTGCTGAGGCCAGCCAACTCCAGGAACACGGCGTAGTGCTTGTTCTCATCTTGCCACTTCGTGGGGCGGGATCCAATGAGCCTCTCGGTAATGTGATTGCGTGGAATTCGAGGACGGACGACGATTTTGACGTTCTCGCCATTGTTGCTGGTGATAGTGGGAGTGGTCTTGAGCTCTTTGGCGCGGGATCCGAGTTCGGGCGCGGAGTCGCCTCGGAGCCTGAGGTGAAGGTTGACGCGGCACTGCGCACAGTCGGCTTCGTAATAGTCACATAAGCCGACAGGGTTGACGTTCGGGACGTGTGAGCGCTTCGGGCCTTTGGAGCCTTTGGAGCCTTTGGGGCCTTTGAAGACTTTGGAGCCTTTGGGGGGACGCTGAGGCGCCTCGCAGTCAATGAGCCAGCCGAGGAGCGAGAAAAGCTTGTGAGGGTCGTCGGAGAGTTGCTGGGGGTGCGACTCGGGCGACCATTCGCCGCGCCAGTGGAGAGGAAAGGTCTGCACTGCACCGTTCTCCGTCTTGCCCATAGATATCTTGTATGGCGGTGGAAGGTCCGGAACGACTGAATGGGAAAAGCTGTCAGCAAGTGCGAGTGAGAGATAGTGGCACGGATGGACTCACAATTGCAACGCACCAGTTTCCTGGGCGTCATGTTCCACTGCTTAAGCCACTCCGTGACTCCCTCGCAGGCCTTTAGCTGCACTGGATCGTCCCTGGTGTACATGTTCGAAAGTGCCATCGTCACCACCGCGTATCTGTTGCCATCCGAAATCGCCATCCAATCGTGCTCAAAGAGCTCCTTCAAGTGCTTGTCGTATTGACACCTCAAGTGGGTTTGGCGGACGACAACATGGTCGTGGGTCCTCTGGACATGCTCGCCCAGAAACTCCGAGCAAAAGAAGCTCCGGACACACTCTGGGATCACCGGGTACCACTTCGGAGGGGCACACACAGCCGGGAACGACAGGTTCATCTTGAACGGATCCAAGATCTCCTCCGACGTCCACTCACGCTCCACACATCCATCCTCGATGCCGGTGGGCTCCGCCTCGGAGCCAACGACACCAATCCCCGCGATATCCTCGATGGTGATGCCCAAAGCCCTCTCGAACCATCTAATCGTAGACGCCATCAACAGTGCGTCCTTCGGCGGACGGGGAGAGCCAGGACACGGCTTATGCTGGCCGCTCACGATGGCAGCAACATTCGCCGTGATGGCGAACTCCCAGACGCTGGCCATGGCCCACTCGCACTTCTCGACGTCGTCAGTCGCACGGTCAAACCGCTGGGCCCGCGTAGAGCCCTCGCTCTTGCTGCCGACCAGAACGGTGGACACAAAGCGCTCAGCGGCTGCAGTCTTTGTGAGAAGACGCAGACTGCTGGCTTTGTTGAACACCTCGTCGAAAGGGACGTCGTAAAGGAGGTTGAGTTTGTGTGACTTGTTGAGAGAGAACAGCGGGATACCTACCTCCCCGGGGAAGACAACCGGGAACTTATTGCCCAGTCTGGCGATCTCCGGAAGGAGCAGCTTCTCCATGCGGACGAGGGGCTGCGAGATCAGCAGCAGAACATCAACGATGGGATCAGCAGAAGAGGCGGGGTATGATCACTTACCGAGTTCTTCATGTTCTCGTTGTCGTTGTCTTTGATGGAGGAGTTGTTGTTTGCGGGAGTCGTAAGTTTCGAGGGCTGCGAGGAAGAGGGAGGAAGAGGGGGAGCAGGAGGGGCATCATCGATGTTGAAGCCCGCCTTAACTAGGCGCTGCAAAGCTCGGCGACGCTTCTGATTGCTTCCGGCGGGCATGAATGCGGGCACGGCGGGGATCTTAGATGAAGACATGATGCGCAAGAGTGAATATGGTCCGCGTAACACTCGGCACACAGGTGCGGTTGTGCGAGTGTTGCGCGAGGGTTGGGTGAGATGTCTTGAAGGGTGAGTTGTTAGATGAAGGGTGAATTGAGAATCATGGATGTTTCTTTCAGTGTGACGAGGGTGACGAGTGAGATGCTATGCGGCCAGCTACCAAATGGCTCGTTGAGGTCACTGAAAATGTAGCTATTCGTCACGGTAGAACGGATTATAGCTACAACGGCCATTCACTCTCGTCTAGCTGGTCCACTTCTATTGAAATCTACGAGTTGATACATTTTACAGGTTTTGCGGTGTTTGCGTGAGCTGTCTCAAAACGGAGCTGCACATGAAGTCAATCGCTTCTGGTTGGGTACATTGTGTACTTGGTGGAACAGTACGCTGAGCCACCCTATGCGTCACTAATTCTCATTAGCATTCACTCATCGACCATTACCACTGCCCGCCTTCATCCCCGCCCGCCCGCTCGACCATTCGGCTTTACCACGCTCACCACCCTTATCAAGCCCGCAGCCACAGTCCCTAGTTAAACTGCCAAATAAGCGGCCATTCATTCTGCTCGACTGTGCCCAGTTATATCAAAATCAGCAAGTGGTGCATTTTACAGGTTTTGCAGTGTTTGCCTGAGGTGACTCAAAACGGAGGTGCACATGAGATCAATCGCTTCTGGCTGGGTGTATAATACTCTACTCGGTGAAACAGTAGCTAAGCCACCTTAGGCGCCACAATTACCTAGTCACATTCACATTGAATCATCGACCATTACCACTGCGAGCCTTCATCACCGCCACCAATTCTCATTCACATTCACTCATCGACTTTCACCACCCCTACCAACCCCCCCGCCACAGTCGCCAACCAAACAGCCAAATAGCCCATCCCCCTAGCCCCGCCCCCGCCTTCCCCCTCGTCTTCCCCACCCCCGCCTTCCCCGTCCCTTCCCACCCGCCCCACCATTTCCTCCGCCGTCCAACACGGATGGACGAACCACCACGCCTCACCAGTAAGCAAATGCTCGCCCTGCCCGACCGCTCCAGCCGCGAACCCCAACTCCTCCAGTGCCGCCGCGGAAGTGCTCGCAGGCGGTGTGAAGTACAGCACTGGCACGCGGTAGTTGGGGGAGTAGAGGATGTTGTAGAGGACTGCTACCTGCTGTGGCCGGGCGCGGAGAGCGGTGGAGGGGAGGGATTCCGAGTCGTCTTCCTCCAGCTCCGCCTCCTCGTCTGGCTCCCCGTCCTCTACGCCAACGAGAGATCCCGCAGCCGCAGCCACAGGCGCAGGCAAGTACCGCCGCAACTGTAGGAACGTATCGACACGCTCACCCTACCCCCACCAACCCATTACTACACTGCTACTTTTACCCCCCCCCCTCTCCCCAGCATGCCATGTAGGTTAAGTGAGTACTTACGAACCCCGCCCCCCTCTCCCTCAACACCCACTCCCCAACGTCATATCTATACCCCTTCTTGGCGAGCCACTCCTGCGTTCTGACGAAGTCGCCGCACACCGCGCGGAACTCCGCAGCTGTGAGGAAGGGGTAGTCGCTTATTGCCGTTGCTGGTGGGGGTGCTGGTGGTGGTGGAGGTGGTGGTGGCATGGGGTGCGGTTGTGGGAGGGGGTGACGTGGTGGCTTGGCCAAGATGCGCGCGTGTATGTAAATTGGAAATGCGCAGAGTAAACGGAATGGATGGTGGATGCATTGGCATGGGGGATCACTCGTGGAATGCATCACTCGGATGAATCATGAATCATGAGTGCGGATTTCGGACGTGATGTCTCAATTCCAAGAGTTCAAGACCGTGGCACGAGACGAATGTAGACTCATCGGACCCATTCAGTCCCATCAGACTCCAGCGCCCCAACAAGCAGCCATTACATAGGTAGATAATAGATACCAACGGGATGTTTCAATTTCTACCAGAGCCCACGTCATATCATCGACATCGACATCACATACACGGTACACCCAACCCACCCATCCCACCCATCCCACCCAGTACTGATCTCAGCCCACACAGTGTCCAATGTCCATCTTCATACCATCCATCCATCCGTCCCATCCAATGTGGTTCTCATGAAGTAAAAGTAGTGGTAGCATCTAAGGTACCTATATGACAATGGACACAATAGACAATAAACAACAAACAGTATGCATACGACCAAACGACCAAACGACCAAACCAAACGAGAAAAAAAATAAGCAACAAACGCCTCCTTCCTATCCTTCCTATCCTCCCTCCATCGTTTCCTCCTCCCCCCTCCATCGTTTCCTCCTCCCCACATTGCACATACATTTGATTCAAACCCTCAACCAAAAGAACGAATGAAAGAGCAACAGGAAGAAAAGAAAGAAAAGAAAAGAGAAAAAAGAAGGAAAACAGACAGACAGCTCATCCAGTGAGCGAAAGCAAAAAAACCAAGGTCAAAACCAAACCCCACCCCATCCCCCAACCAAAGCTAAAAACCAAACGCAAACGAGACCAGTTAAAATCCAACAGAAACGCACACACGCATGCAGAACAATCAGATCGAACCCGCAAAAAAACAAAAACAAAAACATCAAGAGCAAGTGAGTAAAAATAGTAGCTAAACAAATAAAAAAAACGCCAGAATCCTGCACACCTTCATTTGTCCGTCCGTTCCCTCCCACGGATCCCTCCCTGTGCATACGTCTCTCGTCGTATCAGTTGAAACCCAAATGCAATCCCCCTCCAATCCAAACCAAAAAGCAAAACCCTCATCGCCAACTGAAAAAGCAAACACAAAAACAGCAGAAAATCAAAAAGTAATCCCGAAATCAGCACTCCCTTAAAAATAACCCCCCACCCCAAGAGCGCCATAGCATAACCATGATGGTGATATGTTGATGATCGTAACATCTTCCCTCTAGTAGCAGGTTCGAAAAGAACAATGCGAGATCCGAGCCAAGTAGTAACCCGTCGTAGCGGGGGAAAAGAGAGGAAACCGCAATAAGAATATAGCTGTACTGTGCAGTGTATTGTATCTTGTACCGCTGTGTCTCATAAAAAAATGGAGCAGGGGGAAAAAAAACCGCACCATATGCCCGCTAAATAGTGATGATGCTGCCGCTGACGATGGTGATGATGCATGGTAACCAAAAAGTTAACGATGGCTAGGAACCGGCGATGAAGAAGTGAGACCCGGAGATGGCGAGAAATGGCGGAGATGAGGCGATCCATGGGCGGAGTTTATCGGTGATCGACGAGCCAGTCCATCCATCTTCTTCCTTATCGCGTTGAGCCGTTGTCGAATGTTGACGAGGACTATACAGCAAGTCAGTTTCTATTATTTCGAACAGGAGAGGAGAGTGGAGTTGGCAACGTACACTTCTCAATGAGCTTCTTGTCATCATCATCCAGATTCATCTCATCGTCGTCACGCTTCTCGAGCATGGCTTCCAAAAGACGTAACGACGTGACATATGCGACTTCGCATCCGGGCAGATCATCGCCAACCAGCTCGTTAACGGCCGCCGCTCTGCTCATCTCCAAAGCCCGATCGTACATGAGCTTTTCGGCCGTCACACCCGTTGTGAGCATGAAGTTGCCGTCGGTGGAGCCATGGGTCACATCACTGTTGTAGTTGCTCGGGTGGCTCGGGTGACCGAGTGGAAGATCCTTCTGCGCCTCGATGATCTTCTCTTGCACAATCTGTGCCTTCTCCAGTACTTCGTTGTATCGCTCACGAATCCATTGGACCACGCTATTCATGCGGGTGCTGGCGGCCGTACGTGCAGCTGAGACTGGCTTGCCGTGCTGATTCGTTGTAGCCCACCATACATGTGCGACGTCGGTGGCCTTCGACAGTAGCGATAAAACCTTGACGAAGAGCACCATGCATTCCTCTGCAGCTAAGATGGTGGCGTCCGGGGTAAGCTCGAAGCTGTTTTGGCCATCGGAAGGCTCCAGCTGCACGCCGCCGGTCGCTAGCAGTCCCAGGCCTTGAGGTTGTGGTCCGGTCGAAGGCATCAGCTGCGCATATTTGACCTCCGCAAAGTTGTACACCACATCGCTTCGGCTGGCACTGTCCTCGATGGTATGTAGCGCCACTGCGTCCTCCTCGATCAGGTTACCACCGTTCCCGACCACAACCAAACTACCGGGCCCGGGGTAAGGCGGAAACGGCGAGGCCATATTCGGCGGGCTGTGGTTCGGGGGTGATAGGCCCACGCCGAATAGCCGCATGTTTGCAATCTCCAACGCTTTCGCGAGGGCCGACTTTGCCGAGGCACCAGGCGACGATCCGTACTTTCTCTCGTAAGAACCCATGGGATGGACGTATTCGCCAGAACGCCCGGGCGCCTGTCGAGGGGATGATCGCTGGGTCCCACCGGAGCTCAACCTCCGTACCAAGGCATTAGCGGAAGGAGGTGTCACTCCTCCGCGTCTCGCTGTAGCAAGTTCGTCGGCAAATGCATTGACTTGGACCTGGTGCTTGTCCACAATCACGTAGTCTTCGTCCGAATTCCGAAGCTCCCGGCTGTTGTTGCCACGCTTGTGAGTCATACGGCGAGACGGTTCTCTCTCGCGTTGCTGTTGCTCTCGTTCGGCCTCGCGATGTTGCATCATCAACGATGTGCCTGGCGATGGATTCGACTCTCTGCTGTGTATCCGTTCCATCGCTGCACCGCGTCGCTGAAGGACCAAATCTTCCCGAGCCGGAGCTGTAGCGTGTGCAGCAATCCCAGGCCTTGTGAGAAGTGGTGATTGCGGCCTCCCCGACTGCGTTGTATACCTTCGAATTTCGGCAGGCCGTTCTGGTGGCGTGTTCATTGCGGGTACGGGACTGGGGGTGTGGGTCGCGAATGGCAGGACCGAGTTCTCGAAGGTCGACACTGGTCTCGAAGGTCGTGGCGAGGACGACAATGCATCCCGGAAATTTCTCTCTTCCCGCTCGACCCCCAAAGCTCGTTGGTCCGCCACGATCCTCCTGTACGATGACGATCTCCGGATCTCCTGCGCCTCCACGCGTGCAATAGAGTCTGCACGGGGCTTCTCGGGAGGAGGAGTAGGAGTAGTCGCGGGTGTCTCTCGTGCCTCCGCCAATATTACTGGATGCCCAAAGAATTCTTCGAACGACATCCTCTCTACAGGATTCCTCTTCAACAATGCCTTCACAAGACCCCTGAGCTCATCACTCGAAACGCAAGACTGGGGGAAATCGATTTTATCGTTCTTCGTCTGTATCTTCCTGAGAAGATCCACGTGGTTCGGGGCTCTGAAAGGAGGCCGTCCAGCCATCATCTCGTAGAGAACAGTTCCTACCGACCAGAGATCTGCGGTGGCGTCGTACTTTTCGTAGCTCAGGATCTCGGGCGCCATGTAGAGTGGCGAGCCGCACAACGTCTCAGCCATAGCAGTCGAGGGCAGCACGCGTGCGAACCCAAAGTCGGCAAGCTTGAGCACCGGTAACGAGCGGAGTCCAACCAGCATGCGTGACCCCTCCATGTCGCTCTCCTCGCCGTGCTCCGCCACATAGTCTGGTGATGGGTTGAGTAGTAGGTTTTGCGGCTTGACGTCTCTATGTACCAGTCCATCCTTCCGCAAGAACTCAAGAGCACTAGCGAGCTGCTTGACAAAGTGTCTCACCAATACCTCGTGCAGACCGCCACCTGGTGGTGATGGGTAGTCGCGTGCCACGGGCTCCAGACACGGGTGGACGGACGCCATACGATCACGCTTCTTGATCAAAATCGAGAGGTCGCCAACGGAGCAGTACTCCATGATGAGGTGAATGAACTTGTCCGACTTCTTGCAGTCGGTTAGGGCGACGATGTGGGGATGGTTCAGCTTCTTGAGGATTTGTATCTCGGATTCGAGGTTCTCGAGGAGCTTCCGACTAAGCTTCGATCGTTGCACCATCTTGACCGCTGCAAGCGACTTGTTCTTCTAGAGATCACGACGTGTCAGAATCGATCGAAACAAAGATCCAATGAAGCTCCAGGGAAGCTATTCCGACGACCCAGAGGACATAGCAGCGAACAAGTGGCAAGGCGGGAAACTGTCGATAGCTACCCCCCCCCCCCCCGTCGCCGGGCGATAGCTACCTGCAGTTCCAAAGTACATGCCAATATCGCCTATCGTCCAATCGCCCGCTTTCATCGTAGCCCTCCCCTTCCCCCCTCCCCCCAAGATGCAAAAAAGCAGCCAACAAAGCAAAGTGGCGGGGTGGAATGGGAAGCTCACTGTGTGATGTCCTTTGTAAACCGTCGCAAAGGAACCCCTCCCAATCTCGCTGCCTATTCTGTAGTGACCCACAACCAAGTCATTCTGGACTGGACCTCCATTGTTGCCTCCACTTGGCCGCGCCGCCATGACGTCGAAATCCTCAGATAGTGACCAGAGGGTGTAGGTGAATGGAACAGCGACTCAATACAAGCGAAATTGGGTGTAAAGCTACTTCCTCCGCTAGCTCCGCGTTCGTCGATGTCGAGTGAAGAGGGCGGTGTAAAGGAGCATACGATGGGATCAATTAGTAGTGGTGATTGTGAAAGGCGTGGATGAGGGATGGGTATTGGTTTAGGTTTGGGGGATGGGGGTGCTAGAGGTAGAAGTGGTTGTTGTGGTTGTGGTTGTTGTGGTTGTGGTAATGGTGGTGGTGGTGGTGGTGGTGGTGGTAACTGTAATTGTATGGGAAGTTGGGGGGGATGGGCTGGGGAGAGCAGGAGGATCAGTGAATGGTATTCCTAGAAGAGTGTGATAGTCGGGGGAGTGACGAGTTGTTGTCGTTGTTGCTCTACTGCAGCGAAGCTAGCTTCGAACAACCGATAGAGCTTCAAAGTTTGAGGGGGGGAGGGAGGGTGAGTGAGTGGGAGTGTGAGTGGGAGTGTGAGTGGGAGTGTGAGTGGGAGTGTGGGAGGTTGCCTCGGACGGGAACAGATGCAGCACCTTGTAGGTATGTGGGTAGTGGGAGGATACCGAAGGGAGTGGTGGTGGAGGAGGAGGAGGTGGTGGAGGTGGTAGTATGCAGATCCGAGCGAGACAGATAGCGGTTCGTAGATAGCGGACAGCCGCCGGCAGGGCACTATGGTTAGAGGGGCGAGAGTCTCGTACTGGCAGGCGAGGCAGTGGAGGCGGCGATGGGGGCGGGCGGGTTGGTGGTGGTGGTGATGGCAGCAGTGGTGGGCGGGAGGCGCGAACAGTGAACTGTGGCGGCCGTGGTGGAGATGATTGCTATGTGAGGAGTAGTTGTGGTGGATGCAGAGTACTGGCAGGTAGGCAGAGTAGGTATCTCTAGTCCCTCCAGGTAGATATCAAGCTTCAGGTGACTCACTTTGGAGAGCGCGCGAGAGCAACGTTGAAGGTGGAGAGACGTGAAACAGGACAAGAAGAGTCGGGAAGAGGAAGAGCGAGAAGAAAACAATACGATTACTGTGATCGGGTATATTCCACCGCCCGCCCGACTAAGCCATTCCTTAATTTCGGCACGTTTTCAGTCGCATCGCCAACTTCTCTCGTCGCCGGTGCTTCGTTCTGTTGTGTCGGTGATCGCAAAAAGAGGCAAAAGGAACGTTCCGCACTAAGCAACCAACCACTAACGACTGCTGCTGCCATGCCAGGCGCTCTCTCCAGTACCGGTCTCCATGCCGCCGCCATCATCCCCCAGGATGCGAGGGTGTGCAGCGGTGTGCAGTGCACATGTACCGCAGATACCTATGCTAAGTACATACCTGGAGTCCAGCACTCTACTCGAGAACCATACACTGCCGTCTCCGGCGGCCAGGATTCACGCAGCGCAGTCATTCACCCAGACGGTCCGTCGGCCAGTTCGTCAGTCATTCCTTCAGTTCGTCAGTCATTCCGTCAGTTCGTCAGTTACTCCGTCAGTCAGTACTTCGGTCAGTCCGTCATTCATCGGAGGCGGTCCGCCAGTCGTTCAGCTGGATGGATGACTGGCTGGATGGCTGGCTGGCACATGTGGACGGCCATGTCGGATGCGGTCTCTTGATGCTTGCAGCCAGCCAGCCGGCCGCCATCCATCCACCCATGTATCTGTATCGTCAAGGAATGCCAGGGTCTCCTTCTGCCTCCGCGAGCAGAGTGTGATGGTGAGCGTGGTGACCGTGATGGCGTTGGACTGTGCTAACCAACACCGGTCAAGTGTACTCTACCTACTCTACGGTGTGCCTATGAGATCACACAGCCCAAGATATCCCCATACCCCCCGGTAATCTCGAACGCGTGCACGCCCACTACCTACACGCCCACGCCCACCCCCCCAGCCCACCTCCATGACCACCTGCCCCCGAAAAGAGGTCCCCCCAGCATTGGCCTCAGGTGTGTGAATACTTACAGGTATCTAGCCGGAAGGCCAGCTGTCGGCGGAGGCAGATGACATGGCGGAAGGAGAAGAGAAGGCTATTTGCCAATGCGAAGATGGAGATGGGGGGAGCACAGCTCCTTCTTTTTTCCCGCAAAAGAAACTTTCGACTTTCTGCCTCTTTTGTCCGCCCTCTGTGGGAGTGGGTACTCTAGAGTTGGTACTGAGCCTTTTACAGGAACAACAACACAACAGCAGCAGGCTCAGGAAGACGGGCGAGTCGGCGACACTGCAGTTGTTCCTCAGCCTCGATTCATAGGTATCCAGATGACCGAATGACCAGTCGAAATCACGAACAACGACACCACCTCCCTAGCAATCCCCGCGCATCCACTTCCCTCAGACGTCGACGCTGCCAAAACGTGGAGCACATGGTTAGGTACCTACTCGGTGCTCGTCCATCTCACTGCCACATCCACCGAAGTCGCGTCGAAAGGCTCGCGATTTTCGCCATTCCATTCGTCACTCCGTTCATATCACACCTCGCCCATCCGGGCTCGGCACCGAGCTCAGCACGCAAGCATATCCTACCCTACCTACCCCGGACGACGACCACCAACGAACGGACGGAAAACTGATGGAACGGGGGAAACCCATCTCCACGTAGGTGCTCCATGTATCTATGTATGTAGCCGCACTCGCTCCATGTATCTATGTATGTAGCCGCACTCGCTGCGGGCATGGTTGTCTGGTTGTCTGGCTGGTTGTCTGGCTGGCTGGCGTCGTCCTCCTTCTTCCTTTCTTCTTCCTTTCTTCTTCCTTTCTTCTTTCTTTCCTTCTTCCCCACTCGCTATCTCCAGCGCCGCGATTCGGTGCTTGCTTGCCTGCCTGCAAATGCCAATGCATGCTGGCGAACCTCTTTGGCAAAAGAGTATCTGGGTACCGGTACCGGTATCTCTCGTTCGCGTCCGTTCGCTCGTTCGTAGAGTACGTTCGTAGACAAGATAGGCGGATAACATCGATATCTAACCCTCGCAAGGCAGGCAGGGAGCTGGGGAAGAGCACTGGGGGCAGGCCCTGAAATACCCGAAAGGCGAAGGCGAACGAACGTCGACCGACCAACTACGGGAGAAGCATCGGGGGACCCGGGGGTGGGCTTCTAGTGCGCGATGGCGCTGATGCGACCCCCGGAATACCAGGCATAGTACAGAGCACAGAGAGCGAGAGATAGATAGAAAGATAGAAAGATAGCGATATGATAGCCAACTGAACTGCACTGAACTGAACTGAACTGCGCTCCTTCAAACAAGCAAGTAAGCGCTCGCTCGCGCGGATAGGTAACAGTCGACCCCTATTCTGCTATTCTGATTCTGGGTACTCCATCCACCTGTGGTCCTGTGCTGCTGAGTATGGTCCATGTATGTACGGATCCTGCAGTCTTTTGTTCCCCCCCCCCAAACGATACGATAGAGTACATACGACACGATACGATGCGCCCAGCATCCAGCACCTGCGCCTGCACGGTACTTTCTCCATCACAGTACATCACGGTGCATTTATACCTGGTACGGTGGGTGGTGGTTAGTACCACTGTCCACAGTCCACTGCGCACAAGATGTATTATGTCTCCATCCAAGTCACGCGCGCAAGCAAAGCAGGTCCTTAGCAACATACAACCTACGGTACTCTAGTATGTAGAAAACTCCCGGCCGTAACAGCATAACAGGCCCAAAATGCCCAAGAGCAAGAGCGAGCTGGATTCTGGAAGCCAAGTGACAAGTGACAAGTCTCCGTCGCCACCGGCGTCCCACCCCTTCCCTCCCCCATATCCCCCAGCCCATCCCCCAGTCCATCCCCCAGTCCAGCCTTGGAAGTTGAAACAAAGCCCAGCCTCAGTGCGCACGGGAACTTGGAAGCCCGCCCAAGCCCACCCGAGCCGCCATCCTCTACTCACATGGCCGGAAAGACTTATCGCCCCCCTGTTAGATGTGTGGCTGAGGATGTTCAATTCCTACGGTGAGTCAATCACAGCCACAGATATAACAGGGGGGGATAAGTCTTTCCGGCCGTGTGAGTACAGAGTAACTGGGCATCTAATCTGATCTTATACCATCCAACACATTTATGTACGGTGCTGCACCCGGGATCCGCAAAATGATCACGAGTCCCGCCTGAGGTACCGCTACCCTATGGATGGCCGGTTGGCGGCTCTTTGCTCTTCGCTCTTGAGTCTTTGCTCTTCGCTCTTGAGTCTTTGCTCTTTGCCCTTCGTCGGCGGTCGATGCGATGCGAAGGGGATGCGATGGAAATCTCCACGGAATAAACGGAATAAACGGAATACTAGTAGAGCAGACCTTCCTCCCACTCTGTATGGTAGATAACGTCCAATCGCAGCGCCTCACATTTGTTTTGTTTTCATCCTCCTCCTCCTCACCTAGGTATAAGTTGTGCGCGTTTCTGCGCAACTCCGGACTCCCATCCACCCATTCCTGATGATCATTCCTGATGCTGGAAGATGCTGGATGATGTTTGTTGTTGAGAACTGATCGGAGAGTTCGCGCGGGTTCCAGGCATCTACCATACTCTATTCCACTATTCTGGGTATTCTAGGTAGTTACTAGCATGGTCATTGGTTAGTTGGTAAACCACCCAGGCGTGTCTCCCTTTCCTTTTCCCTTTCCTTTTTCGTCTGTATGTTAGGATGTATGTTAGGATGTATGCAGCTCCGCCCGAGTCGACATCATCCCCCCCCCACAGTAAAAAAAGAATGGCCTGATTGATCGTTGCGGACGCGGGGGAGGTCCCCGCGAGGAGACGGGGGGATGATCAGCCATCACGCATTTACATAGCAGCAGACTGCAGACTACCGGGCATGTAGATATGTGGAGTACGGTAGTATGTAGATCCTCATTGACTGTTGACTGTCAAGCACACACCTACCGGTACTTAGGTAGAGGAGCGGCTGGCTGGCTGGCTGACGGATTGGCTGGCGGATTGGCTGTCTGGCTGGTTGGCTGGCGGGCTGGCTGGCGGATTGGTCGGTCGGTCGGTCGGTCGGGAGCTGCGGCTAGGTTGGGAGCTGGGCTGGCAGTGGGCGGCGTCGGATCCGTCGACATCGAAACGTGTCGCTGGATGGTTTTCCTCACATAATCCTCCTTTTGTCCCCTCTGCGTCCGCAAGCCGTTCGGTGCATGTGGAGATCGACGGTACAGCACATTACAGCCAATAACTCGAGTGTGAAACCGAGACGGGGTAAACACTGCTGCTGCTGCCTTCAGTACTTCGCTCTTGACCTTTGACTCAACGTCTGTAGACTCCGAAGGATCGGAGGTAACTCTAAGAGCTCGGAAGTGCTGGCGGGATACGGTATCATAATAGGATACCTATCATAGGATGACTACCATAGGATAGATAAACGAGAATCTGCACTTTTTAAGTTTGGACTGCAGCAGTTGATGAAACGTGTTGCAGTCGAGTCACGGCGAGGTGCGCGCGGGGGGCTTAATTAATGGGGAGGGGGGTCCTCGATGGGGTAGGCTGTTCCGAGGAGTTCAGGTCGAGTCGCCATACATATGTCGATACCGGTACTTATCTATGGGGGCCAAATGTAAGTCGGTAGGTACGATTCGCGATACGGATATCTATCAGACATCCCTATCCCAAGATATCGAACGTGGCCCATCCAGCTAGAGTACATACCCAGGCGGGTATCGGACGTGCCGGCCGCTTTGATCCCACAGTGCCCACATCAAGCTGGAGCTGGCCATTGCGCCGGCTCCCCGTGCGGGCCGCGTCTATCGCGTTTGCACGGTGCGGCACGGATGCAGATGGCAGATGGCAGATATAGTAGTGCTCTATATGCCCTATGATAGTACCATGGAGTCCACCTCCCTCCGGGCTTCCGCTCGCCTTGACTACTACTTTAAACTCAGAGCTCTCGAGCTCATGCATACTATACACATGATCGATCGTCCGGCCAGCTACCCACCTACCCACCTTCATACAACGCATAACCACCATCACAGTACTTACTCCCTCATTACCATCCGCAACACCCCCAAACTATCCGTTCCGCGCCGCACTCTCCATACTCCATGCTCCATGCTCCAGCTTCAGCTTCAGCTCCAGCTCCAAGCTCCAAGCTCCATGCATACCAAGCCCGAGCACTCTATCTGCTACCGTTGCTGCTGCTGCTGCCATTACCATTACCATTACCGTTGCCGTTCCCATTGGTCGTTGGTCGTTGTCATTGTCGTTGACGCGCCGGATCCAGCAGTACATAGCAGCAACAGCAACAGCAACACTCTTCTGGACTATGCATGTGTGTGTGTGCGTGCGTGAGGGTGTGGGATAAGCTTTTGCGATACACGACACCCACGACACCCACGACACACACGTCGGACGCGACTTTCTGTTCGCGTCCGATATGCTGCTGCTTGCTGCTGCGGTGGTGGTGGTGGGTGGGTTTACGAGGGTGGTGGTGGGTGCGCAAACGGACCGACTCAATCCGACTCAATCCGAGTGAACTCAACTCAACTCACTTTGTGGTATAGTATGGGTAGTATAGGTACATGTCAGTGCTCAGATCTCAGAGCTATGTAAGAGTAATCTCCGTTATCGACCCGGAGGCCCCGACGAGCACGTACAGATGGACATGCATACATGCATCCATACCATCTGTACAGACATGCATCCATACAGACATGCACCCATACATCATACGTAAGTACGTATGTGTGTAAGCACCTAGGGAAGTATACCTAATGAACCCAATGAGCCTATGATGTATTTATTTATATATGCGTGCGTGCGTAGTAGTACGTATCATACATGTGTATCTACATAGAGTAGAGTGTGGTATGCATAGGAGGTGAGTGATATACATGATGGGAGATTGGGATTTGCTCCGGGATTTCCTCCGGGGTGGGGGAGATAACCCGCAACGTCCGTGAGCCTCGGGATGCGGGACGTCGGATGCGGACGGACGTCGGTAGTTTATCGTTTGGGGGCTGGCTTCTAGAAGGAGTATATTTATGGGCGAGGCTGGGATGGGAACATTGGGAGGTGGGGAGGTTTTGCATAGAGTGGATTGCCTGCGGCGTGCGGCGTGCTTTGGATGCACGCGAGGAACTCGGGGTTGGGGATTGGGGTCGAGGAAGGAAGAAAGGAAGGAGGGAGGGAGGGGGAGGGGGGAGAGTGGAAGGGCGGGTAGCTAGGCGGGAGTAGGCGGGTGAGATGGGGGCGGGCGGGTCGGTGGGTGCGTAGGTGCGTGGGTGGGTGACGGGCGTGTGAATCATAATCCGTGATTGAGCATGCTGCTTGGGCTTGAAGACGTGATCCGTGAGCGATCGGGCTGGGTACGATAAGAACAATGGCATTTGACCGTTCGATTCCAGTGGCTGCTGGGAAGTGTTTCCTCGGCTGAATGTGGCTATGGCTGGGTATGGCTACGGTAGATCGATGAGTGAGTCATGGTGTGTCAAGACCTCCCGTGCTTGGTAGCAGGAGAAGGGGAGGGGGAGGAGGAGGATCGAGCCCTAAGGATGATACGTACCGTACTGGCGTTGTAGAGGCGTAGGGTACCAAGACGTATGCAAGGCATGAATGGATGGGTGGTAGTGTTGCATCCCATCCCGGTACATATCCGTCCGTGGGCGGGCTGACGACACAATTGCTGGATCTTCAAATTTCACGCCCGCAATCGAGTATGACCCAACGTCGAGAACATCCTGCTTCAATAATCTGCTGAAGCTACTGTAAGTACCTCTGAATTGTTGCTGGTGCCAATATGCATAGTACATATGGCTTCCGTTCTTTCCCCGGCCTTGTGTCACTCGTGTGTCATTGGCTGTAGAGAAACCGCGGAAGTGCTGTTTCGCTTTGTGTGGTCGTGACCGTGGTTATTTCTGTCGCCGGAAGAGGGTGTGGTTTCGATTCTGGGCGAAGGGCTAGGACATGACCATGGTAGTGGATGGAAGTGGGCACTGGGGGGTACATCGAGGGTGGTGACACTCGATGTCCGGTTTACTGGCCCGGGCTGGGCGTGTCGACTAGGCCGGGCAATGTGTGTCGAGAAATGATGTACGGATGTTCGAATGAAGACATAGCTGCTAGTAGTCCACTGCTGCGGACTAAATCCGTTAAGTTAACGAACGTGAAACTGATCGCGAGTGATGTTGCATGACCAAACGTGGGGCCATTCATCAGCTCCGAAACACAGAGAATCAGGGCGCAAGACATCGTCTGAGCTAATTGCAGCGGCAAGTCGATATTCCAAGAACCGAGCAAGGCTCAATAGCGTCTCCCGGTATGAATATCATTCGATCACTCAATATCACGTTCAAACTTCACTTCCTCGCCATGTCCACTGGCGCTAGGTATCGGGCGATCGATGAAGAAACAAAAGCCCAAGCCCATTCACTGTCGCTATCCGGCTGGCTGCAGTCCCATGTCCAAAAGCAACTACGGAGCTCCATTCCCGATGCGAGTCTTGGAACAGTGGTGGCCTTCCATCACCCACAACAACGCCAACACCAATGGCAACCGCTCATCGCTCGACCGGCATACGACTTTGCCGGAGTGACGAGCTTTGTTTCTTTGCGCACTGCGGCCTGTGGAATGGGTTAGCGACCCTGTATCCATTCAGATTGAATCTTTACGTGTGTACATACCACCGGGTGCTCCCGTCGCCGTAGCCCGCTCCCGCCATCCGCGACACACACAACAATTCTCTACGGTATCTGCCCTTGGGGGGCAGATCTACCCTAACCAACCCGTGGAGCGTGTCTCCGGATCCACGGCTGCCACTGTCACCAGCGTCGAGCTGAGCAACCGATCGATCTCAGTATCAAACCAGTATTATCTTCCTCGAAGCCGAACTTTGTAGAGTACTCTGCGTAATGAATGTCTAAGGAACAGTATTAGCTGCTGCCAATCCCCAGATGATCACCGTAAACCAGGCGACAATCTACACTGTTGCTGCTCCGTGGGCGTCAGTGGTGGGCATGGGGCTGTCGCTGGGCAACTGATCGTTAAGAAAAAGGTAGAGGGACTTGGAAGCCGTGCTCTGATCTTGTGATGGTATGTAGCAGCGTCACGCAGTATATAAGCATAATGGTTGAAGCCTTTGCATGAAACGGTTTCATGGTGTAGTTGGTTATCACATGTGTCTAACACACACAAGGTCCCCAGATCGAGCCTGGGTGAAATCACTTCTTACTTTCTTTTTTGTTTTTATTACCTGTATTGTGCATCTTCATATTTGGTAGGTTTTTAGCTCTACAAGATTCGATTTTTTTTTGGAAATGGTGAATGATTACTCGAGTGATCTCATGTGGGTGGCTTTATACCGTGATAACTCACATAAGAGGTGACGTCTCAGTTCTGCTTTCCTGACGCTTGGCGCACAGATTGTTGCCCGAGCAGGAAAGAAAATAAATAAAAGTGTCTAATGTTTTCCCAAAACACAAGTCAAGATTCCCGATATGGCAGGACAGTTGCCAGATACTGCAATAAAAATATTACCTCTCATGTGAGTTATCACTGTAAATTCATGTAGCTTGGTGGTAATGTGTGCTCCACCCGACTGTAGCATCCTAGAAACAGGCCCGTCATGGGAAAGCGGTCCAAGGGCATCCGAGCATGAGTGTAGCGGGCAAGAAGGTATCCCGTTTTGGCCAGCTACAGGACTGCTCCGTGTTGAGACGGGTTGGCCGACTTCTACTGCCTTCTTCCTTCTCTCTCCCACTTCTGTCCTTCTCCTTCTTTCCATCTCCTCCATCCTCACCTTTCTTCTTTTCTTTCTCCTCCACCCGTCTTTGTTCTTTTGCTTCATCTTGGAACTTGCTTGCTATCTTCTGTCCCTCAGAGTCCATTCACAATCACAATCGTTCAGAATTTCCATCATCATGAAGACCTCCGTCGTCATCACCCTCATCTCCGCCATTCTCGGTCTGGCTGTAGCCAACCTAGTCGACAAGCAGCAGCTTTGCACTGACGTCTGCTGGACTTATGATGTCAACAATCACGCTGACTGCCAGAAGCGTTGCATGGATAGCCAGGTATGGGGTTCGAGATGATGATGATGATGATGATGATGATGGTGCTTCTGTTTGACTGGGCTGACGGGAGGGACAGAGGCCTACCGCTGATGAGGCTGGACAGTGCCAGTCGTGCATCGTAAGTTCACTGCCTGATGATACTCGATATGCGCTGACGAAGTTGTGTTCTAGAACGACTGTGCTGCTTACCTCTCCGAGTCGAGGAACGTTGCTATCTACACCGAGTGTAGAGGTGGATGCTTCGCCAAATAGTGAGCTTTCTGACTGATATATTTATTGCAGCTTCATTGACACAGGACTACAGCTTCCCCACGTTCGCTGGAGGAAAGAGGGCCGTCAAGGCTGCACACAAGCAGAAGGAGCACATTCCGGGCCTCCCATCTAGCATTCACCTTCGTCTTGGTGGTGCCAGCTATCCCGTCGAAGATCGTATCTGCGAGGTCTCGTGCCGAGCAAAAGGTGCTGACAACATCTTGGCCAATGGTGATGGTGCCATGGACACTTGTCTGAAGGGCTGCAAGAGATCTCCGGTAGGTGTTGTTGCTCGTGGCTGGTGATATGTAATGATGCTGACATCCTGCTAGAGCACTCGGGAGCAGGAACTTCAGATGTCTCTCGACTGCAACAAGGAGTGTGCAAATAATGGAAAGATTGCGGACGGATGCCTGGAGCCCTGCATCGTGAAGCAGTACGTTCTTCAATGCGAACTACATGACGTGCTATGTGCTGACTTTCAGAAGTGCCCGATCCAGGAACCCCGCCTTTCCTATTGCTCTCAACAATGTCACAGCTCCGGCAGCAACAGTTAACGATAGTTCCGCGAATGCTGTGCCAATCGTCGATGTCGTGCCAACCACATCGAATGGTACTTTCATCGCTCCTACCGCACCCGTCGTACCTGTCGCCGTTGCCCCGCACAAAGCTAGCTCAGCCCGCACTTCTACAAAGCCCAACAAGTCAAAGTCGACTGCCAAAGCCGTAGAAGTCGTGGCCGCTTCTGAATCTGCCACCGCTTCCGAATCGGAGGTTCTATCCAAGACTTCCACTGCCGTTATCGAGAGTGCTACTTCGAAGTCGGACCAGAAGAAGGCGGAGCGAATCAGCGCTGCTGCTGGCCAGTCGTACTTTGAGTCAGCTTCATTCTGGTTCCATGCCGCTGGTACTCTTACTATTGCTATGATTGTTGGATTCCAGCTTGTTTAACTAATTGTGATCGTCGAGACGGTTTATTGGTGGTTTGTTTTATGCTATAACTTTTGCCCTGATGGCTTATTGGACTTGAGAACACTTGTGTATTGTTGGAAGTCCACGGATGAACTGTTGTTGATGATTTGACTTGTTGCTTCTGTATAACCTAGTCTAAATGTCCTTTTACCCAATCAATCCGCCTCATTCTTGTGTCTTTTCTGCTCCTTTCAGTGCCGTCCACGCAATGACGCAAGTAGAATGCACCGCGAACTCGTCTTTATCGTTACGTTCTAGGTCCCCTGCATTGTCCAATATCCTATCGAACTTTGTCCTCAGTTCCTATCAACCGTTCAGTCAGACTGCCTTTCATCACTAGTGAATTCAATCGAGACATACCTCCTTCTCCTTTTCTCCTTGAATCGCAATATTACTCAATGTGTTCAATCTCTCCCACAAACCCTCCCTACCTACCCAGAAGACCTCCCGAAAGAGCCTTTCCTCAACCGGGTTGAATGGTTGATCATTACCAGCGGCAAACACACACCTCCACAGTCCATCCTTAAACCGTAGTGCATCATCGGTCGTATACTGCCAATTCAGATCCCGCATAGAGCTCTCCCACGCAGTTTCGCACTCGAATATCCGCGACTGGTTGTAGTCCTCTACATTCCAGATCAGTCCCAACGTCCCGGGACCGGAAGGATTGAGAACGCGCGCGATGGAGGTGAGTGCCTCGGTCGTGGCGAACCAGTGGAATGCCTGTCTTCGTCAACTAACAGACACCAGGTAGGAGAAGGGGGGGGGAGGGTAGTTACTTGAGCAGTAATGACCGTATCCGCCCAACCATCCTCGACCGGAATATCTACGGCGCTTCCCTTCTTCACCTCGACTGGCAGCTTCTTCTCGCGCAGCACATCCGCCATGGCATCATGTGGCTCCACGGCAACGATCTTGCCAGACTCGCTGAACAGCGGTACGAGGAGCTCGGTGAACTTGCCGGTGCCGGATGCGAGCTCGAGAATTTTCGGGGATTCCGGGAGGCCCAGGCTCGATATCAGGAAAGAGACCGCGGCAGGATGGTAACTCGGGCGGTGTGCATCGTAGCTGTCGGCGGCCGTGAAGCCGGTGGCTGCTATGGGGTTTAGGGTGGTCATTGCTGTGAAGTGGGGATGCGTGCGGGGACGATCATGCCCATGTGAGCTGTCATTGTTATATCTGTAGTATCGCTCGTTGCTTAGTCAGGATCATGAGGGGAAAGGCAGGGACCTTCTCCCCTCATGAGCCTACAGAGGAGTCATTTCCAGATGACTCCTTCCACACAATGCACAGCGAATACCCGGTACAGTCACTATTTTCGCCAGAGGGGGTGGTGAGTTTTGAGGATCACGACATCTAGATTACTATTTTAACCGAAGCGATAAGCTCCCGAGCGTGCCGAGTTGCACATCCGAGTTAGGTACCCTTGTCGGGACCTGCTTCCGTTTAAAGACCCTTACAAGTACCCATGCACCGAGCTCCATTCACCTGGTATGGCCAACCTCTACTCCCACCACCTCCTCCGAAGACATTCGCACTCTACGCACATCAGCCATGGGTAAACTCCCTTTCTACACCTACAGCTCCGGCGATGAAGCTAGCACGCCCATCACGTCTCGCCGCAAACGTCTCACGGCCGTGGCCCTCATTGTTCTCCTGTTTTTCTATGCCATGACCTTTGGATGTGCGCGTCCTCCGCCGCCGGTTGTATCGCTTGAACACCGTGTCGAGCGAATATTGAAGGCCACGCCATTAATCGGTATGCTCCGCCCCCCTCCCCCCTCCCCCTCCCCCTCCCGCTGCCCCCTTCCTCTTGAATACGGTGAATTAGTGCTGACGACGACGCGTTATCAGACACACATGTGGACCTCCCGATCCTCATACGCGCCAAATTCCACAACCAGATCTACGGGAGCAACTTCACGTTCCGCACCGGGCTAGTGGGGGACGTCGACATTCCCCGGCTCGAGAGTGGCCATGTCGGTGGGATGTTCTGGAGCGTATTCATGCCATGTCCCGCGAGCCCTGACGACTTCAGCGATGCGACGTATCTCAGCTTAGTCAGGGAGACATTCCAGCAGATCGATCTCGTTCACAGGCTTGTGGATGAGTACCCCGACGTCCTTGCCTTCGCCACGACGCCCGAGGCGGCGATGGAAGCCCACCGTAACGGGAAGGTTGCCTCCATGATCGGTGTCGAGGGGCTGCATCAGATCGGTAACTCGCCGGCTGTATTGAGGATGTACCATCAACTGGGTGTGAGATATATCACGCTTACGCATGTGTGCAACAATAAGTACGCGGATGGTGCGGCGGCTCTTAGTGGGGCTAAATGGGGCGGGTTGAGTGATGACGGGGTAAAAATGGTCCGGGAGATGAATCGACTCGGCATGATGGTGGATCTTTCGCATGTTACAGACGAGACGATGAGGGACGTCTTGAAAGTGGCAAGAGCGCCAGTTATTTTCTCGCACTCTTCGGCGTAACTATGTCCCCGTTCCTTTGGAAAACTGGCTAGTTGGCTGACAAAATATGGTAGCTATGCGATCTGCCCGCACCCAAGGAACGTTCCCGACGATGTGCTGCACAAGGTCAAGGCCAACAACGGCGTGGTTCAAGTCAACTTCTACAGTCTATTTGTCCATTGCGGCGAAGGGAGGGATCCAAAGGATGCTACACTGGCCATGGTTGCCGATCATATTCAGTACATTGGAGAGCTGATTGGGTATGAGCATGTCGGCCTTGGGTCAGATTTCGATGGTATATCTTTCCTCATGGATCGTATCACTGGATTGTGCTAACTGAAGTGACAGGTATCGATATGGCGCCGAAGGGTCTGGAGGATGTAAGCAAGTATCCGGACCTCTTGAAGGAACTTCTGGCAAGAGGAGTGACGGATGGCCAGGCGGGGATGATCGCTGGTGGAAATATTATCCGTGTGTGGAAGGATGTGGAGCGTGTTGCTCAGGAAATGCAGGCCGCGGAGACAGAGATTTTGGAGGAAGAATTAGACCCTCTCTGGTGAATGTTGCAATTATATATACACACAATATATACACCACCAATAGGTAGCTCTCATAGATCACTTCAATCCTTCACTGTCGAACTCGAGTTTGCTAAACTCAAATAAACCCCCCATGCCACCCCCACAGTGGCCGCAAACGGCATCTGAAACTTCAACGGCAAAAACCTGAAGTTTACCCACTGTACTGCTGGCCAGATGAGATAATTCGCTTTCATCGCGGGGATATAAACATTGTCCAACCGCTTCTTCAGCGCCTCCATCCCGCCGCCTTCGGCGAAACTCACATATGTGAAGAAACCCAACAACCCCACTGGCGCGAACAACAGCTGATCTAGCGCCACGCGCTTCAGCAGCGGGCGCACGCCCTGAGCTTTCGACAGCGGGAAAGACCGATGCAGGAACTGCAGCCATTTGAACTGGACGGGCGCCACGATGAAGCCCCAGCTCGCAAAACGCGCGAGGCGGGCGAAATCGAAACTGGTTGATGCGGGCGAGGTCGGGATAAGCTCCGACCCCGCGTGCGGAAGCTTCTCGAGGATTTTTTCGTCGATGTTTAAAGCGAGCTTTTGTGGCGCCGTCAGCGGTCGCGAAGTGTGCAATAGCCGCTGTCGCACGTGCGTGACCGTTTGCGCGGTCGTGTCGGCCACGCCGCCGAGGACCTGGATTGCATGTTAGTGGTGGTCGTGGTGAAAGGGGGGATGATGGTGTACGTACGAGGTTTGTGAGCATCATTGTCAGCACGGGACGCTTGTTGAAGGCGTGGTCATAGCGGCGGAGGAGTTGAGCGAATACAGTCATTCTTCTGGAGGCGTTGTCGTAGTTAGTGGGCAGTGTTGAATGAAGGCCTGAAGATACTTCGCTCTCACAATCGTATCAATGACCCTATCTACCCGAGTGCTAAATCGTGATGTCACACTCCCGATCCGTCGTGACGTACCGTGCCAAGGATCCCGCACCAGCAACCGACACCTCTGCATGCAATCGGAGATAATTTTATCGAGCAACGAACCAACGAAGGAAACAACCCGTTTCTCCAGACTCCTGGCTCACCACAGCACGAAAACGACGACGGCAGCGGCCAACGTCCGCCGAGGAATTCCAATTCCAAACGGCGGAATAATAATTTACTGGCAGCCATAATGACGTCCACCAGTCACAGCAGCCGCCGCTTCTTCACTGCTTTCTACGATGCCGTATCTCCACTGCTAAGAGCACGGGCAACCCCGCCTCCGTCTCCAAGATGTCGGGCTTTTACTCCGACCGCCTCACTACCGCACTACGGATTCTTTGGAATGCCCTTCGCACCGACGATGAACTCGTGGACAACCTCACGATCCCGCTACGTCATGTCACGGGGCTTCGCCGGCCTCTGTGTATGCACTAACGTTCCGGTGGGGAGTACTTCTTCTACTGCGGCGGCGGTGGCAACCGTGACGGAGGGTGCGGGCGGGCTGAAGAGGCCGGCAAAGAAGGGGATTCTAATGCGACTGGGATTTCGATACATGAGTACCTCCGCAGTGCGAAGGAGGAGGAGGGGGGTGGGGATGGGGGAACCGGAGGGGTGGAGTCTAGGACTTGCGCCGCAACGACGATGCATATCTAGTCAACAGCCGCCGGAGAAGTCGCCTCCACCACCTTCGGAGAAACCACCATCTACACCACACGATGAAGAGACCACCAGGGCCTCGGCCGATATGCGCGGCCTCTTCGACCGGGTATCGCATATCCACCGGCCGTCGAAGGATGAAATGTTAGCGGCGGCAACGGGAGTGTGGCAGCGTTTACGGATCCGCGCGAAGTGGTCGCTTATACGCCAGATGCGGCCGTATAGCTTTGAGGATGTTGCGGCGCTCTTTTCGTGGTTGTTTCTTGGACATGTTGTTTGGGTTGTGGTTGGGACGACGACGTTCCTCAGTGTGGCTATTTTCCTTGTGAATTCAGTTTTTGCTCAAGGTTTGTGTTTTTTTTTTTACAAGCTGGAGGGGCAGCGCTGATGCATTGCAGAGAGTCTGGCTGGATTGATCGGAAACTACCTTACCAAGGAAACAGGTCTCACAGTGGTCTTCGAATCTGCAATCGTCCCGCGCTGGAAAGATAACTGCATCCAGTTCAAGAACGTCTTCGTCTCCCGCCGTCCCGGAAAGAAACACAACCGCCACAACGTCAGCAAAGGCTCCGCCGAGACCGCCGCTGCAGCCGCCGCAGCTACTATCCGCGCCGGCGGTGGTATCGAGCCCGAGTCGCCGCAGCATGTCGACCCCGAGGAGGAGGAGGACAACAACCTCACCCAGTTCGATGTCACCATGGAGACGGTTAACGTTACGCTTTCCTTTGCGAGGTGGATGAACGGCAAGGGACTACTGAAGGACGTCGAGATCAAGGGTGTGCGCGGTGTTATCGATCGGACTCATGTTGTCTGGGAAGACAACGTTGACCCTCGCAGCCTGAAGCACGAGCGCCAGCCAGGTGACTTCGAAATCGAGTCGTTTAAGCTGGAGGACTTCCTGGTGACTGTCTACCAACCTGACGGCTTCCGCCCGTTCCACGTCTCCATCTACTCCTGTGACCTCCCCCAGCTCCGGAAGCAATGGCTCTTCTACGATCTCCTCAGCGCCAACTACTGCTCGGGCTCCTTTGATGACTCCCTCTTCACCATTCACCCACGCCAAAGCCACAACATCCTTCCTGGAGCCAACCGCGACGCCGAGGACGGCCGTAATCTGTGGAAAAAGACTAGCCGCCTCCGCATCGACGCCCTCGAGATTGACCACCTCAACCGGGGTATCGAGGGACCTTTCTCCTGGATCCAGCAAGGAAATGTCGATATCGTCGCAGATGTCCGCTTCCCACTCGACGACGACGCCCAATTCACCAAGCTCGTACACGACATCTACGAGCACATGGAAGCATCTGTCGCCGCCTCCAGCCCAGATAAGGAGCACCACGACTTCTCGTCCATCATCTCCTCAATTGGCAAAGATCGCTCGGAAGAGAAATTCCTCGTACTAGATCTCCACGTCCAGCTTAATGACGTCCGTGCCGCAGTCCCGATCTTCTCCAATGATCTGAGCTACGTCAATAGCGCTATGATCCGCCCCATCGTTGCCTACGTAAACAGCCGGAATACATACATTCCCATCAACTGCAGCGTCGTCAAGTCCCTGGGCGAGTTCGATGGCAGTTGGACGGTGTATGATAGTGGACTGATGGATGATTTGTCTGCGGAGGTTACTTGCTCCCTCCCCGACCCTCTCACTCTTTTTTTCGTGTTGCTGACGTATGTGCGAAGACGTACGAAGCTTTTGCGCGCAACGTACACGATCAACAGGCCCGACGAAGGAGAATGAAGAAGGTCGGACTGTGGTCGCTCCAGCTCCTGGCCCAGGCGTTCTTGATGGCCATGGCCAGTAGTGTGGCGTAGATCTTCTGACTCATCTCCAATCCGTTTTAGTTTTTGTTTTACTGTTCATGTAGTGAGGTAGATGGGAGGATGTAGGAACCATATGACGATGTGTACAATAAGTATGATACCGGTAGAGGGGTGTACCGACTAGGAATTACCATGGGAAGCTCACGTCCCATCACCGACCAAGTGACTCCGCCGCCATCACACGGATTGACTCGTAATATGTAGATGGATTGCCTCGTCGTATAAAAACCCATAAGTGCTCTTCTGTAGTCAATCACGCTATCCGGCGGCTCTGCCCAGAAGACACGTGCACCTCCCAGGAACTGGGGTTGAACGAGAGCAATAAACAAGCCTCTTTTCTCAAGCACTATCAGAACGGGGAACAGGACAGCTGTGATGCTCTAGTTCGTGTGAAACTGCTCGATGCTACAGTTGCACCCAGGAGGTGAACTTGAACGCTTGTGGTGCGGCATTTGCACCGCCAAAAGCCACACAGCTTAGTCAGTAAATGGTTGAGACAACATTGCAGGTTTCTGTCGATCAATTATTGATTGCCTGCATTGGCGATGGTCAACGAAAGTACAACACACACCCACTCCCGACACATATGCTAGACCAGTGAATAGAGTTTAAGTCATTCTCACCTTCACAGCTTCTTCTTCCGCTTCTTTCTTCTTTCCTTTCTCGAGGTGTTATTTCTCTTGTTCAAGGGCGCTAAACCACATCTTTCAACCTCCTAATCCGACTTACGTACCCACTACCGACTGCCCGGCAATACCATCTCCATCCACGACAACCATCACCGCCAAACCCACCACCTGTCAACACCTCCCTCCACACTCCGCCTCCTCCTCCACATCGCACATCGCACACATCCACGATGGGCATCCTCCAAACACTGATAACCTACCTGACGGCGCACCCTTTGCCTCTTAAATCCGCCAGCACCTCGGCGCACCTAGCCTCCTACGCGCCTCACTTCCTCGCCTCCAGTGAAGCCACCAAAGACACTCAAGAAACCTGGTACATCTACGAGCAGCTCCTCCTCGCCTCCCTCCGCACATCCGATGACTCCTCCGCGCGGCTGTGTCTACAGCGTCTCGGTGACCGTTTCGGCGCCGACTCTCCCCGAATCCGCGCTCTAACCGGGCTCTACGACGAAGCCGTCGCCGTCACACCATCAGACCTCGACGAGATCCTGAAGCGGTACACTGCCCTTCTCCGCGATGACCCTACCAATGTCGCCATCGAGAAGCGACGGATAGCACTACTCTCGTCCCTCAACCGACCAGAGGAGGCGATCTCGGCCCTCACCAAACTCCTCGCTCACTCTCCCACGGACGCAGAGAGCTGGGCACACCTCGCATCACTCTACCGCTCGCAAGGTCTCTACGCGCAGTCTGCGTTCTGCTTAGAAGAGGTCCTTTTGATCCATCCGAATGCCTACAACATCCACGCGCGTCTGGGCGAGACGGCGTTTATCGCAGGCCCCGCGGACGCGGAGCAGCTGGCGGATGCGGTACGATACTTCTGTCGGTCTGTAGAGCTGTGTGAGTGGCATCTGCGTGGATGGTATGGACTGCGGTTCGCGACGGATGCGATTTTGGCATCTCCCACGGTGATTGCAAAGATCGGCATGAAGCGACGAATGATCGAAGCACTCAATGCCAAAGCTACCGAACGACTTGTGGAGATAGTGAGGAGAGCAACAGCAGGAGAGGAAGGATGGACGGGCTTCGAAGCGGCGGAGGTGCAGGCTGCGGGAGAGCTTATCGCTGTCGAGCAGCCGGTGAGGTGATGCGGGTTTGTGTTTTGCGATGTGATGATAAGCGTGTTTGACTTTTTTACTTCTTGACTCGATCTTGCTTTCTTGTTCCTATTGGGTTGAAACCGGTGTTAACGGGAAGGGGAACTGTGGCTTGGATTTGATTGTATATGCTGGGCTGGCTGGCTGGATTAATGAGCTTTTTTTAATTGTCTCCTTCCCGACTCATCACCCGGCTTTTTTTCGTCACTCTCCCTCATGATGGGCGCGAGCAAGTAAGCGATATGACTGTGATGTATCTTATATTTCCTTTACAAAAATTATGGTGATGGGCGAAGTAAGCTGAAGTAGAGCGGGAGTGAGGGAGTAATTGAACAACCGTGCTCAATACTGTCAATGCCGTTCGGTTTGCTCTTCTTTTATTATGTATAGCTCTCGCGTGATGTTTAGTACAAGGACGAGAAACACGCCAAGTGTCTTCTGTCATTTTCTTCTACCTTTCTTCATGTGTTGAGTCTTGAACGGTCGGCCATTCCGTAGTTGTGGCTTGTGTGTGGCTTCGGCGTATCCTCCTGGGGTTCTCTCCGAGCCACGCTACCTTGCTCCAACGACATCATTCCCGGCGGTCCCAAGCTAGGAGTGAGTTGCGCCTTCGTCCTGTCCCACCACTCCACTTCCACCACTCGATCAGCGAAGTACGTCTGAAGCGCGCCCACCGCCGTCTCCCCAACATCATCGCCTCCCTCCGGCTCTACTATACCGGCCGATCCCCGAGCTCGACCTCTCGTTCCATCCACCCCGCAAGCGGCGAGGCTACCATCGATCGGCGGCACGGGCCAGCTTCACCCCGCACCCCAGCATCTAACCCACTATGTTTGAAAAGTCGCTATACGACCTGATCCGCGGACTGCGGTCCAACAAGGGCAACGAGCGGAACTACATGCTCGAGAGTCTCAAGGAATGCCGGGCAGAAGCGAAATCGCAAGACCTGGACATCAAAGCGACCGCGATCCTGAAGCTGATCTACCTCGACATGTTCGGGCACGACATGTCGTGGGCCAGCTTCCACGTCCTCGAGGTCATGAGCTCGCCCAAATTCCGGCAGAAACGTGTGGGGTATCTGGCGGCAGTGCAGAGCTTTAGGCTAGAGACCGATGTATTAATGTTGACCACAAATTTGATCAAGAAAGTTTGCCTCACCTCGTCGTTTTACCTCCCTTGTGATGCTGTTGTCGACTGTGATTTCTTTCTTGGTGACGTGCGCTAAAACGGCGGAGGTGTAACAGGACCTCTTCTCCCCCTCCGTTCCAGAGATGTCACTCGCCATGAACGGGCTCTCGCACATAGTCTCTCCATCGCTGGCGGCAGATCTAGCACCCGACCTGGTCTCGAAACTCACGCATTCGTCACCGCACGTGCGAAAGAAGGCGATCCCAGTGCTATACAAGTGCTTCCTACAGTCGCCGGAGCTGCTACGTACGTGCTGGCCGCGGTTGCGGGAGTGTCTGAACGATGAGGATAGCAGCGTGGTGTCGGCTACGGTCAATGTCGTCTGCGAGCTGGCAAGGAGGAACCCAAAAAATTATCTGCCGCTGGCTCCGCAGCTGTTTAAGCTCCTGACTGATGGGGGGAACAACTGGATGACCATCAAGCTCATCAAGCTGGTCTGTAGCCCAGTGCGCCATAATCTCGGGGGGAAAATGCTAATGCGCACATAGTTCGCAACTTTGACACCATTAGAACCGCGCCTGGTCAAGAAATTGGTCCCGCCTATCACTAATCTGATCCGAACCACACCAGCTATGTCTCTGCTCTACGAGTGTATAAGCGGTCTGATTAGTGGCGGCCTACTGGAGAGTATGAAAGATACGGATGAAGGCGAAGAGCTGGCTTCCGTCTGCGTGACCAAGCTGCGTGGGTTTTTGGTCGAAGGTGACAGCAACTTGAAATACGTGGGACTGATAGCATTGACAAAACTCGTCAAGACCCACGCACACCTTGTCTGTCTACACCATGACGTGGTCCTAGACTGCATCGACGACGACGATATCTCCATCCGATACCGCGCGCTCGAACTAGTCGTCGGGATGGTAAACTCGGATACGCTCTCGACGATCGTGGGGAAGCTGATGCGGCAACTGAAACCCACGGCCAACCAGGAGTTCGTAGAGCTGGAGGGGGCTGAGGAGATTCCCAGCGAGGATGAGGACGATATGGAGGAACAAGTGATGCACCCTCGGAAAGTCAAGAAGGGCGAGATGGCGCCGTTGGAGCTTCCAGAGGATTACAAGCACGCGATTATCACTAGGATCTTGGAGATGTGCAGTCGGGAGATGTACGTCAATATCTCGGATTTCGAATGGTACATCGATGTGCTTCTGCAGCTTGTGCGATACGCACCAGCTGTTCAGGTAGTCGATGCTGGCGCCGATGAGGAGGAGGGGCAGGAGGACGAACAGGAGGAGCTGATCAGGAGACGAGACGTTGGTGAGAATATCGGGAAAGAGCTGCGGAACGTGGCTATCAGAGTCAAATCTGTCCGTCAGGAGGCTGTGAGATGTGCAGAGATGCTGGTCAGCGGACGGGATGGTGTCTTCCCGGCGGCTGGTGGTGGTGGAAAGCGAGTGCTGGGAGCTGCTGGATGGATCGTCGGAGAATACGCAAGGTATTGCCATTCGCGTTACAGGATATCGATCGCATAGCTAATTCTTGGTGCGAATAGTCTGCTCACCGATCCAGCCTCGACATTTGACGCTCTAGTCCAGGCCTCATCGAGATACCTCCCGTCCGATATCCTCGCCGTCTACATCCAAGCCATCGCAAAGATCTATGCAGCACTCACGGGCTCCGACAGCATTTCCTGGGTTCCTGAGCGCAAGGCCTACGTGACGCTCCTCACCGAGCGTATAATACGCTTCCTTGAGCCACTCGCTACCTCCCCTAATCTCGAAGTGCAAGAGCGCGCTGTCGAGTTCCTAGAACTCTTCCGTCTCGCCCTCGAGGCCATAGCCGCCCAACCCGCATCCTTCGACACAGACACAGAACAATACGATCCTCCCCTCCTCCTCACCCAGGCCATACCCTCCCTCTTCTACGGCCAAGAACTAAACCCCGTTGCGCAACGCGCACAACGCAAAGTCCCGCTTCCCCCGGGCCTAGACCTGGACGAAGCCATCAACCCGAACCTCGCGGACCTCATTGTCGCCGCAGATTACAACCCCACGCTCGCCGGCGAAGACGACAAAGAGGACGAAGACTTCCGCGCATACTACTACACGAAGCCCTCCGCCACTGCCACCAAGTCCTCCCAGCCCGCCTCCCTAGGAATCGACTCTGCCGCTGCCACCAAAGCCGCGGTGCCCGGCTCGTACCAGAACGTGGCGGAAGAAGACTACCTGGACGCCGACATCCTCGCCCGTCGCCGCCGCGAGCGCCAGGAACGGAATCGTGATGATCCATTCTACATCTTTGCCCCCGGCGAGACCGACGGAGTGACGGATGCCGACCTGGAAGCCATTCCCGTGCTGGAGCTGAAGCTCGATGATCTTCCGCACCCCCTTCCCGCCGCGACACAGCCAAGGGAGCGAGAGCGCATTCAGATCGTTGGTGATGAGGGCCTGGATGGCGACGATGGCGAGGAGGAGGAGGAGCAGGAGGAGGAGCAGGTCGTCGGCAGGAGAAAGAGGAAGGGGAAGGGATTACTCCAGGTCGACGCGAGCGGGCTGGTCGGCTACTCGCTCGAGGGCGAGGGCGTCGAAGACGTTAAGCGCGAGGAGGCGCGGGCGGCGCGGAAGGAGGTCGACAGGTTACGGAAAGAGATGGAGGCCGCTGCGGAGCGCATAGCCGCGCAGAGAAAGAGTCTGGAGATGGTCGAGAAGAAGAAGAAGAAACCGAAGAAAGAGGGGGAGGTGGTCAAGAAGAAGGGGAAGAAGAAGGCGAAGGACGCAGATGCAGGCAAAGAGGGAGAGAAGGAGGCGGAGGGAGACGTAAAGAAAAAGAAAAAGAAGAAGAGTAAGAAGGCTGAAACGGCGCCCGATACTTCTTCACCTCTTCCTGCTTCCGCCGCTGCTGTGGCGGCTTCATGAGTTGTGCGGTGCTGGTTTAATTTTGGCTCTATTACCTGTACTGTACTCATACATTCTTGCCTTCACAAGTCTTACCGTTACCGTTGCAAACTATCCGCATTGTGCATCCACCGCCGTTTCGCTTAAAATATTTTTTTCAAACTACTAGCCCAAAGACCAAAGACGTTGTCGATTCAAAGCCGTTGGTGAGATCTGTAAAAACCTCGATCTGGCGACGTTGCGCGATCCAACGACGTTGGACGAGGCGAGCATAGGCTTGTGCGTTGACGGGACAGGGGTTGGACTCAAGGATGTGAGTGATAGGTGGTGCGGCTGTGCGGCTGTGCGACATGGGTAGAGTGGGATATCTAGGATGTAGCACGTGACGCGGTCCGACTGGGCGACTGGAGTACCTTTCCCACGCCCATTTATAGACTCACAGTGGGTGGGTATGGTATGGTATCAGCGCTCTTGGAACTCGGGATCACCTGTGCCGTAATGGCTCTGGGTGGTTTAAGGGAGGGAGGAAGGGAGGGAGGGGTTCACGTGCTTTCGTCATTCATTCAGGGTATGGTCTCTGTGACGGTACGGGAATGAAGGGTATGCCGTGGAGCAGGCATGGCTCGAGGGTTCACTCGAATCGTGTGTATACTATATATCTGTAAATTCTGGGGGTGTGGGGGATTGGGAGGCTACATCATATATCTCGTAGCCATCCATCCTCACACCACCCATTCCCCTCCCCCCCTTCCCCTTTACCTACGCAAACCCCGCCACCGTCGCCTCCGCCACAGTCCTAAGACTCCTCTCCTTTCCCCTAACAATCTCCATCTCGGCCTCGAGGACCTTCCTAGGCAGGTCCTTATCCCCCGCCTCCTTTGCCGCCTCCTCCTTTGCCGCCTTCACCGCCACAATCGCGCGCCGCGCCTGCTCCGCCAAAGCCCCCTCCCACGCCCGCTGGCTGAATGTCCCGCCGCTGTTGATGTCCACTTGTCCGCTCGCGGCGAGCGCGAAGAAGAAGCGTCGTAGTACCGCGGAGGTCGAGGTGTACGCTGCTGGGAGGGTGCTGGGGAGCTGCGGGGGGTTAGTGCTGCTGCTGGTGGGGAAGGGGGGGAGGGAACGCGGGGGGTGGTACGTCGCTGTTGGGAACGCTGAGATCCTGGCACGCGAGCCGGAGGGCCGCAATGGTGTCGTCGAGGTCGGGGGGCGCGGCGGGGGTGCTCATTGTTGCTGGTGGGTGTGAGGTGGTGGGGTGCTGGCGGGGTGCTGGCGGGGTGGTGGCGGGGTGGTGGGGCGACGTGAACACGTGAGGACGTGGAATTGCTAGGTAGGTTGGTCAGTATGGTAGTGGATTGGCGAGGCCTTGCAATCCCCATTCTCGGTTGGGTGCTTCCCGATATCTAACTGCGAAGAAGGTCACCGCAACTGGAGTTCCTATTCACCACTCGTAGCTGCCCAAGTAAGTACTTGAGTACCCATTACATCATGCGTCGTTGCGGTTGCGGCTGCGTTTGGCATTCATGGTAGGCAGTCGGGCCGAGCCGAGCCCAGTGACCAGTGCGCCGTCCCCCGTCCTCCTCCTCCTCTGGTGCCATCACCACCGGCGCAACCCCTCCACCTCCCACCTCCCACCTCCAATCCCAATCCGCACAAGCCCCACAGAGCGCACGATGTCCGCCGCCGCTCCACGTCTCAGCGGGATCCAACGCGACGTGCTCTCGCTGTACCGGTCATGTCTGCGTATGGTCCGCGCCAAGCCTCTGGTAGTCCCCGTCCCCCGTCCCGCGTCCCCCCCCTCTATCCCCCTCCCCCCGTCCCTCCCCCCACCCCCCCCTCTACCCCCCTCCCCGCTGTACCCGTCACCACCAGCTAAACGGCGTGCCGTATGTAGGACTCACAAGCCAACTTCCGCGCCTACGCGCGCGCTGAGTTCCGCGAGCACCTGGGCGTCGGCAAGAAGGACTTTGCGACGATCGAGCACCTGCTGCGCGTCGGGCGGCGGAAGCTCGAGACGTACTCGCAACCGGGGGTGAGGAATATTCAGCGGTAGATTGGGGTGGATTGTTACGGGAGTAAACGGGGGGTGGAGGTGGAGGTGTACGATGCTACGGCCTATGGGAGTGAATGTACGATAGGATACGTATGGAAACGGTGTTTTTTGCTACAGTAATTTATGAAAGTAAAAGTGCTTGCGTGCGTGCGAGCGTGCTTTCTGCCCAGCCTACGGGGAGAGGGCAGCGAACAATCGCCTCCGAATTGTCCTCGCTTTCGAGCTCAAAGCATCGCATCGTGGGAAAAGACAGTTACTTCTCGTGGCGGCTGGTCTACCTATGCAATGATTCCGTCTGCCCACTGTTTTCTCCTCGCGCCCATCTCGACGGCTGTGAAGGGGGATTAATTACGGTGTGTGAGGGGGAGGAGGGGAGGTGAGGGGGAGGGGAGAGGGGAGAGGGGAGCTCTAACCTGCGGTGCCCCAGTCGTCGCCGTGGTTGTGACCATCCGCGGTCAAGCCAGCACGCTTCTTTGCCTGCTCCTCGTTCAGGACCGTCTATAACGGGGCATCAATCAGCACGACGCTTATTCCTCACTCCGTATTCCGCTCGGCATACCAGAAGCCCAAAGATCACCGGCACGCCAAAGTCCAGCTGGATCCTCATGAGACCCCTCGAGACCGACTCGGCGATGTGTTCGAAGTGGACGGTGTCGCCCTTAATCAGCACGCCGATGGCAATGATGGAGTCGAACTGGCCAGCGCTGGCAGTGGACGACGAGCTGCCGGGCACGGGCGTAGAGCTCCGTCCCAGCCCTCCGAGAAGATCGCCAGACGGCGCCGACGACGCCTGTACCTGCGAAGCGGCAAAGAGCCTGAAACCACCACCACCCCAAGCAGCACATCAGCGGGGTGCCACAGATCGTCGTCGTAAGACAATAAACAAAAACAAGGCACGGGAAAAGTCCCGAGACAGACAGGGTCTCAGTCTGAATTGGTATGGATTGGATTGGTATGGTATGGTGTACCGTTGACAAGCCACCGGCAGTTCCCAGCTGCCGGGAACACTCTGGATCACGATGTTGGACTCCTTGACACCGCCCTCGAGAAGCTTCTTGCGTGCGCCCTCCACCAGCGGCGTGATCAGCGACATGTTCCAGCGCGCGTGAACGATCGCGACTCGGAGGGTCGAGCCTATATGTAGTTTCCGCTCAGCCAGCCGTCCATCCATCCATCCTCCACGCACAGCTCCCCCCTCCCCTCCATGTGACGGAGCAGCCCACCGTCAAAGTTCGCAACCTCGCCGGGTCCCTTGATGCCTTCAAACATTTTGTTTATGTGCGTGTATGTAGGAGAGGACAATGCGATTGGTTCGTTGAGTTTCGAGGTCCTAGGGTGGGATTCGAGGTGGATTGAGGGGATCGTATGTATGTGGATGGACTGGCCCGCAATCGACAAGTGTGGGGTGGGGCGGCCTTGAGTGAGTGTCTCTCCCCCTCGCCCCTCGCCCCTCCCCCCGTCCCCGCGCGCCGCCACGTCAGATACTCTACATACATACTCTACTCAGTACTCTAGAGTACGGCACAGAGCCGCATGCGGCTTGATTTGATAAGTCAGTGCATAATATGCTACATATCGTTCTGCGCTGCATAGAGTAACCTAACTACCGATATGTAGGTGATGACTTTCCCTCCCTCCCTCCCTTGAACCTTCCACACACACAGCCGGTGGGCTGCAGCCACGATCGACGGGAATTGTTTCAACGCGGTTTCGAAAGTGAGATGGGTTGATGGATGGTGCAGTGCTCCTTCACGGCGACAAGGGAGGGAGGGATTCAGGCAGGCAGGCGACCCACTCGGCCTACCTAACCACCCATCGCGGATGATGATATCGATCTCGCCACACGTACATATCATACATATCATACACGGCTTGATTTCGAGTACGGTTTCTATGGTACGAACTCCTCGCCCCGCTTGCAGTCCATCTCTATCCGCGAGGACACACCCCGAGACGAGAGGATCACTCCAAATAGTAGTAGATATCCGAGCGCTTCCTCCCCCGGTGCCGGTGCGCGCGCTGCTGCACAATCATCGTACATATCTACATGGTTCCTTGCTCGATGAAGAACTCCCCCACTGGAATGAGAGTGAGAATGAGAATGGACTCGTGTGAACTCGTGTGATGATGATGGTGATGATGAGACCCAGGCCTCCCTCATGTGTCCACTCCCCCCAGATCTCGACAGAACCAGATTTCTACTCCGGAGGGAGGAAGTTGCTGCTGAGGCGTGACGAGGGAGATAGCGTGACTAGTAGGCCCGGACATGAAAAACTCGGATGTCTCCATGCGAACTTTGGTCACTGGTCACTGGTGTGCGCTGGGGAGGAAGGAAGCCTTCCTCGGACTCAGGAGCGCGTTGGGACGAAGCCCTTCCTCGGAGTCTACTCCAGAATCCAGAGTCCTCTATGTTCGAGACAGCTTCGGCACTCGATCGAGTAAGGGTGGCAGTTATATGTATCGATAAGAAAGCCCTGCATGGGGCCTCATAAAGTTCCTTTCCGAGCCCAGCTGCGAGACGGAATCGATCAAAGGCAAGGCAAGGAAGGGGTTCGAGGGATCAGCTGTGTACCGTATCAAAGCTCGGGATGCCGCACTGTTCCGCCTATGAATATACCTGCTCGACAACCTGCCGTACCTACATACCGGTGGATGGATGGGGGGGCATTGGGGATGGACGAGTACATATCGATCGTGTGCGTCAGGTCTCGGACTGGCAGATATACCGTGGCCTTTCGGTCTTTGGTCCTTTGGTTTTTGGTCTTTGGTCTGTGGTCTTTGGTCTTTTGCCTTTCGCCAGCACGCTTCTTCTTCTTGCCTGAGACGAGGAACCGGACGGGAGGGAGGGAGGGAAGGAACTACTAGTATGTAACTTGCTTCCTCAAACCGTGCAAGCATCCGCCACTGTTTTTTGCTCAGCCTGCACACGCCGAATCGCTCCGGAAGGAGAAGCAGTTTGTCTACCGTTCCGTGTCCCGGTGAGCGAGGAGGAAGGAGGAAGAGTTCCGCACTTGTTCCTGACCGGCATCTGGCGGATGGAGACTTGGCTTTCTTGTCTTGGTGGCGGCCCTTCACGGCTTGGATGGTAGTGGGTTTCTTCTCCTTCTCAAGTGCTCGCCACCCCTCCCCCCCTCCCCCTCCTCACTCCCCCCCAATGGCCCCATGTGTGGATCAGGGATTGTAACAGTTCGGTGTTTCCTAGAATAGCGCCACAGTTACAAGCCCATGTATAACTTGCAAGGACTTCGGGAACCGGGATGCCCAAAGCTCACGCCTAAGCTGAGAGGATATCCGCCAAAAAGCAAACAATCGAGGGGCAAGTAGGCATGTATGGAAGTATGTGAGCATGTACAATATCTACATACCGGATACCAGGTAGAAGATTATACATATCAAACTCAGGCGAGGGTGGCAGAGGGGTGGGGCTGGGTATCAAGTAGGGTACGTGCTGCTCGATTACGAGCAGCACGTACCCTTACCTGTATCTGCTGTAGGGAATCTCCCTGACCAAACGCTGCGGACTTCGGACTTTGTTTCTCGAGAGAGGGACGCCGTATGCGCATCCCATCGCGTTTCTCCGGGGTACATGTTTCGTACGAGCGGTTCCCAGGAGTATCTGCTGTACTCTAACTCCCGTACTTCCCAGTCGAGGTCTCGATGATGCCCGATGGCCTTCGGATTGATTGATTGGTTGTCCTCAGCTGTTTGCTGTTTGCTGATGGCGAGAAGCAGAGGCCCTCTGCCTCCTCTACATGCCGTTGTTCGTCGCCGTGATCAGGACTGTCTGGCCAAAGAGCAAGACGGAACCACACACGCCTCTCCCGGACATTCAATGTCATTGGGAAATTGGCCACCGCTCCGGCGACATTGTCTTGAGGACAACAACGACTACAGCAGATTGATTCTTGGTCCGTGCCGGCTTGCTGCTTGCTCGGGTCTCCGCTATTGGCGCCATCGCGGTGCCCACTTGTCAGTCTGGTTATTCTAGTCATTCTAGCCATTCTAACGTGGAGAATGCTCCATCCTGACGACTCTAACCGTGTCTGAAGAAGAACTACACCACCGCCCATCCACCGTCTGGGTACGTATGAATCGGTGCTGTCAACCCCTGTCAGCCGTGAGCTTCCGCCAATGCATTGCGATTTAAACCTGAACGACCCTCCACCTCTTCCCGCCTTTCCTGCTCTTCTTGCCCTTATATCTATCTCCCCCCCAATCCTCCATCAACAAAAACTCTATCTCTTCCTTCCCTCCCTTCGTCCTCCGTCAATCCACACCTCCCTCTCCCCCAATACCGCCCCACATTCTTCAGTCAGGTCTCTTTCTTCATCTGTCGGAGTCTCTGCTTTGTATCAGTATCAACACCACCGACCCAGCTCCGTAGCACAAACACACCTGCTGCCGCTTCCCCCCGCCTTCTCAGACCCTCTTCATCCCACCCGGACGAACGACACCTAATCCATCAGCGTTTTTTTTTTGCAATCGAATAATAGCCGTTAGCCATGTGGTACGTTTGGGTTGTGCTGGCGGTGGCACGTTGCTTTGGTCCCTAGACTTCGCCTCGTGTTGGCCCTTGGCTAACTTCAGGACCTGTGCTGCGCTATAGTGGAATTTTTGGCTACGTCAACTACCTCGTCGAGAAGGACCGCAAGTACATCTTGGACACTCTGGTCGCTGGTTTGTACCCCCCCATCCATCCCCTCTCTCCCTCCTCCATCCCAAATCCTGGCAGAGGTCAGCTAGCTAGCTGGCCTGTCCGGCCAGTCCATCCGGTCCGGTCCAGCCGCAGAGAAGAAAAAAGTTGAGCTTTTCTAACCCATCCATTGGCGCACGTTTTAGGTCTGTCCCGCCTTGAATACCGCGGCTATGATTCCGCCGGAGTCGCCGTAGACGGTGACAAGGAGGGCGAGGTGCTGGCCTACAAGGAAGTCGGAAAAGTTGTAAAGTTGCAGCAATTGATCGAAGAGGCCAAGCCTGACCTCGACGCTACCTTTGTGTCCCATTGCGGTATTGCACACACACGGTGGGCCACCCACGGTCAGCCATCGCGCATCAACTGTCATCCTCACCGGTACGTGCTTTCATATGCCCTCTGCGGTTTCCCCCGCCCCCACCGCCCCATGGCTCACCCGCTGACGTTTGTGCAGAAGCGACCCCACCTCGCGGTTCTCCGTCGTTCACAATGGTATCATCACCAATTACAAGGAGCTGAAGGCTCTGTTGGAGAGCAAGGGAATGGTCTTCGAGAGTGAGACCGACACCGAGTGCATCGCCAAACTTACAAAGTACATCTACGACCAGAACCCGTCGATCGACTTCACCACGCTTGCCAAGACTGTCATTGCCGAGCTCGAGGGTGCTTTCGGTCTGCTGCTGAAGTCTGTTCACTACCCCCATGAGGTCATCGCCGCACGGAAGGGTTCGCCTCTTGTGGTGGGTGTAAAGACCCAGCGCAAGATGAAGGTGGACTTTGTGGACGTCGAGTTCTCCGACTCCGGCCCATTGCCCGCCGAGCAGGCCGCGCACAACGTTGCTCTCAAGAGCTTGAAGTCCGGTCCCCAGAGCAGCCTCGCTCCTCCGGATAAGAGCCTTCTCCACCGCTCGCAGTCCAGGGCGTTCCTTTCCGACGATGGCATGCCCGTTCCCGCCGAGTTCTTCCTGAGTTCCGATCCTTCCGCGATCGTTGAGCACACGAAGAAGGTGCTGTACCTCGAGGACGACGACATCGCTCACATCCACGAGGGTCAGTTGAACATTCACAGGGCCGGAAAGCGGGAGGGTGGTTCGGCGATCCGTGCCATCCAGACCCTGGAGTTGGAGCTTCAGGAGATCATGAAGGGCAAGTTCGACCACTTCATGCAGAAGGAGATTTTCGAGCAGCCCGAGTCCGTTGTGAACACCATGCGTGGACGCTTGGACGTTGTCAACAAGAAGGTCACCCTGGGTGGTCTTCGCCAGTACATCAGCACTATCCGCCGATGCCGAAGAATAATATTCATCGCCTGCGGTACATCGTTCCACTCCTGCATGGCCGTGCGTGGGTGTTTCGAGGAGTTGACCGAGATCCCGATCGCTGTTGAATTGGCCTCCGACTTTTTGGACAGACAGGCACCCGTGTTCCGTGATGGTAAGGTTATCCGTCGAATGTGTCGCAATTTCATTGGTCTAATCGATGTCGGCGTCCAGATACTTGTGTCTTTGTCTCACAATCCGGAGAGACCGCCGATTCGCTCATGGCCCTGCGCTACTGTCTCGAGCGCGGTGCCCTGACCGTCGGTATTGTCAACGTTGTCGGTTCGTCGATTTCGCTCCTCACTCACTGCGGTGTCCACATCAACGCCGGACCCGAGATCGGTGTTGCGTCCACCAAGGCGTACACTTCTCAGTACGTTGCGTTGATCATGTTCGCGCTCTCCCTGAGTGAGGACCGAGCATCCAAGATCAAGAGACAAGAGGAGATCATCGAGTCCCTCGGCAAGATTTCCGGACAGATCAAGGATATCCTCCAGCAGGACCAGGCGATCAAGGAGCTCGTTGCCAAGTTCTTCCACAACCAGAAGTCGTTGCTGCTTCTCGGACGTGGCAACCAGTACGCCACCGCACTCGAGGGAGCCTTGAAGATCAAGGAAATCTCGTACCTGCATTGCGAGGCTGTCATGTCCGGCGAATTGAAGCACGGAGTGTTGGCCCTGGTCGACGAGAACTTGCCCATCATCATGATCCTGACACGCGACGGCATCTTCAAGAAGTCGCTCAACGCTTACCAGCAAGGTGATTACCCCGTCCTGTGGTCTACATAGAGTTGGTGCTGACAAGTGGTTCCAGTTGTTGCCCGTGGTGGACGACCAATCGTCATCTGCAACGAAGACGACGAGGAGTTCAGAAACGAGACCTGCGAGAAGATCCAGCTGCCCCAGACTGTCGACATCCTGCAGGGACTCTTGAACGTCATCCCCCTGCAGCTGATGGCCTACTGGATGGCTATCGCCGAGAACCTCAACGTCGACTTCCCAAGTGCGTATCCTCGATTCACTCCTTAATCATGTAACCCCGAACTAACGAGCTGTGTCTAGGAAATTTGGCCAAGTCGGTCACTGTCGAGTAAATACACGGGTGACTGGGGGAAGTCGTGCGTCCTTGGGCTGGGTCTGGGTTGAGTTGGAGCTCTCCTGCGTATACCATTTCGTGCTTTGATCATGGGGTTTCGGTAAACAGTGGGGAATGGGATGGACGGATGGCATACGATAGATGGCAGATGGAATCGAACATGCCCCCACTGCTCTGAGCAATTTTGTGACCCATCGTAAAGTGATATTGTGGCCACGCAGATGAATCTAGAAAGCCACCGCCTTTCTCCCGCCGTCAGGTCTTCCTTCCCTCCTTGGAGAAATGCAAGTGTACTATTCTCTTGGCGGCCGATAATCAATTGGCTTGTTTGTTATTTTTATCCACGAATGACGCAGCCAGTGCCACTTGCCCACTCCCAGTGCCCAGACTAGCAAACACGCATTGGCAATTTGGCAGCCTCGTCCTCGTCTTCGTTGTCAGTGCCCACAGCCCACAGCCTTCCCTGCCCGCAAACAGACGGCTACCCACATATCTACCCACAGGACATGAACATGAACACGACATGCATGTGTTTTTGCGCGTTTCACGGGGCTCGCCAATTCCTAGGGCGAGCGGGCGAGGGGGGCAAACCGCATATGGCCAATTGCGATTGCGATGTTGTGTGGAATGGTCGGGTGGGTGGTTGGTGGACAGGGGGGGTTTGGTTGAGTTGTCAGGTTGTCAGAGACCACCGACCTATGTACCGTACAGACATACCGACCTACATACCGACCTACATACCGACCGGGCGAGCGACCGGACGATCCTGGCCGGGTTCGTCATCGTCCTGGCCACTCCGCTCGAGGAGAGAAGGCGACTACATACATACGGTATGGATGGTATGGATAGTGCTATGGATGGTACTATGGAGTGCTCTATCTATCTGTCTAACCATCTGTCTATCTATCGTGCCGCTCCCGCCCACACTCTTCCTCTTCCTTTCCGTCTCCCCCCCTCGCTCACCCTTCTCCTCACGAGTCACCGCCGTCGTCACCACCATATATCATATACCATATATACCGACCGATCTTCTGCAACCAGCCGACGAACCGAACGAACGAAACGAACGGAGTGAAACGAAACAACCGTCGGCGACACGAAATAATAATACCAAATTCGAAAGGCAGCACTGAGCACTGAGCAGTCCCCCCCCCCCCCCCCCCCCCCCCCCCGCGGCTACCCGTCCCGTCCGTCCCGTCCGCCCGCCCGCTCCCGTAGCTATCTCGCAAACACCACCACCACCACCACCACCACCACCACCACCACCACCACCACCACCACCAAAACACAAACAAAAACCTCGTACCCACACACCACCCCCTACCTTCGCCGCCTCTACTACCACACCGCCGCCTCCGCCGCCGTCCCACCACCACACCGGTCACACGCACCATGTGTCTAATCCGCGTCAAACCCGAAATAGACTCCGACACGGAGCGGGAGCACTCCTTACCACCACGAATCGTCACCGAACGTCGCAGCTCTCGCGCGCAGCACGGCACCGCATCGCGCAACTCCGTGCGCGGCTCCGTGCGCGAGTCACGACGGGGTAGTCGGAACTCCATCCACTCGACGCGCGAGGCCCGGGAGGTGCGGGGGTCCCGGGAGTCAAGGGGGAGCTTCATCGAGACGGTGCAGATTCCGCCGCCGAGTGTGGTTTTGGGCGGTGGGGGGATGGGGATGGGTGCGGGGAGGACGGTCGTAAGGGAAACGCAGATTGTGCAAGCGCGCCCACCGCCAGCGACGACGACGACGCAGATAGTCAAGCACGATGGGCGGAGCCGGAGCCGCAGCCGCAGTCGGCAGCACCAGCAGCGCGAGGACGTGTCGGTATCCGAGTACCGGGGCTCGCACGCCAGTGTTGTGAGCAGTCGCAGCCGCGACGGCGGCAGGGAGCGCGAGCGCGGCTACTACGTCGACCAGAACCGGAGTCCGAGGAATTCATACCGCGCGCTGACTGCGGATGAGGCGCATCGGGGAAGTGTCGGTGGAGGACTGGGTGGTCTGGGCGCAGGTGGTGGGGAGAGGATCGGCTATAATAATTTTCATGGGAGGAGGTCCGGTAGTGTTAACTATGTCAACCCTAGACATAGCCATATGAGTGTACGTAGCACTGGTGGCGCAGGCAGGATGTCAAGGGAGAAGGTGGTCGTTGTGGAGAAGGAGGGGGGGTATTATTGATTCATTGATGGGCGGGATAGTAGTGGATATTGTGTGTTTACTTTCCTTCTTCTTCTTCTTCTTCTTCTGTGGCGAGCGAAACGGCGCATTGGCACAACTTACTTGTGTATATATTGGGCTTGCTTTTTAGATTCGAGATCTTTTCGTTACCTTTTGTTTTGCGCACTTTACTTTGCTTTTGCTTTTGCATCGAGTTGCATGTACATAATTTGGGGCGATATACCACTCGAGAGTCGAGAGTCAAAATGCCCATTTATAAGTTATACCCCGTTGAATTGTGTGCCATTCATTGATGGTCGAGACTCGGGACACTTGTTATGAAATAATAAATACACAATACACGATACTCTATTCTATATGATGAACACGCTCAAGCCGGAAACAGAACCAGAAAACAGACAAAACCAGAAACAGAAAACAGACAGACAAAGCAAAGCCAGTACACCAGCGCCAAAGTTATTCCCCAGATCCCCCCAATCCCATCCTTAACATCCTCAACATCTACCAACACTCCGCCTTCCAGTACCCCAAAAACTTACCGACCAACTCCGCATCGACATTCCTAGCCTGTCGCAAGGTCGGGGAGTACTTCCTCGCCTCAGTGGTCATAAAGTACGGGGCGCCTCTGGCCTCCTCCTCTGCGCTCTTCTCGGCATACTGGGCCTTGAACCACTCCAGCAGCTTGATGGGGGGGTTCTTTACGGGATCCTGCTCCTTCGTCAAGCGGGAAATCCACTCCTGCTGCTCGACCTCCTCGAACTCGAGCCCGGCCTCGCGGAGCGCAGGGAGAATATCGCTCTTCCAGCGGAGGACCGCAGGATGACAGACGTGCAGCACGGCGTCGCGCGGGAGCGCCGCGGTGGTCACGGGGGGAAGGCGGTCGAGCAGGGCCAGGTCCACGATGGTGCCGGCGGTGGTGTCGACGGGCAGCCAGGAGTGCTCGGCGTTGCCGTTGGGGAGCGCGCCGATCGTGACTGCGGATTGCAGCGTCAACGGCAAAGCCTCGGTCGCGTTCCAGACGCCGTGCACGGTGTCGCCGACGATCTGGCCGACACGGAGGATGCGCGCGGAAATGGGGGTGGAGGCGACGGCGGCAAGGCACATGCTCTCTGCTACCATCTTGGATTGCCCGTAGCCCATCGGCATCACCGACGCGAAGGTCGAGGGGATCTCGGGGATCTGCCCGTCGGTCGTGTGTAGCGCCATCATGGTGCTCACCGAGGAGATGAGATTGAAGGAGGCGGGAGTGCGGTGTGGGGATGCGAGGCACAGGTTGATCAGGTTCCAGGTGCCCCGGATGTGGTGCTTCTCGAAACTGGTCACGTCCATGTTGAAGTTCACCGACCAGGCGACGTGGATGATGTTTGTGACCGAGTGCAGGATCGTGCTGTAGACTTCTTCGGGGAGGCCGAAGGTCTCTTGGCTGAGGTCGGCAGGGAGCGCGACGATCTTGCTCTTCTGCGCTTCGGTGAGTGTCTCGAAATGGCGGGCGTGCTTGAGGGCGCTGATCACTCGCTCATGTCCGGCGGAAGGAGTTGCAGCTCGGACGAAGCAGTAGACCTGCTTGACGGCCAGCCTTCGAACCAGGATTGCCAGAGTGTGGGCTCCGAGTGACCCAGTGGCTCCAGTGAGGACCTTTTCTACTGTTAGCTTGTTGGAATTTATACACAAAGTGTAGAATACTCACAATGTACTCGCCATCCACAGTGACGTCTTTGGGAACATGCTGCTTGAAAGTCGAATACTTATCAATCAGTCCCTGCATCACTTCCTGCACAGGCCTCTGTTGCACTTCCACTCCTCCCCGCAAGCCAACCAGGAAGCTTGTAAGAGCATCCACGGTAGGATGCTCAAACACGATGTTTGAGCTCAGAACCTTGCCGGAAGTGTTGACTTCCTTGGTGAGAGTGCGGCGGACACTGATGGCCATCAGGGAGTCGAGACCCAGGGTGAAGAAGTCAGTGTTGTCCTTGACCTCACTGCTGTCCACCTGGAGGGAGTTTGCGATGGTCGTGCGAACAAGCTGGCGGATCTCATCGGCTGAGAGATCTTTGCCCGACTGTGCCTCCTCTTGCTCGAGACGGGCATAGTAGCTTTCGATATCGTTCTTCGTTGCCCGCAGGAAAGCAGCACGGATACTGTTCGAATTTTAGCATCATGATATCAACAGAGTAGAACCGGGAAGTGAGTCGCATACAAGTTTCCTTTGTCAGTCCTTGGGAAATCGGTGTCCGCCTCCTTGATGATAACAGCATCGTGGAAGATCCTGGCGTACGCTGGGACCTTGGTGTTTCCACGCTGGATATCGGCCGCGATACTGGCGAGGAACTCTTCCCTCGACATGCTATCCGCATATTCCGACTTGACGATGATCACTCCCAGTGTTGGTTTTCCGGTCCCGAAAACGAGTGCTTCCGTGACGAACCGGCTGTCTCGTAGGGCGTCCTCGAATAGCACCGGACTCGCCTTCTCGCCGTTGGAGAGAACGATTGTCGAGTCCATCCGGTCAACATACCTGTACACCATCGGGTTCTCCGGGTGTCGCTCGAACAAGTCCTTGGTAGCATACGAGCCATCCTCGCGGTTACTCGCAGCCAACGACGGCCAGCCAGGCTGAACAATGATCTGGTACAGTCCCTCGCCTTCCGCCTCCCACTTAATGTACTTCTCCGCCATGGGAACAAGCCTCAGCCAGTTCCAGCCCTCTTCCGCATACCGCATTAGGTAACCCGTCTCGGTGCTGCCGTAATGATTCGCCAGCTTCACGCCCTCACGGACCAGCATATCGCCAAGATCCTGAGGACACCCGGCACCGCCATAAACAACGGTTTCCAGTTGCGCGATCCTGGCAGTTCCGCCCTCCGTCTCGGCTATTAGCTTGATCACGTACGGCACTGTGAAGAGAACGCCGCATCCGGTGGCGTTGAGCGCGGCGATGACGCTCGGTCCCGTCACGGGGGCTTCGGCGCTGTGGAAGACCGTGCGGATGCCCGTGTACAGGCCGTGGAGCAGCGTGTACAGCCCGAATGTGTGGAACAAAGGCACCGTGATGAAGCCGCCTTCGTCGGGAACTACCATGCACTTGGCTGCAGTCAAGGCGCCAATGTGCGTGTGGCCTACGGGCTTGGGGAGACCAGTGCCTGCGTGCAATGTTAGCATATGTTCTCCAGCACATTTTCCGGGGAAGGACACTCACTGCCAGAGCTATGGATGTACCATCCGACCTGGCCTCTCTCGGCCTCAGGATCGAACTCAACGCCCAATGGCGTCTCCTCCTGCTCCGTCACGGTCTCAATAGTCGCCAGCTCGACCATCGGCAAAATCTCCAACTGACCCTCCATCCTCCCCCTAGTCGACTCCATGATCCCCTTGAACTCCGGCTGGACCAGCACGACCGCACAATCCGTCTTCTGGAACAGATGTACGAACGCATCCTCAAGCAGTCTCGTGGACAGGAAGAGACAGGTCAGACCCAGGCGCTGCAGGGCGAGGTACGTGACTATGTACTCCATATTGGTGACGCCGAGGACGGCCACGACGATGCGCGGATCGGCAGAGGTGCGCCGCACTCGGGGGAGGAGCTGAAGGTAGTGCCGCGCTGCACGGCTGACGGCTAGGTCTAGCTGCGGACCCGTGTAGTCGGTGAAATTGATCGGTGAGCCAGTTGAAGGGTACGAGATCACCGCTGTCGTGGGGTGCGCGACGGCGCAGTGGCGCACAAGCTCGTCGATGGTGCGGGCGGCCATTTTGTCTTGTCTTGCAGTTATAGGTAGGTGGCTGATTTGGAATGAGGTGAAAGCGAGCTGTGTTGTGTATTCGGTTCAGAAAATGTCTGTATGTATATGGAGCTGTAGTAGATATATGGAGCTGTAGTAGGTAGATGTCGGTATTCGAGTGCGGTTCTGTGTATTGCAGTAACTACCACAACGAGAGCAGCGAACGGCCTTATTATACACCCGACACAGCTCTCCCGTAACGCTCAGTCACATAGGTACACTGGCTGTATCTACGAAGCACCTCTCTGTCTCTCTCTCTGTACAGGACAGTACAGTTGAGGGATATCGCTGCCCGCGTCATGGCGGGAGAGTCGGCACGGATCGATATCCATATTCCAATGGGGCTATCCGAAGTTCCGGAGCTGTAGTGTCTCGGAAATGTATGTATGCATCGTGGCGACGGATGCAGAGTCAGTCAGGAGGATGGATGGATGGTTCTTGCCGATTGCCTGCATGCCTGCCCATGGGATCTTTTTTCCCCATGCACTAGTTAGTGATTGGGTTGAGCGGGTTCCGACTCCCGAGACAGTTCCTGGGTGTAGGCGTGTATGTACACATGCAGAGTACTCTACACGAGGATACGGGAATGCACGGAGAATCACTCGCTTACCGTGTTCGCCCCCGCCATTATTGTCCGATGGAACTTCCCATAGTAGGTACTGTACTCTACACCCACAACCAACTCCTACAACCACCTCTCCGTCAACTTTTGCCATGGCCATGATGTTTGAAAAGTTGGGGGATCACCAAAGTGCCGAGCGAGCCGATCTAACGCTTGGTCCCAGTAACTCCTTGATATCCTAGCTTCCCGATTGGATACATAACTACCTGGGCACTAGCCCGTGCACCCGCGTGGCCACCTTTCCTGTGCGCACAGATCGGAGTTTCGGAAAATACGGCACGTCGTCGAAACCCCGGTCTGTGAATACGGCACGTCGTCGAAACTCCGGTGCGGTGTGTGTGTGTGTGTGTGTGTGTGTGTGTGTGTGTGTGCGCGTGTCTACCTACCTACTGTAAGGTAGCTCTGCCGTTGATACATATGGAGTGCATGATAGATAGTTGCGGGCCTGGAACTGGATCTGGATGCCAATGGGCATCGGTCTATAGTATTGTCTTTCCGCTCCTTCCCCCCCACTCTATGTATGTATGGATGCATATAAATAAAGCGCTCATTCCAATTCGATGCATCCTTCGCGAAACGCCGTGTCTACCGTACCGTCTATGTATCTATGATAGGTACCCATATCGTTGTCGTCAGTTATGTACCGGGATGATTAGCGATCTCTGTGCCGGCCCGGTTGGTCCTCCCTGTACTGGGGTGGTCAGTGATCTCGGCTTCGGCATGGAACTCGACATTCGCGGTCGGAGTTCGGGAGCGTTTACCGTCATTTCCGATTCCTGAGTGAGAGGACATAGAAATATTGTCTTTGCCGTTCTGTATATACCCGTCATCATCAGCCGTATATCCGCTGTCAGGGAAGGTTCTAGAAACATACAGGACGGTGATAGTCTTGACAACATGCGGACATGTAGCATTGGGATAACTCATAGTCGGCTTCCGCTTCAACTGCCCACTCCACACCGAGCTTTCAAGCCCGACCGAAAACATCCCCGGATCCTTCGCATGCACAGACAGCTCCAGCTCCAGCTTCGTCACCACATCGACAGAAATTGTGACTCTCCCGTGCGAATCGGTCGTCTCCTCCACGTCGAGCGCAGTTGCACTGCGAACGTCCCACAATGTCGAGTTGAGGTACTCCGTGCCCAGAGCGTGGATGGAGAAACCGAGCTTCTCGCCCGCGCGAGCGGTGTACGTGAAGATACTGGGGTGCGAGGACGCAGCGGGGATGAAGACTGTTAGGCCCGGGAGAAGTGCCATACCACTGCCTGCACCACCGCCATCGTCGTGGTCTGTTGGCCCGTGGGCGACGAACATCTCCACAAAGTTTGTGAGCGCCCTGGGTGTGTCGATTTCTGCGTAGAGACCACGCGTGTCGAGCACAGCGGTTGCGAGGTCCAGCAAGGAGGCCGGGGGATCCTCCCTTTTCGGTGACGGTGGAGATAGATGACCGAGGGCTACGCGGATTCCTAAAGCTCGTGCGCGCGACACTTGGTTGACGAGCCTCTTGGTATCCTCGTCTGCGCTGCTGGTGAAGACTACGATTCCGGATTTGTGCGCGGTACCAACGAGACCATGTGCACCCTTCGCGAGCTCGTCGATTGCCGCACCAAGTCCACTTGCAACGGAGCTTTCACCATGCGCATCGATCCCGTCGAGTGCAATTCCAGCAATTGATGGATCACCCAACGGGTAGATCACCTTTGCTGCATCCCTAAAGCCAACGACGGTGACCAAGTCCGGTATACTGTCATCACCGGCCTGCTCCTGGTTGTGTAGCATATCGATAAAACCCTTCGCCGCCGCGGTCCTGAGATTCTCCGGATCAATATCGGCATTGAACCTCGAGCTGTCCAATACCACCGCTAGTTTCCGGCCCTGACAGGACTGGGCTGGATCATCGCTCGTCAACGCACAGATCATGAGCCCCGCACGCACCGGCCCATATTTCGACCTCAACTCGGAGCGGAAGTGTTGCCATTGCCGCTGAGTATCCTTCACGGCGACCTCCACTGCGCGGCCAAAGTTGTTGCCGATCTTCCCTCGGTCAGTGAACGGCGATGTCGTATTGCCGCTTTCAAGATTTATCATCCCGCCGTCCTTATTGAGCGTGTTGTGGGTTACTCGTCCACTGCAGGTCAGGAACCCTGGGGTCATGTCCACCAGCGGGCCGGCGAAGCATCCAGTGCTCAGATCCCGCGGAACAGAGATTGGCGCGCGGGAGCGCAGGTCCAATAGTGGCGCGGGCTCGGTCAATTCCAAACCAGGCGGGTTCTCGGGGGTAAAAGGTGGCTCCGCCGTATCCGCCCAATTGCTATGAGAATAGAAGTCCTGGACACCATGCAGTGCCCTCCCCAGTCCTTCCAGGGTGTTGCATTTCGCGCGGCCCTTCACGCTGATGGGACCGAATATGCAGTCGCTATCGACGTTGACCTGCCCCTTAACGATCTGATTCTTGTCATTCAACATCAATTCCGCCTCCGCGAGACCCTCCTTCATTCTCCCCCGCAGGTGTGTCACGCATTTCTGCAGCACCTCCGTAGCATCCTCCCGGCTCTGCGGGTAGTCCGAGGAATCGAAGAAGTCCGCGTCGTCGCAGTGCGCCTCTGGCCCTTCCGGCGGTGGTGTATCCGGTGCCCCGACTCCCCCGAAGGTTCTTCTGTCGCCCGCAAGCTGGTTAAGCGAGAGGGGCTCGAAGCAGTCTCGTGTGGACGCGGCGCCCGGTGGGCAGGCTAGTGCTAGCCGTGTGATCCGCTCATGCTCGCTGTGTTGGCCTATGATATCGGATTCGACGGTGTAGAAACTGGACACGGATGCGGCTGCGAGAAGCACGCCGAGAACGAGAGATGTCTTGAAGGTCGTGGCTGGAATGGCCGCCGAGTGTCGTTTTTGAACCCTGTCGAGAAATGTCAATGCCATGATCGCCAGTCATTCCATCCGAGCCAAACTTACATGTGTCTACCCCACAGTTGCCCCCAACTCTGTACCGTACCTTCAATTCAAGAGCGAGGAAGGAAAGATCAGCTGCCTTTAAATATGGGGATCAGCTTTGAAGTGTTCCTTGCTAGTGCAGCTCGGCAGCAGTCAGACCAGCTCAAAGTCTACATCCATTTCCATCGCGGACACCCGAAGGGCGATGCAACATTCAGCCGGAGCAGCTACCCGCATCGATTGTCCAGCGTGACAGCGCTTAGTGTTGCCCGACGCCTTAAGCGCTGCATGGCGGACAAATCAACATCGTTTCGCTACGTGGTTCATGTGTGCGTGTGTACAACACACAGATTCCGGCATGCGATGGAGACTGCCTCCAAACGTAGAGTTTGGCTTCGAAGAACGGCGGGCCGGGCACCGATCTTTTTTGTATGGAGCAACCCAAGAGTCGTACGTGACAGTCACCTCGTCTACTATGCCCAGCAGAGAGAAGGCTTCGAGGTTTAGGAACAATGAACAAAATGTTTAGTCTCGAGAAGAATGAGTCTGGCATCCAATCATACATATCAAAGTCGCATCAAGGACAGTGCGAAGAGGAACCCAAGAGAGAGAGAGACGAGGAAGGGAGGTAGAAGGGTCATAGCTTCATATAATGAGAGACCTGCGATGGGTACGGGCAACTGGGGTGACCAATTGAATTGCCTAGAAAGCAATAAGAAAAGAAAGCAGCCTGTGTTCTTCAGGCCAAACAACCCCCAAGTATCTCCGCGATGTTGAAGCACGGATGAGGGAAAACAATCGCAACAAACTGGTACACCACTGTGGTGAGATGTCCGCTGTTACGATCCACTCGCCCCCGCTACTGCTCACTCCCTCCCATTAAAGCCCGCCGTCACAACATCAAATGTCATCGTCACATCAACGACTGCCGCCCCTGTCTGCCCCTATCCGCACTCCTGGGAAAGCTGGTCCCACCAGGTCTCAACCCGGTCTCCACCTCTTGGCTGAAGGTCCCAATCAAGTCTGCAGTCCCGGCATCTTGCGGCCTCACAAAGCCAACCTTACCGCTGGGTCCCACAATATGTAGGCGTTGTCGGCCAAAACCTGCTTTCATAAGTACATACAGTGACCACGGGGATGCGATGGCAGAAAAGCAGGTAAGGAATCGTCTTCTATTCGCTTGGTTGGTGTCTGATTGCCACTCTGATTTCACTGTGCGAGAGACCGAGAACGCTCGTATATACTTCTCTAAACCTCGATTCTCTTTTAACCCTTGGAACAACCGTGTAAACTTCTACTATTTTGTCTACTCCGTTTAGTGTTGTTTAGGCGAACATGTCACCACAGCGTCCATATCCAACTCACCCGAGTGATATCACATGTATGTGTGTAACCTAAAATCCCATATTCCACCCAAAATACTGGCCAGAACTCTTCACAATCCCATGAAAAGTATCTCCAGCCGCTCCTGATACATAAAAGCCTCGTTTCCGTTCGCCGAGCCGTGTGACCTGGCATGGTCGCGCGAGCATCGCCGCAACGAGTTAATCCACAATGACGAACCTATCTAAATATCTTTCTCCTCCGTTCTTCCTTCCTTCCTTCCTTCCTTCCTCCTACAACCTCGATCATCATCATCACCATCTCAGCCCATCGGCGGAATTTCATCATTAGCAATAAACAACTCTATGTTTCTTCATCATCTTCATCATCTTCATCCTCTTCGCCCTCTCCATCCTCTCCAACCTACAACCTCCATCCTCCAACCTCCATCCTCCAATCTCCAACCTCCATCCCACCTCTCCATCCCACCTCTCCATCCCACCTCTCCATCCCACCTCTCCATCCCACCTCTCCATCCCAGCTCTCCATCCTATCTCTCCATCCTCTCCATCCTCTTTCTTCTCTGGACAAACAGCGACCAACACCGTAACGTCTTGGAGAAGGTTCCAGTTCCAGGATGTGATGACTTCAGATTATCTCCCGATAACCTTCTGCCCAGCAACCGCAGTGAGTATAATGCTGCGTTTGAGAAGGTCCGTGGATGTGATGACCTCAAATTATTTCAACCCTTCGAGGTGCTTTAACTTGACATAACTGACGATTGGATTCAAGACTTTTGAGCAGCGAGCGCCGTTGGCATGGCATCGGACGAACCTCCTCTATCAACGGCGAAGAACATGAACTGCACGTGGACCCTACGGCTACAACATCGGGAGAAATAGCTTCCCACGGCTGAGAACGATCGAACCTTTATAGGACACCTAAGCTAAGTCTTCCTGCTACTTCCTTTTTTCGAAGGTGAAGCTACCATTACTTCCCCGAGGGATTTCGCACGTGCGGAGGGACTCGGATATGGAAAAAAAAGCCAGTCTGGAGCAAAGGTAAGCTTTCTTCCCTCTTTCCTCTCAGAATTGGATTGTGCTAACATGAGTCCACAAAGAAAACTTGCCTTAGCACTGAGGTTTACCACACCAACCCCCGAGCAGAACCGGTCTGCCACAGTGCAAGCGGCCTGGAAGTGCTTGATTGAACTTCTCCACGCTCATTACTACGTCCCATGAAACAGCCGTACATTTTTCTGCGTTCGTCTCGTAGAAACAATTGACTCGAGTTGTTCTGTGTTGGTCGGGTTTAAACAGTGGTACCTAATTGTTCTGCGTTGGTCGGTTTCAAGCAGTGGCATCGATGGCCTGTTCATCCAGTGCGATCAGTGCAAGGTCTGGCAACACGGCTTAAGTCGCCGAAGTTACCGCGGGAGATGTCTTTCTTAGTTGTGAGATGATGAGGTCTTTCCTCCTGGCCATGCGAGAGTTGGAGTAATGAGGACGACGTCGCTGTTGTTTCGCTTCTGTCGTTCATCTCTTCCGAGATGCTTCTATTCCTTCATTGCTTCTATTCTTTTGTTGCTTCTATTCTTTTGTTGCTTCTATTCTTTCGGTGCTTCTATTCTTTCGGTGCTTCTATTCTTTCGTTGCTTCTATTCTTCATTGCTGTACATCGACGATGAGGTCTTTCCTCCTGGCCATGTGAGAGTTGGAGCAATGAGGACGATGTGGGCATGAGTTGTGGGAAGAAGGAGTTGACAGGGCCTTTTGTACTGGAAGATGGATGGAGCTGTACAATTGTAGCTTGCGGTCAGGCTCACAGTGGCGGACGAGTGGGAGTTTTATTTATTGCTGAATCATGATCATGGCCTGCACATTCTGTTTGTCCTGTATAAAGCTGATAAGATTGGAATTTATGCGACTTCACGGTGTTTTGAGTAAACTACTCTACTCGAGTGATGTCTTCAAGATCTACTCTAGTTCTCCACACCTTGTATATAGGCTGTAGCTGCACATAGCGTCCCGCTGCTCGACCCTGCTAGCGCGCGCCGAAACTTTCCTCTTGCCTACTTCGCGCCCTGCTTGGAACATGAATTCTGTGCTACCCTCGAAATTTTATTTCCAAATCCACCCACCACCACCACCACCACCGTATTCTCCACGACGGTTCAATCCACCACTCACCACCCTCCCCCACCACCCTCCCCCCGCACCAAGAACAACAACAACAACACAATGGCCTCAATAATCAACCCCGCGCGCATGGCGCTGATGGCGACGTCCGTGCCCGACTCGCCGGCACCATCCTCGGCACCCCCAGGAGCAACAGAGCGAGCCGGCCGCAGCGGCCGCGGCGGAAAAAACGGCTGGCGCCAGGGAAAAGGCGGCCGCAGCGGCTGGAGGGGGAATAATGCCGGCGCCAGTGGTGAGAATAAACAGGCCCTGGGGAAGGTTAGGGATTTTGGGGCAAGGTGGATCGATGAAACTGCCGGTGAGGAAGGGACTGCTACGCCTGAAGAGCCCACGCCGGTGGTGAGTGGAGGGGTGAAGGAGGGTGGGGCAGTGATGGGTGCGGCAAGGGCGTCCAGGGCCGAGAAGAGGAAGTGGGGGGGTGATGAGGATTTCGTGAGTGCGCTCTGTGCTATGGGGAGGGGAGGGGGGGAGTGCGGGATTGGGCTGATTGAGGGAAACAAACAGAGCGCGAAATATAATGCGACCCTTGTGCAGTCCCTGGTTGGCGGCGAGTCGGATAAGAAGCGCCAGAAGTCTGAGCGGAAGGAGAAGGAGAAGGAGGCGAAGAAGGAGAAGAAGGAGAAGAAGGAGAAGAAGGAGAAGAAGGAGAAGAAGGAGAAGAAATCCACCACGCCTGCCGAGACTACCGCTTCGACTGAGGACAAGGAGAAGCTGCTTAAGGAGGAGAAGAAAGCGGCCCGAGCTGCAAAGAAGGCGGCGAAGAAGATGGAGGAGGAGTCGGCTACTGCTGAGAAAAAGGAGAAGAAGGACAAGAAGGAGAAGAAGGGATCTAAGTCTGCTGAGCCGGAAGCTGAGAAGTTTAGCGAGGACGGTGAGAAGAAGGAAAAGAAGGATAAAAAGGAAAAGAAGGAGAAGAAGGAGAAAGTGAAGGAATCCGAGGATGACACAGCCGCCGAGAAGGTGGAGAAGAAGGACAAGAAGGAAAAGGACAAGAAGGACAAGAAGGAAAAGAAGGACAGCAAGCGCTCCAGGTTGGAAGCAGACAACACCGAGGTCAGTCTCAGCCATGTATAGTTATCGTTAAACAATCCGTCCTGATAATCTCCAGGACAAGCCGACTTCCAAGAAGGCCAAAAAATCCACAGCTACAGAAGACTTGGCATCCAAGGCAAAAGAGGTTAGCACAGGAACATTCTCACCAGCTTCCGTCGTGGTCAAATCTGATATCTCCTACTAGCAACCGATCCTAGCCAAATGGAATGCGGCCGAGCTCGCCGGAGGTGACCAGCGCCAAACCAAGTACCTACGATTACTAGGTGCCGGCAAGGCAGGAAACCTCGCCGCAGCGGCAGCCACAGCCACCGCGAAGACGGGCGACAGCGGCACACCAATAAAGGGACGGGATGAAGAGCTCGAGAAGCAGTTCAACGCGGGTCTCAAGATGAAGACGGAGCCCAATGGCAAGCGGCGAGGATTGGGCGCATGAAATATCATATCATGATGCCCTTGCACACATCACCTAGATAAAAAGTTTTGTATTGATGCTACTTTCGGGAGTGGCAGCAGCTCGATCTAGCTGCCGCTGTAATGTTTAAAAAACGCCTTTGATAACCGAGCAACTACTGAAGTATAGTAGAAACCAATATCCAACCAGTAGTTTCCCCACGCAGTCCTGCAGCGCTTCCCCCCCGCCGTGTCCCATGTTGCGTATTGTGTTGTGTTGTGTTGTTGTGTTGTACAGCTCCAGCCAGTCATTACCGCCCATCCCCCCCCGCCGCGTAGCCCAGCCCAGCCCAGCCCAATCCCCCCGCGTGCGTGCGTGAGCTCAACCAAATCGCGACCAGATCAAACGGACGAACTCAAACAGCAGTCCGCCTCCAATGGCGAAGATCAGAAGAGCTGTAACATCCCATTCGCATTAGCACCCACCCACCCACGCGCGCGCACGGGAAGGGGAGGGAGAACTCACTCAACCAGATCCCCGAGAGCTTGTTCTTGGCCGCTTTCTCGCGCTTGATGGCCTCTTCCGACTTGCCCATCTTCTTCTCTTGCAGCGCGGCGAACTTCTGGTTCGCTTTGCGTTGGCCGGGGGTTTGCACCTGCGTTCTTGTCAGCTATGTACGGCAGCTACGGGGGGCGCGCTCGGGGATGTCGGGCGGGTGAGAGGGTGAGGGGGTGAGAGGGCGGACCATTTTGATATTTGTATATAGGGTGGTTGTTTGGGAATGCGGTGGGTGTGTTTTTTTCTTTCTTTTCTCGGGGAGGTCGAGCTGGAGGTCGAGCTGGAGAGTTGGTGATGTAGGTGCTTGGGTAGGTGCTTGGGGAGAGGTGAAGTTGAGGTTCAGGGACCGGACGTGGTTATTGTTCAGGGACCGGACGGCGGAGGTGGTTGTTGCTGGCGAGGAAAGTGGACACGGTACACAAGATTACAGGTGACAGATGCTTGGACCACAGGGTGCGCAATACATGGCAGCTTACTCTTCCTACCTTTATTCTGCTATGTACGCGTACGGTCGAATCTCCCTTTTGCCAAAAATGGAGGCGGAGTATAGGCGCATCTCCCACATGCCAGTACTATGCACAGCCCGTATCGAACGAAATGGCAGTCTGGCCATCTCCGACGCCGTTCATTCAAGGCTGCAACTCGGGTTTCGAGACTGCATGTATGCATCACAGAGATCCCACTCGCGCCGCGCCGGAAGTTGCCGAATCACGAATCCTCGTGCAACCTTGTTCGCTTCCGCACTGCATCTCCGTTCACACGTTCACACAAGCCACCGCCCGCCCCCGGCCCTCCCATCTTCTCCGCAACACGAACGTACGCACCCCCGCGACCACCATCCATCGTCGCCGCAATGTTTCCACGCCGCCTCACAGCTTCCCTATCCCGCCGCCGCGCATACTCCACCCCCGCGCCCGCCGCACCACCACCACCACCACCACCGCCGAAACCCGTTTCACCGCATGCACGTCTCCCCTCCCCCCATCTCTTCCCCCCCACCACCACCGCCACCCCTGCTGACGGCTCAAAGGTCAATGTGTACAAAGAGTTTGGTCGGCCATTCGCGAAGGTGTTCTTGATGGGGATATTTACGTACCAGGTGCTCTACTGGACCTGGATGAAGATGGAGAAGGATGAGGAGAAGAGGGAGAAGAACGGTATGCTACCCCGCCGTCGATGAGGATGAGGGTGGGAAGGGTGGTTGATGTTCCGCAGCGGTGATCGAGACGCTGCAGAAGGAGGTGGAGAGGTTGAAGCCCACCGCGGGGAAATAGTAGTGGGAGGAGCGGAGGGAGAGGGGGATGGGAGGTGGGGGAAGATACCGGTATATCTGACGGGGTGGCAGCTGTATGATACCTACGTAGGGAATTGTTACGATTAGAGAGTGCGCAGACGCAGGTGCAGAGGCGCGGGCGCGGACATGTCCATAACTGGCATTCCAGAATGCGGCTTCGGGGACGCGCTGAGATCTATGTAGAAGCTCAAGAAGCTGAAGAAGCATATCTGACATTGCCGGCACCCGCCGCTGACTGGTGGAGGATCTTTTTCTGCTTGTGCGACACGACACGGCGGGACCTCGGTTCTCCCCATGACGTAGCGCGTTTGGGGTATGAAACTGGGGCGGCAGAGCGGCGGCAAAAAACGAAGAAGAGCGAGTGGAATTCAGCCAGGCCAGAATGTGAGCCAAAACCGGACCGGACCTAGGTACTTTTCCTTTTCTAGCCCGGCGATCAATGCGGAGCACTAGGTATCATACCTGCTAGTAGAATACGATAAAACACTGGGTGGGATATCTATACTTTAATTCCTGCTTGCCCGCTTTCCCTTCCCTCACCTCTGACGACGACGACGAACAAAGACGAGCCAGGAGGAACAGGAACCATGAGTTACAGCGCAACAATAACGCCGTCGCCCACGCCGCGTCCGGACCAGCAGCGCGGCCGCGGCTTGTCCTTCATGCCACTGCAGGAACCCGAACTGCTGTACTCGCGCAACCACCTTCCGGGACTCTTGCTGCAGACCGCAACCAACAGCGACGAGGACCTCCTCCAGAGCCAGCACCTGCGCCGCCAGGCGGCCGCGTTCAATAATCCCCACATGCGATACATGCGCCTCATAGGCGACAATAATCCGCGGTACCAATGGGAGCAGTATCGCAAAAGCCCCGAGGAGGTGAAGGGGATGAAGAAGCCGCTGTTAGTTTTTTCCACAGACCGAGGCGGGCGAACAAGGGTGGGGGTCCGACGATAGGGCTGACGAGCGTGGTTATTGTGCGCGCACGCAGGAGGGAGTACTACGAGAGGAACAATTCGTTGATCGATCAATACATCTACATCGACAAGCTGCTCGATTCGACGCTACCGAGGGATCTGCTGCAAACGTACCATGACAACCACGATGTGAGTGTGCGCCGCGCCGATCGTTCCAATTCCGATCGATGCCAACTGTGTTAGCTGGAAACTGTCAACGAGGGTCTGCGCTCCCCGCAAAGCGCGCGGAGTGGTGGCGATGGTGGTGGATACACGGACGCCTACGGGTCCACCGATTCCCTGACGGAGCTCCTCCGAGTGCAAGCGCCCCGACCTCTCGCTCCCCAGCGAAAACGCCCTAGCTACATCTACAGGATCGCAGACGAGGAATCGCCATTGCTCCAAGGAGAGGCCAATGGCGGCGGCGGCGGAGGCTCCGAAGAATCGCAAGCTAGCATCGTGTAAGTTTCGGTGTGTCGGGCGCTGGCGTGCGCGCGAAAGAAGGCCTCTCTATCCTCTACTCGGCTGCACTGAAATTGACTCCCGTCCGGGTGCGGAACAAAAGGAAAACCGCCATCTATATCAACTTCACGGCGAATGGGGTGTTGTTGGTCGCCAAGTTGTTGGTAGCCCTGTTGACGAATTCGTTGTCTGTGCTTGCGAGTTTGGTGGATGGTTGGGACTACTCTTTTTTCTTCTTTCTGTTGTCCATGTCGGTACCTGAAGGCGGATAACTGATAGATGCATTTAGGCGTCTTGGATTTCCTCTCGACGGTGATTGTTACCACCACGGCAAGGTGAGTCAGTGCGCACTGGACATCGCTCGCACTATCACTGACTTGCGTAGATTGATGCGCCGAAAAGACTCCTACACCTGTTCATTCCCCCTCGATGACCCAGTCTTCTACTGCTCGGCTACTGATAGCCGTGGGAATAGATCCTATCGGCCGTTCCCGCCTCGAGCCCCTCGGAGTCCTTGTGTTCTCGGTCATCATGGTCACCTCCTTCGTTCAAGTGGGCATCACGGCGCTACAGCGTCTATTCGGTCCCGAGCGCACAGTGGTCACTGTCGGACCCACCGCAATAGCAATCATGGCTAGCACCGTCGTCGTCAAGGGCGCCTGCTACTTCTGGTGTCGACTGATCCGAAATTCATCAGTGCAAGCACTTGCGGAGGACGCATTCACCGATGGTACCCGCTCCCCGCCCCTCTATCTCCACCACTCATCAGTTATGCTCATCCTGCCGCAGTTATATTTAACTTCTTCTCCATCATCTTCCCGCTCCTCGGTAGTTTCACCGGCCAATGGTACCTGGACTCCCTCGGCGGTCTCCTCCTGTCCATCTACGTCGTGATCGCGTGGGTGCGCATATCCAAAGGGCACATCAAGAACCTTACGGGAGCCGCCGCGTCCGCCGACCAACGCAACGTGCTCCTCTACGTCACTATGCGCTTTGCGCGGAGTATCCGACAGATCACGAGCGTGCATGCATATCATGCGGGCGACAAGCTCAACGTCGAGGTCGATATCGTCTTGGATGATGAACTCGGCCTGAGAGACTCGCACGATCTCGGAGAGTGTCTGCAGTATACCCTCGAGAGTCTGCCGACTGTCGAGAGGGCTTTGTGAGTTCCTCCGTGACGAGTGCGTGACGACTGCGTAAGATGGGTTGACTAATGATGATGATGATGCGGAAGTGTCCATTTGGATTACGACTCTAGGAACCCGCCGGGCCATTTGCGGTAGGGAATATACTGTGTGTGTGCATGTGTGGGAAATAGTTTTCGTATTTATGGCGGGTTTTTGGGTACCGGAACTTGGAAGAGTCATTTGGATGGCTTTAATTTGTACGTGTTATACTTGTCGGATTAGAGTAGGCGGAGTAGCGATACCAGGAGAGCTCTAGGTAGAAGAATAGAGGATCAGAATACCTTGTAATCCTCAATGTTGGAATTGAGAGAAGAACTTGACTTGATTGATATATTAATACGAGAAACATGAGAAAGAAGACTGCTTATAAAGAGAAACGAGCTCGTGTAGACGACGAGGAAGCCGGGCCTCAGGCAGATGATGCGACAATAGTCGTCGCCGTATAGTCGTCGGCGGACTGGGCTGGTGGCTTGAAGGCTTTCAGTTGACGAGGCTGATTCTAATGAGAAGCCGCAGACAATGCTAAGCAGCCACAAAGGAAATGAGGTCAGTATGCAAAGGACAGTGGAAAGTAGCCGTGACACCGGAACAGGTGGTAATAGGACGCATAGTATCAACACCCAATTCTCGCTCTCGAGCGAGTGACTCGCTATGTAGAGTACCATGCACCCCTCCTCGCATCGGCCCGCCCCACTATGTACTATAGAAATGATCGCTGCAATCGAGCCGATCGGCAGCAGCCTTGTCCGTTCGCAAACCGGGAAGTTGGAACGCCCTCCGCTGCCAAGATTCGTAGATTCGAGTGCCGGTTCGGAAACTGACGGCGACTCTAGATACTCTTGCTTTTCAAAAGAGCAAGGACAACGCGCGAAGGGAGCAGGGCCGCTGTGCTCTGGAATCTCTAATATACTTTGCGGGTCATTTATTCGTTTGAGGTACCTGAAGCATCTTTTCAGCGCATATGCAGGGTCCACGTATCGATATACTCTATAGCAACTCTAGCAACTCTAGTATGTAACTCTACACACTCCGAAGCAAGTGTCGCCGGTCGGAGAGTTTGAGGTTCGAAATCCTATGCGAACAGGTTTTAGCGCGGTTCTAGACAGTTCCTGCCCAGTGCCAGCGTCGAGCGGCGAGCGATCGCCGGCCAGCAACGGCGCCGGATGGGACCCCCACACGGGGGGCCACGGCCACAGCCACCGGGTCGTGGTGGTCTCCACACACCGAGCTGGAGCGTGCTACAGGTTTACAGTTTTCGTCGCTACACACGGGTTGGGTATTTGAGTTGAGTTCCGCTGCTCGCTCGGCTGTCGCGCTGCTGGCGTCGCGGTACTCTACAGTCATCGCGGGCGTCGCGGGGGGAGGAGGGTGGCCGGGACCTTGGATTCGGGAGGATAAGAGCTCGCCAGTTACGTACCGATGAGATAGGCAGAGGCAGTGTGTGATCCTGCCTTCACATCCCAGCAAAGCTTGGCCCGCATTAGTGTAGCTGAGATTCACGGCGCAAACAACCGTGCTCCCTCCCTTATATCCTCCAGCTACGCTACCTATCGACCAATCTTCGCTATGCTTCGTTGTCGTTGCTACCAGTACCAGTACCCGCACACGTACCAGGACCCGGACACGTACCCGGACACGTACCCGGACACGGACACGATCGTGACTACCTAGACACCCGAGACCGAGATCGACACCGTACCCGAGACCGAGACCGAGACCGAGAGATTCATTAGCCCGCATGAACGTCGTCGTCGACGAAGAGAGTGTGACGCGCCGCCGCGAGGCTCCGCGCGGGTGGATGCGATGGCGCGGTAGGAAGAAGGCGTCGCCGACGGCTGGCGCGCAGAACGGGGTGGGCGTGGGTGGCGGAGCGGCGGCAGAGAAGGCGGCCGGCGCGAAGGCGAAGAAGTTGGGGACTTTTAGTGGGGTATTTACCAACAGCCCCCCCCCCCCCCCCCCTCCCCGGCGGGGGCGTTGTGAAGGGATTGGGGATTGGCAGATGATGGAAGGTGGCTTACGCGCCGTGGCAGGTCTGGGTGCCGACTACGCTTAATGTCTTGAGGTATGGATTGGATGGGATGGGATTGGATGGGGAAATGGGGGGATGGGGATTGCGTGCTGATGGTGACGGCGGTGATAGTATCCTGATGTTCCTGCGCTTCGGGTTTATTCTTGGGCAGGGAGGAGTGCTGGGGATGATGGGTATGTGCACCGTGTGTGCCCCGGCTGTGGACTTTGCTGAATGATTGTTTGTGTGTGCGCAGCGATGCTCATAATCAGGTCTTTCCCTCATGCGATAGCACGATAGCAGGCGTACGGCGAGACTGACGTTCGCAAAGCTACATCATCAATTTGATCACAACTCTCTCGGTCTCTGCGATTTCCTCCAACGGCACCGTTCGCGGCGGCGGCGCATACTACCTCATCTCGCGATCTCTCGGACCCGAATTCGGCGGAAGCATTGGCCTCGTGTTCTACCTGGGATTTGTCTTCAATACCGGCATGAACGCGGTCGGATTGGTCGACTGTATCGTCAACAACTTTGGGGAGTTGTCGGGCACGGTGACTGGGGGTATACCCGAGTCGTATGTGAGTAGTACGACCAACGACGTCATGCGACAGGGAATGGTGAGAGAAGTGCAATATGCTGAGAGGAGGTTTTGTAGTGGTATCGATATCTGTACGGCACGGTCGTTCTGCTGGTTTGCACCGGTGTCTGCCTGCTGGGGTCGGGTATGTTCTCGAGGGCTTCGACGATGCTGCTCGTGATATTACTTGTGGCGACGTTCTCGATTCCGATCTCGGCGCTTTTCGTGGGCCCGTTTGAGGATACCTCCGGGATTGTTTATACTGGCATCTCGATGGATACGCTGAAGGAGAACCTCATGCCTCGATTTACCAAGGGAGCGGCTGGGAGTGATAGTAAGGAGAAGTGGGTCGCAATCCCGATGTTATGACCTGGATAATGCCTAACAGACTGTTGTAGGGAGAACTGGCAGAATCTATTCGGCATCCTGTTCCCAGCGACGGCCGGAATCTTTGCAGGAGCCAGCATGAGCGGCGATCTTAGGAATCCGAGCAAGTCCATTCCAAAGGGCACTCTACACGGTCTTCTGTTCACATTCGTGGCATACACACTGGTGATCCTCGCCATGGGCGCCACCATCTCAAGAGAAACATTGTATACGAACACAAACGTCATCCAAGGTGTAGGTTCCATTAAGCCCCGGCCCCTTCTCCCATCCACATCCTATTGACAGGCAACCGCGGCCCGTGCCAGATCAATGCCTCGCCGCCAATCATCCTCATGGGCGAATTCGCGACATCCTTCTTCTCCGCCCTGATGGGCGTCATCGGTTCCGCAAAATCTTTGCAGGCTCTGGCCAGAGATAATATCTTTCCGGGGCTCTCGATATTCGGCCAGGGGACGAAATCCAGCGACGATCCTACATATGCCATCTTCTTCACCTTTCTCCTCTCGCAACTGACACTGTTTATGAATATCAACTCTATCGCTAGCTTTGTGACTATGACTTACCTCATCACCTTCTGGGTTACTAATTTTGCGTGTTTCCTCCTCAAGATCGGGAGTGCGCCGAACTTTCGGCCGACTTTTAAGTTGGTCACCTAGAGCGGGCGGTGCGATCGGCAATGATGCTGATACTTTGGTTGGCAGGTTCTTTACTTGGTGGACGGCCGCTGTTGGAGCACTGATAAGTGTTGCGACGATGTTTTTCGTGTGTACCCAAGGGTAATCACCGGTTCCTGGCTAGTAGCTGACAGCCTTGTCTTGATAGGTTGATGGTACCTATGCCTCGGGAGTCATCGGGATGATTTTGTTCTTGTTCTTGATTATCCATTACTTTACTCCCCCGAAGCCCTGGGGCGATGTGTCGCAAAGGTACGGTAGTCGAATCTTTCTGCTCGTATCAATGCTGACCGGCGTAGCTTGATCTACCACCAAGTGCGGAAGTACCTGCTCAGATTGAGGACTGAGCACGTGAAGTTCTGGCGGCCACAGATCCTGCTACTGGTCAACGACCCCCGGCGATCCTGGAAACTGATCCAGTTCTGCAACGCCATGAAAAAAGGAGGACTCTACATTCTCGGGCACATAGTAGTCACCGCAGAATTCCAGGATTCCTTTCAAGAAGTCAAGCGGCAGCAGAGCGCGTGGATGAAATACATTGATTTCTCCAGGATCAAGGCTTTCCCGCAGGTCTCCATTGCACCCACCGTCGAATGGGGTGCGAGGAATATTGTTCTCTCTGCTGGGCTCGGCGGAATGAGACCGAATATTACCGTGATGGGATTCTTTAATATTCAGGAATACCGCGATTCCAGGCCGCTGATTGATCTAAACACGCCTGGCTCGAGCCTGAGCAAATCTGGAGCTCATCGTCAGCGGAAGCAGAGACATGATCTGCAGGATCAGCTGCCGACTGATAGTATGCGCCCTGAGTCTGCGGTTGACCCAAAGAGCTATGTCAATATCTTGGAGGACCTGCTGCTTTGCTTGCAAATGAATGTGGCTGTGGCGAAGGGATTTGAGGACCTGGAGCTTCCGAGCGAAGCTTCGGAGAAGAAGTACATTGATCTCTGGCCGATTCGTGAGTACATACGCCTACGTGTGGTATTTACGGGGCTGACAATGGAGTAGAAATGTCTGCTGAGATCCAAGATGATACGAGCGGGAATATCACCACCACCAACTTTGACACCTACACTCTCATCCTCCAGCTGGGGTGCATCCTGAACACCGTCAGGACGTGGAAGAAAGCGTACAAACTCCGCATCATAGTATTCGTGGAATACGAAACCGACGTAGCGGAAGAAAGCGATCGTGTCAAGAAGCTTCTCGAAAATCTCCGGATTCAAGCCGACGTGATCGTTGCGTGGCTCGCTAACGGATCTTTGAGAACGTACGAAATCATCGTTAATGGTGCCGACCCTGGCATACCCGGCGACGAGCGCATCGAGAGAATTCTTGGGCAGGAGGCGTGGTGGTCGGAGTTGCGAGACCGCCGGCGAAATCCGCAGGATGATACGCCTGCTGTGCAGATCCGGGGAGTCAATGAGCTGATGGGTGATGGTATGTGGCCGGGAAGCAGCTTCCAACAGCTGGGAAGGACGGATTCGTCGCCTATGCACCGACTGGGCCTCAAGAGGCTCCGCAAGGCGACGAAGCGGCATTCCATCTCCGGACTTGCGATGATGGGGCTGTCGGTGTCTTTCAACATGAGGACGCAACGTTTGAATCCCGATGCCCTCCTGGGAGGGTCGGCGTCCGAGGAATCCAGCGACGACGAGTCATCGGTCGTCAGTAGCGCTGCCAGTGAGAATGACGCCGATGAATTCGACGACGACGACAGAATTGCTTGGAATCTAGGCAGGCCTCGGCGTGCTAGCGCTGGTGCTGCGTTGACTTCGAGAGAGACGCAGACGCTCAGGCAGAAAGCAGACAGCATGAAGTTCACGAGCGAAGCACCCACCGCTCCTAGTACTTTTCCCACCACTTCTCTCATCACCGCTCCCACTGCCATTCCCGCCACCGCTCCCACCGCCGGCGATCCAGCCCTACTAGGGGCCAAACTCAACCCGTCACTGGCCAGACTGAAGCTGATATCCCGTCCGTCATCCCCCAGTTTCTCGTCTAGGGCGATTCCGGATACGCAGCTTGCCGTCGATGACGGTCCAGGCCCTAGCATCAGGTTCGCCACCCCCGACTCACCCGTGCCCGTGCCAGCCGGCAATGTTGAGTCGCCTATTGGAGCTATTCCTGCGCTCTCTTTCAATGATCTGCCGTCTCGCGGACAGCATCTCATCCTGAACGAGCTTATGCAACGGTACTCGGTTGATACGGCGGTGCTGTTTACTACGCTCCCGTCACCCCCGCCGAATAGTTGTAAGAATGAGCAGGAGTCTATGTCGTATCTGGAGGGCTTGGAGGTATGCTTCACATCCACGTTCCCCCTACTATAGCGGTGGGCTAATATTACTCACAGCTGTTGACCGAGGACCTACCACCGACGTTGCTGGTGCACAGTAATTCTTTGTGCGTGACAACGTCTTTGTAAACTCTTGAGAAAGAGTAGAAGTATTTTAAATTGATTCCCCCCCTTTGTCTGTGTACTGCTAGCGGTCTGCGGCGTTTGTACTGCTCTTTCTTGTTTCTGTTGTGGTCATACATACCCGTAGAATAGAATGGATCTTATCTGATGACATGTGTGGCGATACCTATCATGAATCATGACGTCCCGCGCTGAGTTGGCCTTCGACTAACCATGACCCTTGCATAACCGTCCCGATCGCGTTTCCGACCGTTGTGCCACCTCCGCCGGCCAGCACCGGCGGTGGGGGCGCGATATTGTCGACGGCTCGAAGCGAGTATAATAGCTGCCGCCACAGCTCTTGAATTACATCAAGATAACTACCGTAGTGATCATGGAACAACGAAATCCACACGAGCTATGCCGCGAATCTGCGCTGGAACGCGCGCTTTCCTACGGCTACAATACCGCCATCGAGCGTACTCGGCCGCAGGAATATCCGCAACTGACAGGTGGGCATCCCATCCCTCCCCTCCAGCTCTATGCATCCCAGCAGCAGCAGCAGCTGAACCAAGCAATTCAGAATGTACGTACCTCGACCACGCGGGCGCCACGCCTTCGCCCGTATCGGGCATCCGCGCGTTCTCTGCCGACCTGTGCAGCAATCTCTACGGCAACCCGCACAGCGCCTCGCCGTCGTCGCTGCTGTCCACCCAGCGCGTAAACGATGTGAGGCTCCGCGTGCTGCGGTATCTCAATGCGGATCCGGAGGCGTTTGATGTCGTCTTTTGTGGCAATGCGACGGCTGCTGTGAAGCTCGTTGCGGAGGGGTTTGTGGCTGCAGGTGAGGGAGAGGAGGGATGGAGATATAGGTTCCATGGCGATGCACATACGAGCTTGGTCGGCGTCAGGGAGTTGGCAACTGATGCGAGCTGTCTGGAGACGGATGCGGATGTGGAGCGGTGGTTAGAGGAGCCTTCGGAGCCTTCCGAGGGGGGGAGGGGCGAGGACGGGCCGGGACTGTTTGCGTGGCCGGGCCAGAGCAATCTCACCGGGCGGCGGCTGCCTCTGCAGTGGGCGGGTCGGATCCGCGCCCGCCGGCGGAACTACTACACACTGCTTGACGCGGCGGCACTGCTGACCACCTCGCCGCTGGACCTTAGCGGCGCCGGTGCCGCCCCCGACTTCACGGTGTTCAGCTTCTACAAGATCTTTGGGTTCCCGGACCTAGGCGGGCTGGTCGTGCGGCGGGCGAGCGCGGGCGTGCTAGCGGGCCGGCGGTATTTCGGCGGCGGCACGGTGGGCGGCCTCACGATCCACGGGTTTGTCGCACGGAAGACTGAGGCGCCGCATCAGTTCCTTGAGGACGGGACGGTGCCGTTCCATTCGATCATTGCGCTGGACGCGATGATGACCGCGCGGGAGCGCGTGCATGGATCGCCGGTGGAGGTGTGCGCTCACGCTTTCTCGCTGGCGAGGCTGGCACGGGAGTTGATGGGGGAGTTGGAACATGGGAATGGTCGGAGGGTGTGCACTATCTACGGCGCGGGCGACTTCGCGTCCGCCCGAGAACAGGGCCCGACTATAGCGTTCAATATGCGGAAGCCGGATGGTGCCTGGGTCGGCTACGCCGATGTCGAGAAGCTGGCCGCCGTGAAAAAGATTCATCTCAGGGTCGGCACGATGTGTAACCCCGGCGGTATGAGCAGCTATGTCGGCCTCAAAAGCTGGGAGATGGAACAGAACTATAAGGCAGGACATGTGTGCTCGGACGATCGGGATGTCATCGGCGGGAAGCCGACGGGCGCCGTCAGGGTCTCGTTTGCGGCGATGAGTACGCTCGACGATGTGCTGGTGCTGGTACGGTTCTTGGAGGAGTTTTATGTGGATCGCGGGTGTGTTCCGACTCCGATCCCGGTGCCGGATGGGATTGGAGACGGGCAGGATGAGGTCGTCGTGGATAGTTTAATAATATGTAAGTGCTCGTCCCATGGTGGGACTGGATTACCATTGACTGGATATAGACCCGATCAAGTCCTGCGGTGGCTACAAGATTTCGCCAAACGTCGCATGGGAGATCAAGCCACACGGGCTGGCCTGGGACCGCGAATGGTGTCTCGTGCACCTTGGTACCGGCGCAGCACTGAGTCAAAAAGCGTATGTCTATCATTCCCACAACTCTCACCATGCGCTGATATTTCCACACGCAGCTACAACAAAATGGCCCTCCTCCGACCAGAGATAGATCTCTCAACCGGCGTGCTCACCGTCACCTCCCCGACTACTTCCCTCCCACCTCTACAAATCCCGCTCCACGCATCCCCCACATCCCTCCACGCATCCGCCTCCCGCGTCTGCGGCGACAAGATCACAGCGCTGACCTACAACACCCCGTCCATAACCAACTTCTTCACCGCGGCCGTCGGAGTCCCGTGCACGCTGGCCCGGCTCCCACCCGACTCTGCAAGCCGCAACTACAAGCCGCACCTGAGCGTTCCGCCACAGCCGGGGGGGAGCAAACAACCAGCGATCCAGCTAAGCAACGAATCTCCCATCCTGCTGCTGAACCTCGCCAGCGTCGCCTCCCTCAACCTTGCGATCTCATCCACCGGCGGAAAACCCGCCAGCGCGGACGTATTCCGCGCCAACATTGTGGTGCGCTGCGCATCCGCTTATGCGGAGGATGCATGGGCGCGCGTGAGGATAGGAGAAGAGTGCTTTGATATCCTTGGCCCGTGTAGACGCTGCCATATGGTCTGTATCGACCAGACTACCGCACAGAAGGATGAGGAGCCGTTTGTAACCCTCGCCAGGACACGCAGGGTTGAAGGAAGGGTGCTGTTTGGTATGCATGCTACGCATTTGCCGCGACTGGCTGGCGATGAAGACAGTAATGGCAATGGCAATGGCAATGGCACGCCGACGATACGGGTGGGCGATAAGGTAGTGGTGCTTCCTCGTGAGGAGGAGGCGGAAGTGGAGAGCTCCGTGGATGCGCGGAGGCAGACGGTGGAGGTGCAGGTAGAGGTCGAGGTGGAAGCTCGCAAGCAGCAGGGAGGGTTATTGCACTCATTGGCGGCGATGGTTCCAAGGTCTTTACGGGCTGGAGCGTAATGTTGGTGTTGGCAAGCATACATGTATTTCATAATTATCTTGGGCGTTCTTGGGGGAGTTGTATTTACCGATATTTCCAAGCATTTACCGTTTACGTTTTATTCCGCACTTCGGATTACCGTACTGCACCTGCATGCGCGTGTATGTGTGTATGTAGATCCTAGTGGAGAGCGGAGGTGAGATCTCCGTATGCATAGAATACTTACCCACACGACGGGAGGAAAATCTCCCAGACTCGGGCCTGCATACTACATACATACCTGGAATGTGGAGTAGACAGCCGTTCCGTGAATACCCACCGGTACCCAGCTGTCACTCGGCGCTTTGACCGCCGCCGACCGGCTCCGTCTGGGTCAGGTGGGCGGGAGGGAGTTCTCCGTTTGCACTCACTTACTCACGGACGCCACGCACACGTATGTAACTATGGGTGGTGTATGGGTGGTGTATGGGTGCACTTTCCCCTTGCACACCTCACGTGCATGGCGGTAGTTCTCGACTCTCCAGGTGTGCACCGGGGATGGGCTGGACTGTAGGGGAGGGTGCGAGATCATGATCCACCGTCCACGCACGCAGCTTCCGCCAGCGCCCACGCCAGTGCCAGCACCAGCGGCCGTGACCGCGCACTCGGGAAGTGTGGAGTACATATCATACCCAAGCTAGGCTAGGTAATTAGTCACATATGTACCTCCCTCCCCTGCCCAGAAGGGAAGCAAGATCCCCACTCCCGCGGGAGAAAACGGCTGCATGGATGTACCTCTGGATGTATGGATGGCTGTATGGATGGCTAGATAGACGGATGGACGGCGCAGCTCTTGCAGCGCATGTGCAGCGGTGCATCTACAATATCTGCAATGCACAGTCATCGAATCGACATCGATGCACCAAGTGGGTTAATTGTTCCCCTTCCCCCCTGCGACGGACCATGGTGTCGGAGGCGGAAGCGCCCGCTTCTACCCGCCCCGGCTGCTCTCTCCCCCGCCAGATAGGGCCGATAGGTAGGTACGATGGAGGTCGCTGGAGCCCGGAGCTTGGAGGGTGGAGGATGGAGTGCATGGATGGAGTGAATGATAAGGTTGGTAAATCGATACGAGAGGTAGGGTTGGGTAGCTATATAAGCTTCTGGGAGCTTCCATTCCAACATGGGATACACAAACGAGTCATACGGGTGATCTACATACAGCTGCCTGCTAGAGCTCTATATACCTCGTTATACTCTTCTAATCCATCTCCATTGTTCTGAGTATCACCACCCAGCACCTTCTGTACACACAGCTGCTAGAGCTTTATATACCTCCTTCCACTTCTCTAATCACCCTCTATTGGTCTCGGTATCACCACCCAGCACTTTCTCCAGCTTCCCCTACAGACAACAGCAATGACGATCCCCACCGCGCCCTCGCCCTCTTCCACCACCTCCACCCTTCCCCCCGCCCCATCGCGGCCCTGGATCCACACGCCTTTGATCCCGTCTGCCACACTCTCCACCCTAGCGGGGTGCACCGTCCTTCTCAAGCTCGACCTGCACCAGCCGAGCGGCTCCTTCAAATCGCGCGGGGTGGGCTACCAAATCCTGCAGATCCTCCGCTCGCACTCCCTTGTCTCCAGCAGCACAGCGCACATCTACAGCTCATCTGGGGGCAACGCGGGCCTAGCGGCGGTGCACGCGTCCCGCATGCTAGGAGCACGATGCACCGTCGTGGTGCCCGAGAGCACGTCCGCGTTCATGGCGGAGAAGGTGCGGGCGGCGGGCGCGGAACAGGTGCTGGTCTGCGGGAAGAGCTGGGTCGAGGCGGATCAGCACGTGAGAATGCTGGTGGAGCAGGATAAGGACGGGTACTACTGCGCGCCGTTTGATCATCCCGATGTCTGGGAGGGCAATGCGACGTTGGTCGATGAGATCCTAAAGGATATGAACGGCGACGTGCCGGATGCGGTCGTGGCGAGTGTGGGTGGTGGAGGTCTGTTGGTGGGCTTGCAGCTGGGGCTCGAGAGGAGCGGGTTGGAGGAGAGGACTAGAATGGTCGCCGTCGAGACGAGGGGCGCCGAGAGTTTGAATGCTAGTCTTAGGGAGGGTAGGCTGGTTACTCTCGAGGAGATCACGAGTATTGCGACGAGTCTGGGTGCGAGGACCGTCGCGGAGAAGGCGTTTGAAGTTGGGTCGTGGGGGAACGTCATCTCGAGGGTGGTGAGTGATGGCGCGGCGGCGAGGGCATGTGTAAGGTTTGCAGAGGAGGAGAGGATGTTGGTTGAGGCGGCGTGTGGGGCCAGTTTGGCGGCGGTGTATGAACTTGGCTTGAGGAAGATGATGCCCGAGTTGACGAGTGAGAGTAAGGTGGTGGTCGTGGTTTGCGGAGGTAAGTTCATCCATTCACTGTTTAGGTGATCACGCACTGACGGCGAGCAGGTAGCAATGTCAACTTGGAGATTCTGGAGAAGTACAGGACGGAATATCCACTTCAGCAGAAAGCATAGACACCGAGAGAGAGATAGAGAGAGAGAGAAAAGGAAGATACATAGAGCATCATAATTTTGGAAGTATGTAGGAGAATATAATAAATTTCATGTCATTTATCGTATCCCCTGGACCAAATTCTATCTAAGCAACAGCCTTCTGCAAGAGCACTTTCCGGTGATTCCAATAGTTCGTTCGTATTGGATCGTAAGTCTTGGCCAGCAGCTCGAGGGCTTTGATGGCCGTGTCCTTGGTCTCCGGCTTCTCGGCGCCGATATCAGCGAGCCAGTCGAGGCCGTGGGATGATGTGATACGGTCGGGATTGTCAACGGGGGCATAGTGCTTGCACAGAGCCTCCATCTTGGAAAGCGGCAGCTTTGCGCGCGAGATCAGTCTGTCCCCGCTTATCAGTCAATGCGGTCACTACATAGCTGGATGTTCAACTCACCCCCGCAGGTAGTTCCAAGGGCTCTGATTCTGCGGCGCCAGGTAGATCGCGTCCTCGGCGTACCTACACCAGTCAGCAAAGTCCCCCATCCACTAGCAGTAGGTATCACATACTTGATCTCCCTCTCGACGACGTCCATATCGACCTCTCCGCCCCTCCCAAAAACGACGAAGAAGCGATGATTCCACGCCGAATTGTTCCTAATATCCTTTGCGAGGAGCTTGTCGACATATTCCAACTCGCCCCCTTCCCAAAGCTCGAAGCGTCTCACCAGCCACTGCCGGTAGCTCCAGACATGGTAGTTCTTCGAATCCTTCTCGAACATCTTCGCAACGAACTCGGCCTCGCCCGTGGGGTCCCCCAGCTTGTCCATAATCAGCTGGCGGTGGTGCCATATCTGATAGTTCTTCTCGTGCCGCAGCGCCTTGTTGTTGAGGTACGCGATCTCCTGTCGCAGGTCGTGCGAGAGCGCGAAGATGCATTTCGCGCGGTAGAGCCTGTCCTCCTCCTCTCGCCACTAGGTATCAGCTTCCTTGCCTACCCCCACACAACATAAAAGGAAATGGAAAGGGATAGGAACCAGACGGTGTAGTGCGCAGGGTTCATCTCAGTGATGTGCTCCGTGATCGCCAGCGCGCGCGCACTGTACTCCTCCTTGGCCATTATCGCCCGCAGGTACGACATGGCCTCCGCGTACTCCTCGGTGTACGCGATCTGCGCGAGCGGCTTGTCGCCATCGTCTTGCGGCAGCGGGATGATGTCGTCCCACGCCGGGTCTTCTTGATACATATTGTGGTCGTATGTAACAGTGGTCGTGGGCGTGGTGGTGGTTGGTGGTGGGGGTTGAGGTTCCGACGAGAGGGAGAAGGGTAAGAGCGCGAATGGGTGAGGTGAGGATGTGCGCGAGCCTTGAAGCTCTATGTAGCATTGAATCGCAGTAATTGCGGGGTTCGGGTTGTTCCGTCAGGCTTGCTGCTATCCATGCTAGTTACACACAGCCTGCAAGGCGTCACGCTCCAACGACAATAGCAAGACATTCCAAAGGAGTGATCACTGATACATTCCAACTCCACAGCCCGGTGGGTCCTTATTCACCAACCAAGACCGAGTGATGGTTTTCACAATCACCAAGAAAGGGGGTCTTGACCGATCCACGGCGCAGAGTACCCAAGAAAAGAACAAGACTCAGATGCATTTGTCGCTTCTACCTATTCTATTCTAGATATGTAGTATTACGGAACTATACTAGTGCGTGCTTCATACGAGTCAGTATGTATCGTCGAAGCGTCTTCCCGAATCATCTCCATCTCCCCTTACTCCAGCTTCGACAATACGAGTACAGAGCCACACTGCACTAACATGGCTCACATTTACCACATCCCCCCGCATCGGCGCGTCAAGGTCCTCCAACCAGCAACCCCCTCACTACAAACAGGTATCCCTCGGTTCCCTCCCCCATCCGTCAACGGTATCAACAACCCCTTCCCCCGGCATTCACAAGCCAAAGCAATTACAAGAAATATCTAACAACCAGTACCCAATTCACGAAACGAAGAGAAGAGAAAAGAAGTGCAGCAAAGAGAAAAAAACGAAACCCCGCCTCCATCAACTAGGCCTCCGGAGACCACTCCGTCCAGAAGCGCCACTTGCGCTTTCCGAGCGTGTCTACGCCCACCAGGGACTCGACTCCCTTCACGCCCTCGGCAGCCAAGAACATCTCCTGGCTGATCTCGACGGGGTGGCCGAGTTCATCGGACCGGGTGATGGCCGGCCACAGAACGCCGACACCCGAACCACCAAGGGTAGTCTCGTACTTCTCGAAGCCCTCGGACGAGAGTTTGTTTTCAAGCTCCTGCATGATGCTTGGCTTGACATTGGGCTTCAAGAGGGTGATCGAGCAACCGCCTCCTCCAGCGCCGGTAAGCTTGGTCCAACCGATACCCGCGTGGTCGATCAGCTCTCGCACACGCTCCAACCGGGGATGCGACACGCCGAGTGATACCAGAATTCCATGGTTGATCCGGATCAGCTCGCCGAGTCGGACGATGTGAGAACTGCCCGAGTGATTACTAAAGTCGGGATCTGAGATGATGTTGTGCGCTTCGATTGTGATCTTGTCGATCGTGTCCAACATTGAGTTGGTGATGTCCTCGTATTGTATGAGGAGGTTTCGGACGTTGGCGACTTGCTCCGAGGTCCGGCGGGGCTGTTTGGTGTTGACCAGTAACAAAGGTAATTCTGGGAAACTGCAAAAGAGTCAGTAATGTAAATCGCAATAGTGACGGATGAAGCATACTTCTTGAGATGGGTAACTTCGGGAGGCTGCGAGTAGTCATTTCGCTGAAAGAACACCGCCTTTCCTCCGGTAGCTACAGTATTATCAACTCCACTGGGGTTGCCATGGATACACATCTCGCCAACGAACGCCCAGTTGTTGACCCTTTTGAGCTGCAATTGAGTTTCGCGTGGCAACATGCCTCTGAACGGCATGGTTAGGGTACCGCTCTGGATCTGGAGAGCCGCGCTCAAACAGACAGCAATGCTGGCGCTGCTTCCCAATCCCGCTCCGATAGGAATCGTTGACCGCAAAGTGTAGATAGCGCCGGGGGAGTGCTTGTTTCCGATCATCAGGAACAGGTACAGGAACGAGGTGGCCGCAGCCTGCAGGACTTTGCCAGGGATCTGGGCAACGATGGGGGCGATGGCCTTCATGAGCTGCGGGTCCAATCTCTCAAGGACATCGAAGTAGTAGCGTTTCTTGCCGGGAGCGGCAAAGGCCGTCCAGGGCAACGTGTCAATGTCCCACGACTGGTCGAGCTCAATGTCCGCAAACCGAAGCGTGAGCATTTTCGAGGGTTTCGGGTACGGTGTAACGAGCAAGTACGAGCGCAAAGAAATGGCAGCAGCAATCGCTCCCTATGCGTGGGTCAATCACTCTTCTTCCTCTGTCATCCCACGGTTGAAATGCAAAGGATGCCACGAACCTTTCCATGTACCACCGCGTGTTCTCCGTACACGATGACCTTTCCAGGAGCCGAGACCATGAACGAAGGAATCTCGGAAGCGGTATCGGAGCGGTGGGATCTGGTCGTCGGCGATGCCTGGCCGCTGTTGGCAGACGACGTCAATTCGTTCGTGAGCTTGGTGCCTCCATGCAACCGGAGGCCGTCCATGGCGTTTTTCGTGTCGACCATCAGGTGTGACATGCCGCCGTTGGAATGCACTGCTGAAACCGTTTCAGCCATCGACCAATGCTGTATTATGGACGAGATGCGTAACGGGGGGGAGGCAAAGGTGTTGAGTGGCCGCTATTTGTGAGGGTGCGGCGGGAGATGGGGGTTATATGCTGTTGAACGTTATGGGGAATAAAGAGGAGGGATTGTGATGCGCAGCAGCGAGTGCGAGGACGCGCGGAAGCGACGGATCAAGTTGGGAAGCTGATATAAACGGGTGTTGTGATTTGCGGGAGGTAGTTGACAGCCGTATAGTTGGACGCGGACCAGGGATTCCCGCCAGTCGCCGCGACACAGCCCACCACCTCAAAATGCCCAACGTTCATGAAAAACATCTCACGATGTAGAAACTCTTTTCCAAAGCGAAAAAGAGCCTCTGAGCGAAGATATCTCAATCCTCGGCATTTCTTAACGCAAGTAGTTGATCCACTCATTTTGAGATCATAAAGCGTATCGTTCTGGTGGCGACCATCCGTAATGTCAATCAGAGATAGGGGTATGACGCGCCTGTTCGAGTAATGTAGTCACGTGTTTGATTCTGTTAATCAGAGAATTGGATGACACTAACACCTTGCGGTCCACGGCAACTCGAGTAGTATCGCCCATATATCCCGCGGGATCCTCCGACAGCGCAAGAAGCGAATTCAACGTGTGCCTGCCTATTACCTCTGCTGCTACCGTTCTTCTCCCCTAACCACTGCCTCATTCACTAAAATCATCGAACTGAATGTAGGTTGAACGTCGAAAAGGATAGGGTGGTGGATTCAGTGAAAGGAGTTATCGGAAGGAAGGAAAGGAAGAGGAGGCCGTGTTTTATCAGGTGTCGTCACGCTTTGGCCGACAGTCTCAGGTCATGCAGAATCAAAAACCATGGTATCACGACATCGAATTTAAAGACCGAGTGAAAAACCATGCCCAGACCCATTCAGGCTTCTCTTGCTTCTCTCCTTACCATTCTCCTCTTTCTTCTCCGTTGCTACATACTACGATATGACCGTACTAGCCTTTGAAGCAGTAAATTTCCAGCGATAGCATTGCCAGCGTTCCTCATAGTCTGGTCCGGATTGCCTCTGTCCGATCCCGTCTGCCGATAAATCAGGATCGACCCTGACAGACGGAGCAGTGTATTGATATATCAGGGCCTCACGGAATGTATGGAACAAACTACCATCATCTTGTGCCCGCTCAATGAATCAAAGTACACTTAAATCAGAGGGGGCTCGTTAACAACGGACTGGGGGCATATCATACCTCTTCAGGTGATCAGGCTGTCACAATGAAGAGAAGGGAAGAGCTTCTTTGTCGAAGGACACATGGAAGAGGCTCGATGTATGCAGAATATAGCTTCCTAACCGTGGAATCACAGTTTCTCAACTCATGCGCGGATATTGTCCGTGATCAGCACCGAATTTAATCAAGGTCTGAAAGCAACTGGACAGGACTCTCAAGTTCCCAGTAATGATCGGACGAAAACTCGGCACCCAACCTTGGAATTTTGGAACTGCCGCATAATGTCTCAGTGACCGTTGATGATGCACATGTTAACTGCAGCTTGGTTCCAGGATGTTTAGCGTAACCTCTTCAGGCTCATGCATGCACAACCCACTTAGCGCATTGGCTCTGAAATTTTCTGTGAGCCGCAACAATTAACTTCACCTCGCGGCCACCATTTCCACCTCCTACCAAATCACAACTCCCACCAAACCACAACCACCGCCTCAAACCCACAACTTACAACCCACAAGAACCATGGAAATCGACCAGCCAGAGCCGCGGGCGCAAAGCCAGGTGCAAGTCAAATTCGTGACACGAGACACCGAGATCTCCGTGCCGACCGCGCCGATCCTGGTTCCAAGCAAGTGAGTGAGTTCTCCCTCCGCCATTGGGATTCCAGCCGCCTAACCGCCATTCCTCGCAGCCTGAAGCGTCTGGGTCTCTCGCAAGTAGTGAACCACCTGCTCGCCTCCTCGCAATCCATCCCCTTCGACTTCCTCGTGGACGGCGCCTACCTCCGCAGCACGATCGACGCCTACATCCTCGAGAACGGGCTGTCGTCCGAGAGCGTGCTGACGCTCGAATACGTGCGGGCGGCGGTGCCCCCAAAGTTCCTGACCTCGTTCCAGCACGACGACTGGGTCTCCTCCGTCGCCGCGTCAACCGCAACCAACAAGCAGCGCGCCCCCGTGGTGCTGACGGGCTCGTACGATGGTATCGCGCGGGTGTGGAACACGAGCGGCGCGGTGCTGTGCGAAGCCGCGGGCCACCAGGCAGCGATTAAGGCGGTCAAGTGGGTCGACGGGGACTCGTTCGTGACGGCGGGGATGGACCGCGCGCTGCGCGTGTGGCGCTACACCGCCGACTCGACGGTCGAGGCGGGGGTGAAGGCCGTCGCGGAGTACGTGGGCCACAAGGCGACGGTCGAGGCGCTCGCTGTCGACGCCGCGACGAAGCGGATCCTGTCGGCGTGCGCGGACGGAAACGTCGGCGTGTGGAGCTCGGTCCCGAAGGAGTCCCCCGCTGCGCCTGAGGTCGAGCTCCCCGCGAGGACGAAGAAGCGGAGGCTGGCGCAGACAGGGCCGAGGGTTGCGCATTACGGTGCGCTGCAAATGCTGCAAGGTCATACCGCGCCCGTGTCGGGTGTCGCGTTTGCACCACAGGATTCGTCGGTGGCGTACTCGGTCTCATGGGATCATACGATTAAGACGTGGGATCTGACGACGATGGTCACGATCGACACGAAGACTACACAGCACCCCATCCTGAGCCTGTGCGCTATGAAGTCGCTGAATATCCTTGCGTGCGGCTCGTCCGCGAGACACATCATCCTTCACGATCCGAGAGAGTCGGCGCAGGGTGTGAGCGCGGCTACGTTGAGAGGTCACTCGAATGCGGTGGTGGGGCTGAGTGCGAACCCCGAGAATGAGTGGCAGCTTGCGTCAGCAGGTCACGATGGAACTGTACGGGTGTGGGATGTCAGAGCTTCCAGCAGTGGGAACCTGTTCACCATCAACAGAGAGGGTGAAGGGTTGAGCGGGAACGAAAAGGTGTTTGATGTGGAGTGGAGCTCGGTGGGCATCGTCAGTGGAGGAGAGGACAAGCGCGTGCAGATCAATGCTACACCGAGGGGACAGGATGTAACGGTGAATAAGCCATAGGGGGAGGCGGAGGGAATACTGGCGTTCAAAAGCATCATTTAGAAACCATAGAACAACCAACCCGGGTATAACTCTAATATCTGAACAAACACCGTTCCGCTTGTCAGCATCCGTATCACTACCATCTACATGTAGAGCAGAAGCAAATAAACTCCACCGGTCAATCCACACCCATATAAAACCCGCAACGCCATTTACCCTTTTACAGCTTTTCAAACACGGCCTGCATCCAGCGTCTATACATCTTGATCTTCCTAGTCCGATTGACCAGCATGCGCTTATCGGTAGCCAAGCTCTCGACCTTGAAACCGCCGTACCCATCCTCTGCATCCTGCGCGGGCAGATCCGAGCCCTCGCGGAACACACCCGAGAAGATCTCGCCCAACTGCTCCTCCTCGAAGAAATACACCCTTGTGCCGTCGCCGCGGATGTAAAAGTTCTCATCGAGGTATCTCCCTCCCTTGAACCTTACCTGGGCGAGGTCATGGCGGCCATAGTCGCGGAACAACACCTTCCCACCCGGCTTCAGCATCCGCCGCACGTTCCGCAGCGCCGCGATCCACTGCGACGGCGCCAGCGCCGAGAACACAAACACCATGATCACGATGTCGACCGAGCCCGCCTCCACCCCCTCCGGCAGCGTGTCCTCCGCCGAAAGGTCGTACACACTGGCGCGCACATTCCCCTTGGGCTCGTACTGTGCATACAGCTCCTGGGCCTTCACGACCGCGACAGCATTCGGCGCGAAATCACACCCATGGATGCAAAACCGTGGGTTCGTATTGATCTGGAGCACAGGAAACAGGGTATTTCCCGCGCCACAGCCGAGTTCGACCACGACGCACGGCCCGTACTCCTCACCAGTCGCGGCACTCAGGATCGGAAACTCCTGCTGAAGCCACTTCCGGTCCTTGAAGAAGTTCTCGCCGTTGTTCTTGTAGAAGATGTCCCACCACTTGGCCGGGTTGCCGTTGAACCGCGCCTTGTCATGCGCGCTCACGGGCTTCGCGCGCTGCGCCGATAGCTGCTCTTGCGTGAACGCGGCGTACTCGTCGTCGATCTCGACGTGGTCCCATGCGTTGAAGGAGAAGGGATCGTCGGTCGGGAGGAGGAGTCTTTTTTTCCCCAGGAATCAGCAAGGGCGCGGGAGGGGGGGAGGGGGGGAGAGGGTGAGGGGGCACGGAGCGCATATCATACCTCGAGCCGAATTGGAAAGGATCCGAAACCTTGGGGCCGTCGGGCTTTGCGTTCGCGGGCACGGAGGTCTGCTCCTGCTCCTCCTTGGCGTCAACGCTTTCCTCTCCCTCTCCCGCCGCCGCAGCAGGGTCCGCGATGGCGAGAGTCGACAGCTCCGGCAGGCTGTCCCTGGGACTCGACGACGACGACGACGACGGCATGGTCGCGTGCTCAGGTGGAACTTCCGGATCTGTGGTCATGGTGTGTATGGTATCCGTCCTTGCTGCGTGCGTGCGGGGGGGCGGCGAGGGTTGGAAAGGTTCGGACAAGACAAGACGGGTCGCGCGCCTGCACCTGCAGATGATAACACGCCCCGCCAAACTCTTACCCCACCACTGCCAGGCCGCGCCACAGAGCCTCACTAGTTAACGAACTAGAGGCGTGCGAGTGAGTGCGGCCGGAGCGTTTCGGCGGGAGTGTTTCGCAGAGTACCCGCGGGAGATTGGCTTTTCGCTGCTCTGTGTACTCTAAGTACTCTGCTCACATACCTTCCCGGTTTTCTTCTGCTTGTTTGTGAAATCTTGATTCTTGGGATATGTATGGGCAGGTGGTACTGCACCGTACTGTACTGTACCACGCCATCAGTTTCGTCATGCAATAATTCATGTCCAGGGTGAATGAATGGGGAAAGCCTGCCAGCCATCACCATTTCTGAACACTGGACACCCATACCAGCCTCCGGATTTCCATGACGGAGCGCTGCTCACCTCCTCCGCGCGAATTGTCACTCGGTCTGCGTTTATTAACCGAATCGTTTCCCCGAACTGTAGAGTGCCCATGCGGAAGAGATGCACGCCAGCCACCACCGCCGGCTATGACAAAATGTCGATGAATCAAAATTCGAGAAATGAGAATTCGAGAAAAGTGGAATAAAACGGATAATCGACCGATTGGGAGCGAGAGTCAAGGGGATTGGGGGGTAAACAGATACCGACTGGTTGGCGCGGACTGGACGTCTGACATGGCCTGGCCTTGCACCTTGCTTTCCCTCTCTTGTGCGTTTTACCGAATTAGATATCATCAATTCAACCACACCATCACCGCTGCCACTGCCACTGCCACCACCATTACAGTTGCTACCACCACCGCCAAAACAAGCATCCCAGTCCTCCCCTGCCCGGGTATTCCCATTCCACATGTAGACTATTTTATTATCATTATTGTGCGGATGACCGTTGCGTTTGGGGGGGGGCTGCTTCATGATGCCTGGCCTGGCCGCCTCCCACATACCCCGTTGCTTTCGCCCCATCCTGCCTGTTTCCATTCTGCCTCCCGCCTCATCCTCCTCCTCCTCCTCCTCCTCCTCCAGATGTCCCCGCGATCTCAGCGGCTAGGCTGAATAGTGCTCTGATCTCTCGACTACTACGACATTTTGAATTCTGACAGCGGAACGGACGGAACATGGGATCGCATCACTCGGTTCCACTCCTGGTCGACGACGGCGTTGGGGGCGGCGGTGGGGGGAACGAGAAACAAAAACGGAAGCCCGGAGATCGACGCGGGAGACTGACGAAGCCGCGGACCAACACCAACACGGAGTCGGGGCAGTGCCTACCGTTCGTGTCGAAGCTGGCCGCTCTAGGGGTACTCTCCTCACGGCGGCCCGCAACAGCGCCAGGATCAACAGCGGTCCGGCCGGACGACTTCCTTCCTCCTCCCCCGCTCCCAATCGCACCCACTCCTCCTCCGCGGGAAGCATATCGGACGGGACGACCGCGGCCCCTCAGCTACGGACTGTACCGAAAAGACTCGCTGCGGGGCGCCGACGATAATCTGCAGGCAGCCGTCCCGGACCTCAGCATGCCGCTCCGTCGGCGCTCCACGTTGCTGGCCGCGCCGCCCGCAACAATCTCGCGGAAGCCCCACCCACCCGCACCAGCGCCAGCGCCAGTGTTCGAGATCGACGAGGCACCCTCGCAGCAGCCGCCGATAACACTGCAAGCGTTGGATCTGGCCCTAGCCGTCAACGTGGTCGATCCGCGTAGCGGCACGCCCTCCGGCTACTCGGTACTAGGCAATTTCAAGCGCGGGTCACTGCGCATCATGAACGGCAACGCGTCCCCGTCGCCGGCCCCGAGCCCCGCGCCAACGTCGCCGATGTTGACGGCTCAATTCCACACCGGGGAAGTGCCGCCGCCCTCCATGCTGCTGGAGCAATACATCAATCCGCGGGATAGCATCCGGCTCATCCCGCCATCGCCAAGCCTGTATCCCAGTAGCAACCGCCTCAGTTTCGAGGACAGCCCGCTGCTGGAGTGGACAGAAGAGTACGGCTACGACTACATCGAGCCGCTGTCCCTCCCCGACCTCGCGGCAGAAACCACCGCCCCAACCCCGTTCGAGCGCTTCACCACCGCCACCACGGCATCACCGCAGCGACCCGTAATCCTGCAAACGCAAAGCCCGTACGACTCCGGCTACAGCTCCACGGACTCCACCACGTCATGGCGCACAGCGCAGGAGTCTCTAGCATACGCTCCCGAGCGAACCGCCACCATAGCCGCGCTCGAGGGCGGCCTCTTCGGCTCATCAGCGACGCTGAGAGAACGCAAGTCTTTCCCCGCACCGTCGCCGTCGCCCCTTCAGCGACAGCGGAACAAGCGCCCGGCTCCACGGCCAGAGATGTATGTCAATGCGTATCCTGGCGTCTCCCGCGCTAGCTCGTGCTCCGCCGCCGCCGCTGCCGCTGCGCCAGATACCCTCGAGAGGATCACCGGGCAGGAGTATTATCAGAGGTTCTCGAGGAGGAGGAATAGTACGCTGGTTACGTAGAGGACTGGAGTTTTCGTTTGTATTTACTTTAGCTTTTACATCTTTGTTTTTGCGGCGTTGGGTAGTTAGGCGTTGGTTGAGTTGATTGAGTTGACCTTGGGACTGGAATTTTTATATAATCGCGATGGATTGGATTTGGATTTTTGGTGGGGTTTTTGGTGGGAGCAGGTATTTTTCCTTCTTTCCTTTTCTCTTTTTGGACATGATGAAATGTGTGGATGTGGAAGTGGATGGCGGATGCGGGATGCGGACTGACGTCAGTGGAATGGATGGAATGGATGGATGAGATCTACGCATGATGATGATGACGATGATATGATATTTTGCCCGTTGTATGTATCGTACCAGTACTGAGTAGAGTACTACATATGATGGTCCACTTGCAGCCGAGATCTCCGAAAGCTTGCGTCGTACGGAGTAGAGTAGAGTGCTTGCGGATTTGCTGCATGGCGGGATGACGAAACGTATCGACGTTAACTTTACTTTGCTTTGCTTTCTTGGTTTGTGAAGGTGGATGTGAAGATGGAGGTGGTGGTAGTGGTTTTTTTGTTTGGTCATCGTAGCATTCTTATCAGATCATGGCTGTAGAGTACACACGTCCGGTTCCACACCACTGCACGGTCTCCGACCGCTGGCCGCGAGCTCGAGGTGGGTTCCCCGTTGCTGGGGGAAAATGGCGGAGCTTGGGCGGCCAAGGGCGCCGGGCGGGGTGGGGAGGTGTGTGGGGGTAACTATGCGGGCAAGTGGCTGGTGACTTGCTGAGGAAGTGTGTGGAGTGCGTGCGTAAGTACACTGCGTACTCGTGTGATCGCCTACTCTACATCTTACCCACACACACCGGTGACCGGTATGATACCGAAATCGATCACTGAACCAACCGCCATCCTGGACTGGACTGGATGCTTGGCGGCAAATACCGAAGTACTTACCGACCTCAGACAACGGAGTGGGGAGTTCTCGGAATCTCGGGGGTGAGGGATGCGTGGTGCGGATCACCCGTTCACAACTGGCGATTCGGACGGAGATCGAGGGCGGGGATGGAGGGTGGGGATGGGGTTTTGAGTGTATGTAGATAGGTATCTAACGGTTGTTTAAAGTTTTGAAGTGGGGGGCGGACTGCTGCAGCCTGCAGGGCTGAGGACTCAGCAGATGTTAATGGCACGTCAATTGGTCCATGACTCTAGTCATGCGGTCGTCAAGCATTTCATTTAGTCAGGCGGAGACGATGATCGTATGTACTGTACCGTACGTACTCCGAGATCAGCCGTAACTACCGTACCTCATTCCGTTCATGCGCCCATATACTCATCCCACTCATCCCACTCATCCCACTCATGCTTCCCCGTCCCGTCCTAACTATCCGAACTGCGTGAACCCCGCCCGTTCTCAGCCCAGCCAGCCCCGCCCCGCACCAGCCCCCGCACCAGCCCCCGCACCGCCTTATCTCAGCCCCGCACCATCTCAGCCCACAGTCATCCGGCATGCGGACTCGTCACCTTTCGACCTTTCAAACGCCCTGCTTCGAAAAACGAACCATGACCGACAGCGGCCCCGAGAATCGGCATTAAGTAAGTAAACGCTTGCGCACCCAGCTGACGTCCGGAGGCTCACGTATGTACACTGTACAGCGACAGGTGTGTCCCGCTATGTAGAAGAGTAAGTGGTTGGGGAGACGGTGCTCCCAGACAGTCGGGAATTCTAGGATATATGTTTAGGTAGCTTGATGCGGTACCGCAGACGGTTGGCGTATGTACACATGTAGACTGTCACTTTCAGAGAGGAAGGTGACAATCATCTGTTACCTAACTTGAGTGGTCTGAAGGCTGAAGCTTTTTTGAAGTTCCGTTCCCCCATGCGATGGCGTTGCAGGTACAAACGTTGATCCTCCCGTCCCCGGTGAAAGATCGACTCGCGAACGTACCATAGACTGGGGAAACAGCCGGAGTAGTGTATAGTAGGTATCCTAAATGATGGCAGTGTGTATTATAACTCTGGTCAGCAGTTAGATAACGGGGGCGGGGGGGAGGAGGTTCAACGCAACCTCCGCGTCGTAGCACCTATTCCGGTCCCAGTCTCTCAAAACTCCTCGAGCCATTTTGCTTTGCTTGTTTGTCCTGGGTGTGCTCAAGCTCGACAGTCGACTCGGCCGACCAGTTCCGATATCGCATTCGGCCTCCGAATCGAGACGAGAGGATACGATGCCAGGCGAAACTGCCGGCCGCGCGTTTTCTACTTTGTTGAGGGGATAGGGATCAGGAAAACTGCTGCGGACATCGAGATTCGAGACAGATGCGGTGGATGCATGAGTAAGTACTATACATTATGTAAGTAAGAAGTGTGTAAGTACATGACATGTACTCGCTTATGAGGGACGAATAATGCGCTCACGGGGCTGGAGACTCAGATATATAAGCTGACATAATTTCTCAGCTGGTGATATGTTCTTGCATAAGGTTATATAGCATCCACGACATTCTCACGACCGCAGAACGCAGAACATTTGATGATCATGCGGAGAGTATCGACTATGGTCATTCTTACTTACCTCCTGGTAGTTTCCTAGATGCTCATCGGTGCACCGCTGATTATCGTGCCGAGCAGTGATTTTTGTTGGTATATACGGTATGAACTGTAGATGGAGAAGAGCTCAACGGAGCCGACACGGCGGAACGACGAGATGACGAGGCTCTTTGCTAAGCGAAGACGGTGCTGTAGTGAAAGCTCTAGTTACTTGGCACGTGCTAAACAAATCTACGGCACAATGGTGACACTGTATAATTGTCAAAACTAATCTGCCTGTTTCGATTACCTTACATACTTAGGAGGTATGTAGATGACTTCAAACTTCAAACTTTAAAGGAGGTATCCGGATTTAAAAATACCATGTGGCGAATGATGGGAATTGGGAACAATATTCGGAATAATGTTCCGCCGAGGGCTAGAGCTAGAGCGTGGCTGTTATGGACATTGTGGGATAGAATTTCCAAGATCATGAAATTCATCACTCCCGTTTGAGGAACGATAGGTACTACTAGAGCACCTGAGGGTAGCTCGGTCCGATTCACCTGGCCTTTGCTATGCATATCCGCCGAGCCCGGCCAGTCAAGGCTTTTGGGAACACGATATCGGGCCGTGATTACCGCGGTTCCGAAGTTCGACGGGAGATCTAATCAGAGAACCGCCTCCATTCCGTATATACCGGTAGAATGTAGTTCTTCAACGGTGCGGCCTCATGTTGCATCACTCGTCGCAAGTAGCTAAGCTTTCGGTGCTCCGGTCGCGCCAAGCCACTAACCGGCCGGACCAGCAACTAGACTAGCGCATTCAGAGCTCCTACATCGGTGAAGACCTTCAGGAGTGTTGCAACCTCTCTGCAGTGACCATTTCAAGCTCAATGGCAGTTCGCATCCTCCACAACGACTACCCACACCGGTCCGTCGCGCTCGTCAGTCCATCCTACACACTCGTCTTCCACCATTCCAGCGGGAACACCAAAACCTCGGAGTCCAAATGCGCCGTCGAGTTCTCCGCGACGGAGAATGTCGACCTGGCGGACTATAATGTCCTCTCAAACCAGCCGTGTCTGGGATGCCTCGGTATCATCAATATCGGACGGGATACGTTCCTGTGCACCATTTCGCTGTCGAGAGAGGTCGCGCAGGTCCGCCCGGGGGAGATGGTGTATCGGATCCTGGGGATCGAGTTTCGTATGTGAATGCTCGTGGAATGGGCGGGACGGAAGACCGGGGGTGAGGGCTAAACGTGTACGGATGGCCAGACTGTCTCAACCGCAGCGACTACGACAATTTCCTCGAGAACGAGATCAATCCGTATCCGGTCGAGAGCGACGGCTGGGACCAGGGGCGATCGCAGCAGCCGATAGGTGTCGAGCACCCATGTCTCGCCTTGAAAAAACTCCTCAGCGACGGAACGTTCTACTACTCTGGCGACTTCGACCTGACCAGTCGCCTACAGGACCGCTCGATCTCGCTCGATGACTTCGATATCGGCTCGTTTGATCCCGGGTTCATGTGGAATTCCCACATGATTGGGTCGCTGCTGCAGTTTCGCTCGCATCTGGGTGATGAGGAGAAGGGCAGGCTGGATCATGCCGGCTTTTTGACGTGTGTGATTAGAGGGTTTGTGGAAAGTCTTACCATTCAGCGGCCGACCACTAGGATGGAGGGTAGGAGCCGGGCGACCGGGCTTCCAGCAAGGTTGACGTTGATTTCGAGACTGAGTTGTCGGAGAGCCGGGACGAGGTTCAATGCGCGCGGCATTGACGACGACGGTAATGTAGCGAATTTTGTCGAGACTGAGACGGTGATATGGAATCCGTCTTCCGGCCACCCGGCACGGGCCGTCGCATTCAGTTACTGCCAGATCCGCGGGAGCATACCGATATTCTGGGAGCAGCAGACGGGGATCTTGCCGAATCAGCAGAAAATACAGATCACGCGATCACCGGAGGCGACGCAGCCGGCGTTCGATAAACACATTGAGGGGGTGATACTGAAATATGGTTCTGCACATATCGTAGATCTCCTTTCGGAGACCAAATCCGGCGAGATCGAGCTGTCGACTAGATATAGACTGCACACCCAACACGTGTGCGGTCGCGGGAATGACAAAACTATCCGGGATCTACTGCGTAGCACTGAGTATGACTTCCATGCACAAACCAAGGGGCCGGCTGGGTACGAAGCGGCCAGTCAGATCCGAAGGATTGTGGAGGACTCCTCGGATGCGTTTGGATACTTCCTGATGGAGGGTGCGTCCGAGGGCGAGGATGATCCGAAGGGAAGCTTCGTCGTCGTGTTGCAGCAGGAGGGTGTCTTCAGAACCAACTGCCTGGACTGCCTGGACCGCACAAATCTGGTCCAGGGAATACTGAGCAAGTCGGCCGTGGAGGCGTTCTTACAGCAGCGCGCGGAGGTCGTGGGTCATGACTTTTGGATGCAGCATTCGACGCTGTGGGCCGATAATGGTGATGTTAGTTTCCTCCACTCCCTCCTCTTCGAAGCAGCAGTTGATGGGAATGAATACGAAAGGCACTCTCCAAGATCTACGCCGGCACCGGTGCCCTCAAGTCGAGTTTCACCAGGACGGGGAAGATGAGTCTTGCGGGAGCTTTCGCGGATGCCCGGAAAAGTGCCACGCGCGTGTATATCAATAATTTTGCAGACAAAGATAGACAGAATACCATTGATGTTCTACTGGTATGGGTCCACAAGTGATAGAATTTGGAAACGCATTATTCTTTTTTTGCTTACTTTTGGCCCCGGTTTGGTTGTGTAGGGTAGACTTGTGGGCCAGGAACCGGTGTCTCTATATGATCCGGCGAATGACTATGTCACCGCGGAGTTGAATAAGAGGTTGATCCTTCTACATCTGCACGCTGGAGCGTATCTGATACGGACGAAATAGATCCTCCGAATTCACCACCGAACTGCCGGTCCACATCTACGCCGGCACCTTCAACCTCAACGGCAAGACCACCGGCATAGACCATGACCTGACAGAATGGCTCCGCCCGCCGTTTCTCAGCGACGTGGAAAAGAAGCCAGAGCTGGTCGTCGTGGGCTTCCAGGAAATCGTCGAATTGAGTCCGCAGCAGATCATGGCTACTGATCCCGCCAGAAGAAAGCTGTGGGAAACAGCCCTGCTTAAGTGTCTCAACCGGGATAACGATGATCCGTATATCCTGCTGCGAGGTGGACAGCTGGTTGGTGCGGCGCTGCTGATTTTTGTGCGCTCGTCGGTTATTGGGGAGATCAAGAACGTGGAAGGGAGCTTGAAGAAGGTACGCATTTTGCCGTGAGGGTTCCAATGATGAGTGCTGACAGATTTATGGACCGGCCTGTCCGGCAACGCGGGCAACAAAGGTGCCGTCGCGATTCGGATGGAATACGCCAGCACTCGCCTCTGCTTCGTAACCGCGCATCTCGCCGCGGGCTTTTCCAACTACGACGAGCGGAACAAAGACTACGCCACGATCGCCAACGGACTCCGCTTCCAGCGAGGCCGCAAGATCGAAGACCACGATGCCGTCATTTGGCTGGGCGACTTCAATTACCGCATTGGACTCCCTGATGAGAAAGTCCGGAAGCTCGTCGAGATAGGCGATCTGCAGACGCTTTACGATAACGATCAGTTGCAGAATGCGATGGTTGCGGGATTGACATTCCCATACTATACGGAAAGCAGGATCAATTTCGATCCTACGTATAAATATGATATCGGTAGCGATGATTATGATACCTCGTTTGTTGCCCTGCGCCTTACTCCCGCAGTCAATGGCTGATATCTTTGCCAGTGAAAAACGCCGAATCCCAGCCTGGTGTGACCGCATCTTGTGGAAAGGAAAAGGACTGGAGCAATTGACGTACGGCTGCGCCTCAACAATAAGATTTTCCGACCACCGCCCCGTGTTTGCAACGTTCAAATGCACGGTATCAGTCGTCAATGACATAGTCCAGACACAGCGGAGTAGGGAGTTGTACCTGAAGTACCAGGCAGGCAAAAAAAGTGGTGGTGTAGAGGTGGAGGATTCGCTGCTAGATGATGAAGAGGACGATCTCCTCGACTTTCAGCCGTTGGCGCCTGGGTGTATGCCTCCCCTCTCCTCTCCTCCAAGTCGATGGTAGCTAAAGATGTGCTCGCAGTACCTCCGCCGAGTTCCGAAAAGCAAAAATGGTGGCTCAACAATGGTCTCCCCGCAAAATCCACCGTCGCCCCACCGCAAGGAACGGTCCCGAATCCGCACCGCCCACCCAACCCCTTCACAGAGACGGCAGAGCCCGACTGGGTCAAGATCGACTCCGCCTCCATCAAAAAGCCTGTCGCGCCGCTTCCCCCGCCCACAAGAAAACTCCCGCCACCCTACGACCCCTCCGCACTTCCCACCCTCGGTGGTGGTGGGACGGGAAGGCACACATCCAATTCCTCCGTCTCCAGCAGTAGTGCGGGTAAATCCTCAAAACCGCCGATCCCGCAGAAGCCGTCGGTGTTGCGACGGAAGAGCTTTGAGGGGAAGAACCACAGCTTCGACGGTGGAGCGGGAGGGATTGGCGAGAGAGATATTTACCCGCCCCCACCCCCGAGGAGGGTCATGACTATAGGCATGGAACCGCCGCCAAGCGTGAAGAGGAAACCGCTGCCGCCACCGGGGCTCCCGCCAAGGCCGAGTGTGGATCTCATGGGTGGCGAGGAGCCGATGATCGGAGGCTGGGAGCCGCTGAAACCGTCATGATTGGCAGTTGGCAGTTGGTTGTAAGGTGTCGTTGCTTTGAGCGTGAGTGCGTTTTTGTATGGTATGGCAATTGTGGATGGCACGTAGCTAGGCTTAAGATGGTCTGATTGAGATATACACGTGGCAACACCTGGGTTTCGGTTTGATTGCAGGGAGCTAGAGTCTGGAGATAATCATGCCCGTCCGCTTTGCCGTAGTGAGGTCTTGAATCAAAATTCACAATACCGAACGCCGAAAGATCCGCTGATCCTCCGTAGAGACTCGATCCTCGATGCGCAATCAACAGCTTAGCCTGGAGCTTTGCTGTTCCGTAACCCCGTAACCCCATGTCAAGGTATGCAAGTGTGGAGAGGGGAAGCTGCGGGAGTGATGTGGTTTATATATTGCCGTTCCGGAAGGACATTGTAACATGAAAGGATTAGCAGTTCGACATGGCATGTCACTCGGTACAGAATTTCGAGGCCGAATTTTTTAGCAGATGGCAGAAATGGAGAGAAATGTGCAGCAGCTTGCGCATAGATATCCAACAGCTGTCAATACTGCCTTGTGCTATGGGATGCAGAGCGGCAACCGGCTTCCCAGTGGGTAGAGGAGCAAGTCGGTGGTCACCTCGGACCCCCAAAATAGGGAGTCAGTCACGACCCCCAAGGGTTCGGAGTCATCAGTCCTTGAGGTCAAGGCACCCGAGGGGAGAGCAACGGCCAAGGTAAGCACGGTGAACCAGCTGCCGAGGTGGATGAGTGCACATGCTGAGGTTGGAGATTGTGTTGTGGACACAGGCAAGTAGATTCTGTTGAGGGTGTCGGGAGAAAGCGTGTGAGCAAGCGTGCGGTCGGACCCACACCGCACCCGACTCGCACGTGTCTTGAAGTCGGCCGGCGAGCTTCGATTCTCACCTACCCTCGTTCCCAGCCCTAAGCCCCCAGTCAGCTAGCTACTTCCCGTCGGCGAAATCGGCCCCCCTAGAACACCTAGAACACCTATAAAACCCCCCGTCCCCACCCACCCTTCCTCCTCTTTTCTTTTCTTCTTCATACTTACCTTGATGCGACTTTGCTGGCTCATCGATCAGTAAAGCTCCAGGGATAAGGTTCTCATTGCACAGCGAGAATCGAGTCTCTGCGAATGATCTTAGGGTCTTTCGGCATCGCAATTTTTGATTTCTTCCTTTTTTGATGAAGGCGTTTTCCATCGGTTACTTGGGTGCTCTGTGAGGCCGAGGTGGCGAAGGAGGATGGTATGGAGGATCTGCGGCATGGCGTATGGAAGTTGTACATACTGTGAGTAAACCCAATACAGCGCAAGCACAGTGTAAAGAAATATTCATGGTCCCAAACTTCATGGCTTACATCCATCCCATCCCGTCAGCTGTCGTATCAGGACACCCGATGCGATCTTTCTTGCAGCCATCATATGTACCGTAGTTTACAATAAAGACGCAGACGAGCGGTACAGCCAGGGCGCAGGCCATCCTAGATTTCCTCTCATCCACTGATGTGGGCAGACGGATCCCAGAGGTCGCTGAGGAAGGTGCAGCATGTGAGGTGTCCGAGTGGGAGCCCGGGGAGAGGGAAGAGAGGGAGGCGGAGCTGCGGCGAGCGGAGCTGCGGCGAGAGGAGGAGGAGGATGCTGAGGTCGAGGAACCGCGATCACTCCCGCTGTTCCTCCCCACACCCTCTTCTATGGCGTCTCCTGATGAAGTAGCAGGGGGCAGGCGGGGGAAGCCACGTCGGGCCGCTTGACGAAAGCCGGGTTGGACAGTGGTGTGGAAACGGAGTGTGTACGGGCGGATATTACCATGACCTGTCTCCGGAGCAAGAGGGAGTCCTGATCGATGTAACACATTTTCTTCGAAGTCTCGGCCTTCTGAGGAGAGAGCCCAGCACCATCAACGAAAACGCCTTCATCAGAGCGGGGGAAGAAATCAAAAATTGCGACGCCGAAAGGCCCGAAGACCTTTCGCAGAGACACTCGACCCTCGCTGTGCAATGAGGGGGTGTCTCTGGAGCTTTGCTGATTGTTGAGCCAACAAAGCCGCATCAAGGTAAGTATAAAGAAGAAAAGGAAACGGTGGGTGGGGGGAAGGGGGCTTTTATAGGGGTTTTTGCTGGCTAGTTTGGCGACACTGCGTGTCACTCGGTCAAAAACCCTGGCTAGCTACTTCCCGTCGGCGAAATCGACCCCCCTAGAACACCTATAAAACCCCCCGTCCCCGCCCCCCCTTTCTCCTCTTTCCTTTCTTCTTCATACTTATTTTGATGCGACTTTGCTGGCTCAACCATCAGCAAAGCTCCAGAGATAAGGTTCTCATTGCACAGTGAGAATCGAGTCTCTGCGAATGATCTTCGGATATTTTGGCAACTCAATTTTTGTGTGCTTCTGCGTTTTCCGTCGGGCACTTGGGCGCTCAGTGAGGCCGAGGTGGCGAAGGATGATGGTATGAAGGATTGCGGCGTGCTGTGTGGGTTGTAGGTATGGCATACGGCTGCGGGGCCGAGACGTGGAAGAAAATGGATCTAGACATAGTAGGCCGCCAAACCCGTGCGAGTGATGAATCCGCCAAAAAACCAGATGCTCGCTCCCACCGCTGAGCACCTCCTATGTCTTTACGCCCCTCCTCGTTAGTGGAACCTCCCCCTTAAGGAGCAGCTACCTAGAGTAGCCGATCGCAGCAGCACCCGAATCCCAGCGGGGGAGAGTCCACCAGTGCCCACCAGTGCCCAACAGTGCGGCGGGTGGGGGGGCAGAGCACTCGACCAACGGTCCAACCCTTCCACCCCGTTACCGCTCTGGGCCCTGGAGGCTGGAGTTCTTCAACCCGCCAGCGGGCCAGCGGCGACCTACATCAGCGTAAGTATACATGATACCTTTTCCCAGCCGGCCAGACCGCACATTCGAGGACCTTGCGGATTTCGTGCAGGCTGCGGCCGACTCGGGCTAGACTGCGGGCTAGACTGCGGGCTGGACTGTGGGCTACGGGTTCTGGAAACACCACACCACACCACACCACGGCAAAAACAACCAGCACCGCACCCAGACCCGCACCCGCACCCAAACCCATCACTAGAAGTCTAGACTATGCACCACGCAGCCCTGCCGCCACCGGTCCACAAAGAATGCAGAATACGTTCTGGCCGACTCTCCCGCACCCCGCCCGCCGTCCGCCTGGCGCCCAGGTCCTTCCGACGGGACTACCGTGAGCGACGGAATGCGTGACTGCCAGGACTGCTGGGACTACTGAGACTGCTGAGACTGCTAGGACTGCTAGGACTGCTAGGACTGCTAGGACTACCGGGACTGCTGGAACTGCTGGAACTGCTGGGGCTACCAGGACTGCTGGGACTGCCGTGACTACCGGGAGCGACGGGACTGCCGCTGGCTGGAGCAGGAGGAATTGAAACTTGAAACTTGAAACTTGATGGACGGCAGGACGGCAGGACGGGAGCGTGCTCTATCATACCTAGGATTCCCCGGCTCCCCAGTACCTACCAGATCATAACACGTCACGAACGAGCACTCGCCGACGGAACGGACTTTCGCCGGGACTACCGCCGGGACTGTACTGTGCTGCACTGAGCCCGTTGCCGGGACTGCTGCCGGGACCGCTGACGGGATACCTGTTATATAGTCTACCCGCAAAGTGTGTTTTGCCGTGTTCTAGACGTGCTCAGTGCTCAGTGCTCAGTGCTGTATGTAAACAGCGAAATGAGAAATAAAACAAAAACGGACTGGGTCATGACCGGACTAACTGAATAAAAAAACAAAGCTAGACTCGACTCGCCATTCAACTCCTCACAGAGCCTCACATTCAGACTCCAGAGGACAGGATACCGGTATATATGGATTTGATATCCACCGGTACTATGGCCAGGAATGACCACATTCGATGATGGAATAATAATGATGATAATAACGGGCCGTAATAATGCTGATCCAGGTCTCACATCACCCACCATTCACCGGTTTACCAAAAACTCGAGTCGAAATCCCAAAATTCCATCTATTCGTTCCAATGCCACCCAGTCCAATGCCACCCAGTACCACCCAGTCCAGCCCAGTCCGTCCAGTCCAGTCCGTGCAATCCATCCGTCCCATGCAGAACGCAGGATTAACCTATCAAAACATCAAAACAACAAAAAAAAAACGCAATACACACAACAAATCAAAAGCAAAACAATTCCACTCCACCCACCTCCCCCTCCCCCCCCCCCCCACACACACACACAGCCAAAATCACCCAGCTACATCGCTGTAGTCGTCCGTCCTTCTAAAAACTTTTATCTTCACACAACACACACCACACACCGCACAAAAACGCACAAATACAATGATACGAATAATCGATGAATATTTTCACAACGCAACGCTTCGTACAACAAAACTCCCCAACACACACAAAAACGTAACGTAAAACACATAAACGAAATATTTTCAATAGAAATAGAAATACCTAAAGGTAAATAGGTTTTTAGGCAAGCATGGCTTGAGCTCCGGCCTCCGACACGACGTAGATCACGCGATGATCGTCGCTGAAACCGTTGAACTTGGTGGCTGAGCACTTGGAGTAGGCTGATATCTATCGTTAGCATCGCGAATGGGTAGTCAGGGATGAAGGGGGATACGAACCTCCCATGTTAGTGAAGTATAGCCAGTCCCCAACCTCCAAGACCTCCGGGAGGAAGCACGACTTGGAGATGCAGTCGATACCGTCGCAGGTGGGGCCCCAGACGGAGCACTCGGTGAGCTGCACCCCGCGGGTCGGCGGTGAGTTGTAGTGGTAATCGGATCCGCGCTTCAGCACCCTCGGCACGGGGATCTGGTGGTCGAACATGATGCCCGAGAAGTTGCCGTACACGCCGTCGTTCATGTACAGCATGTAGGACTGTTGACCGGCCTTCAACTCGTCCTGCACGGTGCGACGGGCGATGACGTGGGTGGCGATCGTGAAGGCGCTCTCGACGTAGTAGCGGCCGGGCTCGGCGATGACGCGGACGCTCGACGGGAAGTACTTGTCGACCGCCGGTCCCAAAACGCTGGCGATCTGCTCAAAGTTGTCGTTCCCGTATCCACCACCGACATCCAACGTGCGCAGGTCGTAACCAATCTCGGCAGCTTCATCGAAGACCTTGCGGGCGTCCTTAACGGCGGTAGCGAATGCGGTAGGGTCGTACGATCCGGACCCGACGTGGAAGCTGACACCGACGACGTTCAATCCGAGCTCCTTGGCCAAGCGAAGGAGATCGGCAGTGCTGTCGAGAGGCGCTCCGTACTTGAGACTCAGCCGGCAGAGGGACTTGGAGTCGTCGGTCGAGATACGCAGGAACAGCATCGCGTCGGGGAAGAACTTCTTGACCTTGTAGAGCTCTTCTGGGTTGTCGAAGGTCATCATGCGGATGTTCTCCTCGGCTGCATAGCGCACGTATGAGGCCGTCTTGCAGGGATTGGCGTAGATGATGCGCATCGGGTCGACGCCCATCTCGATGACTTGCTGGATCTCGGTCTTCGAAGCGCAGTCGAAGCCGGTGCCAAGCGCGGCGAGAAGCTGCAGGACTTTAGGATCCTGGTTGCACTTCACAGCTGCAGAGAGAGAGAGGTTAGTATCACAACGGCTTGTGGTGCGAGACATAAAAGTAATATAAATAAAAAAGATAATAATAATATTGATGACGTACCATAGAAGGGCTCGATACGGGGAAGGTTAACCTTCCAGCGCATGTGCTGGCGGTAAATTTCGCCGAGGTCGGCAACGAAGAAGGCATCTTCGGCACCAGCATCGCACTCGTCGGGGTCGATGCTCTCGATGTGAGTCTGAAGGGCATGGCCGATCATGGCCTGAGCCAGGGACCTGGTGCACGCATTGGATTGACTGAAGCGGCGCTGCTGAGGCGACAGCTTCGACGTAACGGGCGAAGTACCTAGGGCGACGGGAGCCATGGTTGTAGGGCAGCGGGGTTCGATGGTGGTGAAAGGCGAGGCCTCGGGGATAGTCCAAGCAGTAGTCTCTGAGGGACTCATTGGGCGGTTCTGGATGGGATTATTTGTAGAGAAGGGTATTCTCAAAATGACTGATTGGTGAGGATTCGATATGTACGTGTCAAATAGTGTTATGGTGGCCGGAACCGTATACACACGTAGTAGGACGACCGCCTCGACCCTCCCTCGAAAAGAGGAAGGAAACGACGGCGAAAGCTATGCGGCAGGGGAGAGATATTGGGTGATGTCTTTGTCGTTTCCGAACTAGAACCCCTCCGTCGCTCGAACTCGAGATGAAAGCTGGGTCTGTGGCGGCGGGATGTTGTTGAAGATGTTACGGGAGGGGCGTAGGTATGTAATCTTGGAGGACTCTCTGGAAAGGTTGCGTTGAGCCGTGGTGAAGGATGATTATATGGCGGTTGGATGATGTGCTTGAAACGCAAGAGGGCGGAAATCGAGGCTTCTTAAGAAGCAGCCTCAGGCCCTAGAAATGACTGGCCTCGTCTGTGCTGAATGGTGACTAGTTTTCCTTCAGAGGAGGAGGAGGATGATGCTTGGGGGGGGGGAGCGGCGGCAGCGGTAGATATGAGATGGGGGGGAGGGAGGGGAGGGGGGGAAGGAGAAAGAAGAGGTCTGAGAGAGATTGTGCGTCGAAACCCTACACTTTGTAGTTGTCCCTTTTTTTTTTTTGCCTGATTCGTCGACCTCAGTACTTAGTGGAGTTATTTCAACCCTGCGCCTCTTTTTTGTGTGTGCGGAAGCGGGCTATGTGCGGCTTTGGGCAGCGAGTTGAAACGGCAAGACGCCCACAGGTCCGGGAGGGGCCCAAATGTTCTACAGTTAAGGACCGTAGTAGCGTCCGATGATGGGATGACTGCTCCTCTGTGTTGCAGGGTAGGTCTTTTTTTTTTCTCCCTCCTGCTTCTTCTTGATTGATGGGGGTTTTCGAGTCAGCACGCTTTACATACTCCCATACAAAGTGCACGGCGATAGGACAGAAAGGGAGAACAAGGTAGCCACCGGGAAGGGCTTGACGTCGATCAAACAATGGAAGAGCCATTGATCTCACCGACAGGACTTCGCGACCACTAGGACTTGACGAAGGCAGACCTGGAGAGCGGGGGCTTGGACGGGAGGGGGCATTTGGATTACCAACTCACAGGAATCTATCGCAGTGACGACGACAATTTGTTGAGGATGGGGGGGAGGGTATTGAGGGCTATTCTCTCTCCTTCTCCTTCTCTCTCTCCGTCTCTTTCTTTCGATCGAAGGAAGAGAAGAGGGGTTGAGGGGTGAGAAGGTGGGGAGGGGGAGCGGGTTGGTGGCTTAGTTTTTGGGTGGGGAAGAAGAGGTGAAGGAGAGGAGGTGGAGAAGAAGAAGGAGAACAAGAAGAAGAGGAGGAGGAGGAGGAGGGGAAGGAACAGGATCGGAGGCAGAAGCGGCGCGAAATTGGAGTAGTGAAGGAGGGGTTTGGCCTGGGGAATCTGGACGGGCGGACTGTCGACTTTCGACTGTCAACTGTCAACGGACAACGGACAACGGAGGTGGTGGTGCACTTATTCGGTCAGGTAAGGCGAGCAAGGTAAAAATCCGCAGCGCGAGGATCACCTTGTCTATACCGAACTCAAAGTTTTTTTTTGTTTCTTTGCGGCAGTTCAGGACGATGCATCACGCACCGCACATGACACGGACGCTCCTGCCCGGCCCAGTGCGAATATACCGATCGCGAAGGCATAGGATGGACATGGACATGGACATGGCCATGACCGTGGCCGTGGCCGTGGCCGTCATCTCTGTGTCTTTGCCCCATCTATGCCTCTGGCACAAGATGGACTCGATTGATCCTTGATGGACTAGGTACCATACTGCCTAATAATATCCTAGCAGTACACGGTCGATCGACTGCCATCACCACGCACCTGTGGCTCACTGGCCGAGCTGGAGGCCGAATTGGAAATTTGCTCGAGTACCGGTAGGTATCTCAGCTACAACGGTACGTACCACGGCCTCCCTCGTGGCTCGACCACCGCCCCACGAGCCAACGGGGATAAGTACGAGCTGAAGGCTCCGCTCCTCACGTCCACACTCACGGCCCCCAGGACGACCCAAGTCTCAAGGTGGAGTACTCTGGGTGCTAACTGTACGCAGCGCGGCCGGATTCCCACCCCTCGCACATCTCCCTTTACATATCTAGACATCCGGATTCCGTTGTGGGCAGTGGGCACGCTCCTAAAAAAAGCACACAAAAGCGATCTGTGATGGGATGCGCCTCAGGACTGCGATCAAGCACCGCACGCACGCACAAAAACATCTGTACGCACGCACACACACATAGGTGGTTACAACGAGAGGGAGCGAAAGAGAGAGAGAGTGGGAGTGGGAGAGTGGGGAGGGAGATGGAGAGTGGGAGAGAGAGACGGCGGGCGGGCGGGAGTGAGGGAGTGGGATGAATATGCGCGAATTAAAACCCCTCAGCTCAAGGGAGCAACAACGTAAGTAACTGAGCACATCCATCCACCATCCATCCATCCAGCCAGCCAGCCATCCATCCATCCATCCCACCCAGCATGGCATCGGCTTCTTGCGTGCGTGCGGGCTGTGTGGCCCGTCCGATTTCTTGTGATCGGAAAATCTTGGTACTCTTACGCAAGTTCGTGACAGCTTTCTTTTCGCTAGCTAATTCTAGGGAGGAAGCGAGCGAGCGGGCGGGGCGGGCGAGCGAGAAGAAGGAAAGAAAAGAAAGAAAAGCCCACACCCCTCCCCACTCCCACCCCCTCCCCACCCCCGACTCACAAGAACTCGAGACTCTGCAAACTCCGACCAACCAGTTGTGCGTGTGCGTGGTGTATATAGAGTATCGTACCTGCGGACGAGTACTCTACTCTACGGTACTACCCTTATACACGACAGCGGACAAGCAGGCAGGCAGGCAGGCGTGCGTGCGTGTGTGCGGAACACTCAACGCAGGTACAACGATCAGCGGTCCTCAAATCACATCCCGCTGCACAGCTCCACAACGTCGGATTCTGTCATCATCATCATCATCACCATCCACATCATCATCGTTGTCGTTGTCGCCGTCTTCGTCACCACGACGTGCCGGCGGGGGAAGGCCGACCATCGGTGATGATGATGATGACTGTTGGCGTGGAGGAGCACTATCTACTATACTACTCTATATAGTACTAGCAGCCCGTCGAGACACCCAGTCGCTGTGGCGGTCCGCATACGTATGATATCGCAGACTCTCCCGAGGTACTCTACATGTCATACATGCTCTACTCAGTATACCCAAGTAAGTACTTGGGTAGGAATGTGATGTACCGCTACATGTCAACTACATCCCCATCGTGATCCGCCGGCGCGCAACGCGATATATATATGATCACATCGGTTCCTGTGTCGTAACCGATAACCAATCGATTCGGCGGTCGGCGGGTACCTGTAGTCTGTAAAATACTATACATATAGGCTGTGCCCAGATTCGCGCATAAATTCCCCACTCCAACTTGCCTGCTCGTCGATACTCTACCGTCCATGTGAGCGGTTTTTTTTCTTTCCTTTTTTCGGTCTTTTTTTTCTTTCGCCCTCCTCTCCTCCATCGCGGAAAAAGAATAAAAGGCACGGACTCGGATCAGATCGGTGATATATAAAGTACCCTGACAAAAAGGATTGGACAAAGCCCGTTTTACACCAAAAATGCCCACTTTCATGCAACCCAAACATACCCTCCACCTGGTCGAAAAAAATCATCTCTTTTACAGAAGCGTTAGAATCACAAGCTGCTTCATCAATAAAAACTTTGACGACTTTCATCACAGATTGGGGCTGTACGACGTTGTATTGTGCAGGAGTTGAAAAGTGACATTACATTTTGTATGGGGCTCCCATACAAAAAGCTACTTAGCAACCATCAATTTTTCCCTCGTCTGGTATTGCTCCACAACAACAATTCAGAACTCCGTGAGGAGTTCCCATATCGTTGTCGGTGTAGTTATAGAGGTCTCCCGATGGTCCCTAATTTTTTTCGATACGTTGTGATTGTTGTATCGGTGGCTGAAAATGGCCATTTTTGGTGTAAAACGGGCACTGTCCAATCCTTTTTGTCCTAGTACTGTACCAAGTATCTGGTAGCTAAATGTAGCAACTATTAGTTGCTCTACTCTAGAGTCTAGTGAATGCTCCGCTAGAGTAACGAGCGCGTCTCAGGGATGTGCCCATCTGTCCGTTCAGTTGCACATCGCCTCACCGCGTAAATAGTAGTTGCCGAGTGAGCTTTCGAGTAGTCGCCGAAGTATAGTATGCTACGTATACATATGAGGTATGTACCTATATAGCGGTGCAGAATACAGAGGGAGCTGGCAGTGCTGGCGTTGGGGGTGCACGCGTGGGGAGGGACAAGGGAGAGGAGAAAGGATGTGGTAAGGACTTACTTGCCCGTTGGTTACTTGAGGACTTACTTGAAGCACTTATTAAGTTATTCGCTCGGAGGAGAGTAAACCATTCTCCAAAAAACAATTCCCTCATCAGGTTAGATACTCTAGGCATTCCATAGTTCCACTCTCACGCTGAATCTGATGCTTCTTGGCACGATGAGTCCGTCCGTCCAATTAAGGCCCGCCCCGGCCCCCGGGTCCTACTTGGCAGGCTTCTCGAAGCCCAGCCCGACCCGGAGCTTGCTGGAGCTTGAGCTTTGAGCTGGAGCTGGAGCTTGACACCGGTAGAGCAACTACGGTACGGTAACTACTACGGTACCATCCCTCCTCGCTTCTCTAGCAGGGGGGATGGAAAGACCAGCGTCCGTGGGGTCCGGATCCGTCGGTTCAATTTCATACAAGTCCCAAGTCCCAACTCCCCGAGTAACTACCGTACGCGGTACACGGTACACGGTACAGACTTGCTCGGTATGACTGCCCTTTTCCTTTCCTTTCCTTTTCCTCCTCGAATTCCTAAACGTCGAAACGTCGAAACCTGCTCCTCGAGCTCCTTCTCGAGCTCCTAGGTAGCTAGCTAGCTGTCGTCAGAATCCCGGCTGATGCTTGCTTGCTTGGCCATGGGCTCTACGAAATATCCCCAACAAAACACTCCCCCTAAACTAAGCTCGAAGCTCGAAGGGCTCCACTCCACTTCAGCTCATGGTTTTGCCGCAGGTGATACCCGGTAACTACCTTTGTAGAGTAGTTAGAGGTACCTAGAGCACCCAGGTAGACAGGCTGTTATGTACTCACAAACATAGGAGTCCCCTGAAACGACGACGGCTGCAATTGTTGAGGGATTCGCCTCGTTCTTCTCGTCACTTGACGTTTGCGAGCCTTAGCCTTGCCATCACCCTTGGCCTCCCACAGGTCGAGACTCGAGAGCTCGTGGTTGGCAACTGCGGCGATCACCCCGGTTGGCTACGTACCTGAATATGTAGAGTGCCTGAAGAAAATCCCGTTCCTCCGCCTTCTCGACTCGCGAGTTCTAGAAACGACACCTGATCCCCGTGAGCTCGCAGAAGTTGAAAGAACATCTGTGTCTTTCCAGGGAGCCACTTGCCACTTGCCCCTTCCCTTCCTTACAACTCGAGCCTATCCACAGTCCAGTCCACAGTCCGTCCGTCCAGCCCACCGATTCGATTCGATTCGGGAATCCCCGAGGAAACCGAAAACGTGATGCTTATGTACTCCACTAGTCCTCTACTGCCTAGCACTCTATTTCAGCCTATGTTCAGCCTATTTCAGCCCTCTTTGATTACGAGGTCTCTCCCTTTTTTAGGGGGGGCTTTTCAAGTTTTGGGGGCTTGCACGTGGGACTGTTAGGTTGGGAATTGGGACTGAGAGGTCGACCCAAACCAAGCCTTGAGATCTGGCCTGCTTTGATTTGACTGGGAGGGAGAGGGAGGGGGGAGGGAGGGAGGTGAGGGGGGGTGTGTCATCCGTTTTGATATTATTATTATTATTATTATTTTATTTTGGCTGCACAGTGCACATCGCGCACAAGCGTTGGTCGTGATGACTTACCGGTACCGTACCTGGGTGAGTACGGAGCGGTATGTTCGTAGATACCGAATTGCTGCTCAGATGTTTACAATGTCCCACAGTCCCATAGGTCCATATCGATACTATTTACCGGCCCAATAGATGGTCTGTATATAAGAATCACAGCAATTAGTACAAATTCTGGGCGCAAAGCTTCGCCACGGCCCACGAGGAGAGTAGAGTAGTAGGTATGAGTCCTTAACAGTCATGGACGCTACATTTCCTCTCATAGCCTCGAGTTATGTATCATACCGGTATTCGGTTATGAGGCAGCAATTGGATTGATGATGATATCATAATCGTGGGCGGAGCTTTAAGGCATACATTAGATTATACACAGCGCTTTCTGTATGATATTGTACTACCCATACCGTAGTCTACGCCTGATTACCGACACCGCCTCGGGCCGTTGTTACTCGAAGATTTTCGATCCTCGCCACGGGAGCCGGAGTTAGCTGTCACCCCGAGATTGCAAACTCTGTTGAGGCTCCAAGACATGCTTTCGATACGAGCAGTGTGTGGTATTAGCATCACTGTTGCTCAAGGCACTGTCGATCACCTGTCACCTGTCGTGGATGCTGCAGTGTGCACACTACGGTACATACATGTGTGTACCACCACCGCCGAACGCTTCACATGCAATGGTATATTCATAGTTGCACTTGCGGAAGACTACATAGTACAGATGTCAGACGCAGTCCCGCGATATATACGATGTTCCGTGTGGACAGCGTAACTAATCTCCGCTTCTCAGTGGCACAGCATGAAGTACGGTACCCGTCGATTACCCGCCAGCCTCCGGATTGAGCTGCATTGTGTACAGCTCGATCTCACTGGTCTCGAGCTCGTCGTCCTCCTCGCCCAGTGCAACGAGCGCCTGATCCACCTGCACTATTCCGAACACTTCCAGCAGGCTGCGGAACCGTTCCTCGCTCTCATGTCTATGCTTATGAGCGACGGTGAGCAGCGCGCGCGGACTCACCCTCAGGAGTGTAGTGATGACGTTTACCAGGGCCGGCGCCGCATCGACGTTGTACATGCAGTCGGCCACCAGGATGAGGTCGAAGCGCTGCGCTGCGATGTCCAGCGGGATGGGCAGATCCCAGTCGAGCGCGCAGAACGAGATCTCCGTGTGCGACGAGATGTTTTTGGCGCTGATTTCGGACGCCAGTGGTAGATCGCTCAGGACGACGTGGCTGTTGGGTCGCAGCTGGGAGAGTGCCAGGCCGACTATGCCGCAGCTGGTGGGTGTGAGAACTGACTCATGGTTTGCGGTTGCGTCTCGCCCACTTACCCACTGCCTAACTCCAGCACGTTGATGCGTTGGCTGCCCTGAAGCAGCGTGTCGAGTGCACCCAGCTGCGGGCCGTCAGGCTTGCGCGTACTCGACAGCACTCGGGCCATGTGAGCAACCAAAGCCACGCCGGCGTCCCTGGGATTCCGTCAACAAGACGTCTATAGTAGGGCTGCAGGTATATCGGGCATATGGGCTCCGAATGTATGTACCAGATATGCAGGGCAATGCTGTTCTTTGTCTCCTCCCACACGCTCAGATGCATCTTTCTTCCAATGTTCAATCTCCGTTCCACCAGTTCCCGCTCCCCAACCTCGCCGGCCTTAAGGACGAACGGCGAGCTCCAGACGGACATGATATTGATTCCGGACCCCAGAAGCGGATCCACCGTGGCGCTGTCACTCGTGGAAACCTGGAGCACAACAGGCTCGCCCCTCGCCGCGCCAGCTCGCACCGGAATCTCAACCTTGAGCGACCGCATGCCAGCCTTCCAGGTAAACTCCTTCCTTGCGATTGCGGCCCCACCGCCGTCCTTGTAACGCACCGTGCCAATAACGACGCTGTCCCGGTGCATGAACGACTCGCCCAGATCCGAGGTGATCGTTATAAGCGCGGATATCGTGTTCCCGCTGAAGCGGGGCGCCTTGAGGAACCGGATGTATTGCATTGTGCGACCGCGGTGTGATGCTGTGGTCCTGGCTCAGTTGTTGTCTGTGGTCAATGTAACGTTGCTGCTGCTGTTGCTGACGAGTAGTTGGGCGGAGAATGGAAGGGCTGCATTGTTGAATTCCTGCCAAGACAACTCACCTGCGACAAGGAAATGTGTGTCCGGCACCTTGTCGCGTCACCCCCGAACTCACAATCACCCCGAACACCACCACCACCACCACCACCACCACCAGCACCAGCACCAGCACCAGCACCAGCACCAACATCCCACACACGACACCCCCGCCCAACCACGCACCCGTCGCCACCTATCCACCACCACGACCATGACCGTCACCCCCGCCAACATCGAAGACCCCACGCTGCAGCAATGCCTAGAAATAGCCGAGCGGACGCGGCAGCTGTGCCACCGGATCGTCACGACGTTCGAGAGCAGCAATACCAGCGGCGACCCAGATGCGCAGCAGAACCTGATCGAGCGGTCGCGCGGGCTGAAGCAGCTGAACGCGCTGCTGCAGCAGCTAAAGTGTCTGCACCGGACGGCGGTGATGTCCGCGCGCGACGCGAAGGACGTCACGCGCGACGCCCGCCAGGAGGTCGATCGCCTACATCTACAGCTGCAGAATCTGTACTATGAGCAGAGGCATCTGAGGGGCGAGATTACCGCGTGCATCGATTTCCCGTTCGTCTCCCAACCATCTCCCAAACCCCAACCCCAACCCCAACCACCGTGCGATTGTTACTATGGCTGATGGCTAATGTTTGTGTGGGTGTGGACAGACACAAGTACACCTCCCTCCCCCTGATCTCGGAAGAAGAGTTCCTCGCCGCACACCCGGAACATGCCGAGATGGATGCGCACAACCTGATGATTGCGCGCATACGGAACGAAAAGGTGGTGCGCGAGGATCTCGAGAAGCAGCGCAAGGAGCTACTAGCTACCAAACAGCAGCTCATCAACGAGAACAAGAAGCGCAAGGACGATCTGGCGAATCTGGATGAGCAGTTGAAGAGATTCAGTAAGTGGTGCCCGGAGAGGTGTGTGTCGGAGGAAAACTAGCGTGCTAATACGGTGTGCACCAGTCGAATCCTCGAGGCCCATACAAACTACCTTCCAGAAAGACTACTAGATCTGGATGGTGTCTGGGAATTGAGGCCGGCGGTGGAATTGGCGGGGTGGAATGTGCCGACATATTCCTCATATCATAATGTTACGATTGCATACGATCAGCAAAACGAAGCAAGGCTTCGACTACCTACCCACACCGGTCAGGCCGCGGAGCATGACACACATATACGTATTCTATACTTACTTAGAGCCTGTTCGGTACCGCACCGTATCTGGTAGCTACCACACAAATTTGAGCTTACGTCGGTTCAAAAATACGCTGAGCGTTCGGCGCAACGTCTTTTAGAAAATACGATCGTTCAAACTCAGCCACATCGTATTTCTTGCGTATTTCTCTGAGCCTCCACCAAAAAATAGACGATGCTGGCATCCGTCACCAAATCCCCCCGAACCCGTACGACAACATCCACGATGTCCGCCGGTCCCAGTCTCCTCACCCCAGAAAATATCAATCACGGCTACCTCCAACCGACGCGGTATATGTCAGTGAAAGAGCAGCTTGCGATATTTCTCAAAATCGTCGGCGAGAACGCCTCCAACCGTATGGCACAAGAACCGTTTCAACGAAGCGGCGACACGATCAGCCGTACCTTTAACAACGTTCTCGACGCGATGATAGAACTTTACACTGTAATTGAGTAGGCGAACACACTGTGGACTGGGCACTGCTGTGGGCTGTAGAATAGTTACTCTATATACAAGCTGCCCACTGCCTGCTATCTTCTCCCGTTGTCTATCTCCCATTTCCGACCCCCTATCTCCTCCTATTGCTATCCCTTAATGTCCGTCACCTGTACGGTATCTCTGTCTCTGCCTCAACATTTTCACCCACCAGGACGCGATGCAGTAGAGGACAGACTTGGGAAGAGGAGAAGGACTCGAGAAAGTAGTTGAGTAGGGGCGGTGGTGTAGTTCTGTCGTGTCGCTGTGTTGCTGTGTTGCTCTGTCGCCGCGTCGCTGTGTTGCTGTTGCTGTGTTGCTCTGTCGCCGCGTCGCTGTGTCTGTCTATCCATGTTGCGCGCCCTCTTACTGACTGTTTCAACTTTCACCTTGGCTGGAAGTAGTATAGTACAGTGTGGCGAAGAGAGGTTGTCGAGTGTAAGCTACGGAGAAGGTGGTGTTGCCGAACAGATATTTGAGATGTCTAGGCGCCAAGTCATTACGCACTAGTGGACCGTATTTCTGAGCTTACGTCGGTTCACAGATACGGTGCGTACCGAACAGGCTCTTACATACATGTCCCCTTTGTTGGAAGTGGGAGCTGGTGGATGGTTGGGTCATACATACCGTACCTTCCGTACTCAGCAAGCTCCCGGTGGCGCACCTAGAGACACCTCGCTTTCCTTCTTTTCCTTCGTGCCATGCGTTCCACGTTTGTCAAGTACCGTGCCACCGCCTGAATGTGATACGCCTTAAACAACCGGCATGTACTCTACATAGCATAGGGTTCTCGCCTCGTAAAAATGCGAGTATGTATGATGTAAGACGTCTGTCCCATCCCTTTCGTGTATGTGGGCATCAACTCGGCTGCAGCCATCACATCAAGTTGCGCATCGACACCGAAGGTCCGAAACGGCTTCTGGAAGCATCTTGCATGGTAGGTAACTGGTTACACTACCCAAGTACCGTACTGTCCATACTCTACCTATGCCCCCAAGCATGGATACGCTGCCGGGATTTGCACACCCAATCCTTCTCAAAGGACCCCCATCCGCTATCTCTGGGCCCCGGGCTGTTAAAGACATGCCTAACCCAACCTCGAATCCGAGCTCAGTCTCGAGCTCGAGCGCGCAGGTTTCAGAAGCTTCTCGAAGGAGGCCGAAACTGGGTAGAGTAGGAAGTATGCGTGGAAGTTCCATGCAGCCAGCCACCGCCACCACCACCACCACCACCACCACCACCACCACTACCGGCGGCAAAAGGTACTGTGCATATCGCCACCGCCGTGGCAAGCAATGGCAAGCCACGGACACGGAAGATTATTCCCCAACGGTGGAGATGGGAGATGGGAGATGGTTGCTGCTCTAACCGGAGGAATTACCTTCACGGGACCGTTCCACGGGGGGTGGGGGAGTGGGGCTTGGATGTTGGAACAAAGGAACAAAGGAACAAAGGAACAAAGGAACAAAGGAACAAAGGAACAAAGGAAAACGTGAGCTGAGATGAGCGGAGTACGGTACGGCGTGGAGTTCCGCCGTCGCCGCCGCTGCGAGAGCTCGGTGCTGCGCTGGCGATTCCATGGGGTAGATTCATATGTAGAGCGACGGTGAATCGGAATGCCATGGTAGAGTATCGTTCGGGGGCGAAGGAGGAGAGAGTACGATACATACGATTCCAGCACCACAAACTCGCTTGTCGCCTCCGTCATCCCATCACCCACCACCTTTCGTCCCGACCCACCCGGATCTGGAGTATCCCTCTCTCCGGTCCACGGTTCACCCCATCCCATCCCCATCTCCACCTCATTCATCCCATCCCTTTCATGGGTCCCGCGACCTCGGCATGTTTCAGTCTCTGTCTCGTCCACGACCTTTGTGTCTCTCTCTGCCTCTGCCTCTGCCTCTGCCTCTGCCTCTGCCTCTGCCTCTGCCTGTTTCTCTCTGTCTCTCTCTCGATCCATGCGAAGCTGGAGAGGAGATTGGGTGCTGATTTTTCAATTTTTTCTTCCACCTCCTCGGAGGAGGAGGAGTCACTCGGTCGGACCTCCTGGCCCTGTTCCTGGCCCTGTCCCTTCGGACGGACTGGGTGTTGCGGCGGCGGCGGAAGCGGATGCGTGTGTGAGTGGCGCCGAACCGAAGTCGTGGGCGCTGGGATTTGACACTGCTAGCGTGAATGCTCCTGCTGCTGGTGGTGTTCCTGCGTCCGCCTGTCTGGGAGGGGAGGTTGGTTGGTTGGTTGGGTTGGTTGGGTGGTAGAAATCCCGCGGGTGCGCACCCAGGCTACTAGTACCTGTGCATAAGGGGATTGTTGGTGGCCGGGTCAGGCACCGGGTCAGGTACCGGGAAGGGGGAGGATACATGTGTATGTAGGCTCGTGCACCGTCAGACGGGCGTTCCGAGCTCGTCGTCGACTCGTCGCTCGTCGCTCATCGCCCGGACATCGAATCACCGGTCCGGTCTGGTCGCTGCCTCCCCTCCAGCCTCCCCGGCTCCCATCCCAGGCTCCCAGCTACCGGAAGAAGTCCGGTACATACGTCGGTTAAATTGCGATCGATTGACACCTACATACCTACTCTGCATACATACGGTACCTACTTCGATGCCCTACTCTACTCTATTGTACATGCTGGTCACTGGTGTGCATGGAGGTGGATCGTGGTAAGCAAGCGGTACACATGCCTGGTAGTTGAGTCGGCCCCCATGCTGTAGCCTGTACGTGCACGTAGTGAATCGAAAGTGTGGCTTTGACCGGGGCCCGCATGGCCCACATGGCCTGCCGCCGTCTCCGTCCGACGTGTCCGGCGTGTCCGGCGGTGGGTTGCGGAGAGTCGCGGCCTCGGGGAGCCGCAGGCCCGCAGCGGAAGCGGCAGTTAACTTAGCGTCTGGAATACCCTGTGGGACAGGAGGAGGATGAAGAGGAGGAGTGATGCCGAGGAGTGAGGCCGAGCAGTGACGTGGGTTCTAGTTGAGACCGCCACATCGTTGTTGAGCGAGTGATGGCCAGTGCAAACTCTCGTCTCGATTGGAGACTGTGACTGGGCTGGGCTGGGCTGGGAGCGAGGCGGACCTGCTCCGTACTATTTAGAGTAGAGTAGAGCCCCTCAGGCTCGCGTAGAACATTCACAACTACAATAATGGTGTCTATAGTCGTGTTACAGTGACGGCATTCGGTGGTGACGAATAAAGATGCAAGAGAGAGATGGGAGCCTGGATGGAAGAAGGTAGCGTTCTGGAATCGGGGGCTTGCGGTTGGACAGTGGTACTGGTACACTAATGGTTTTTCGGTAGTTATTAGAACACGCGATTTACAGCAGCTTCCCGCACAGGGGGGAGGGGAGGGGGGCAAAATGTTGGAAGATTAAGGGACTTTGCTCGACCAACCGAACAGGTATGTCCATTTCACGAACGCACGGCGTAAGGCCTGTGAGGAGTCCGAGTGATGTGCGGAAGGAGACCACCGACCACCGGTTCAGTTCAGTCCTCGGGATTTCCAAATCAGCCACAGGGTGGGGTGGTAAAGTTTCTCGGGGGTGTTTTTCGGAGCTGTCTTTCCCGTAACATGAAGTTGAATTCTATCTACTCTTTTTATTTGTTTAAGCATCATTGCATTCGACCTTGGTAGGGTAGATCATTGGATTTTATGGTACTCTGAGCGTTGCACGTTCCGTCACTCGACATACGAATCGCAGGCTAGGATGATATTTCATGATCGGCTGTACCTACTGTGTCTATGGTTGGTGCGGATAATGAGCGTGGTCATGGCAGGTAGCGGAGTAGGCGGATAGCGTGCGTGATGGGGGGGGGGGTTGTTTGTTCGGTAGGCAGACAATGAGCGTGGTGGGGTGTTTTGTTTGGTAGGCAGCGGCGCAGCATCGAGCCGAGGCGATAGAGCTTTCTCTCTACCCCGCGGAGCTGGCAGGAAAGGTCGGGAAGTTGGTGGTCGACATAATCTAGTAAAGGCCGCATGCGACAATAAATTGATGTCCTCTCTCTGATAGGCTGTACGTCGTCACGGTCGTCTTTCTACCGTTCAGCCTCTGCTCTGCCTGAAGGGTAAATGAAGTCTCTCTGGCGGAGAGAGATCTGGAAACTGAGTAGCCCTGTAGGACTTCCGGAATCGCAAGACTGTTATTGGTGACGATGCCAGCGGCGTTCGACCCCCTGAGTGGGTCTTTGCCGTGAGCTATGGTACATATGATGGCTACAAAATCTCATCGCTGCCCCGATAAATCACACGACAGCTAACAAGGATGAATGCAAGCTATGAAGTTGGGGACCATGAATATTCCTCCCCACTGCGATGTCTTGGGTTTACTCACAGTATGTACAACCCATACACCAC